TGGACGCATCCACTGGTCACCAACCATGTCATGCTAGCAGTTCAGGAACGGGGCTTTGTTATGATCCAAAGTTAGGATACATTATGGCGATGGATGCATGCAAATCCCATGCAGTTTGAGAAGAGGCTGGTTTAGAGAAGAGGAAACTGAAAGAAGGAATGAGATAAAAAGGCCCGATTACAGTCCGTCTGCTACTTCAGCACCACGGACAGTGGTGGTCGTGTGCATCCAAATATTCTTAAATTAGCCTCAGTCATTAGATTTCTGTGCATTAGCACCACTTTGGGTGGATTTCTGTCTGTATTTAGATACATGTGAGCACCTATAGTGAGAACAGAGCTGTTCAACCAGATGGAGGGAAGGTTTTTACAACAAGAAGTGGACAAGAGGAGGGAGGTTATACTTCTTGTAGAGGTAGGACATCCATAGCAAAGGACATGCATGGATGATGAGACAGTGGGCTCCTGGTCACAGACAAGTGAAAAGGCCAAAGAGGAGGAAAACACCCAGACTGCATTTTGTGAGTCTTTAAGGTCATTTTGCATCTCTTTGTAAATGTTTTGTGTGTTTGGTAGTTGTTTGACTGACTTTCCAACAAATACTTATTTGAAGCAGAGGCTCTGTTTTGGCCCGTTCAGTAATCCATATATGGCAATTATGTCAGCCATGACACTGTTAGTACATTAAGAAATAACAAAACTCAGTGTAGAATTTACTGTTAAACTTTTCTTTATTTGCAGATTATATAATCATCACATATAATAAGGACAAAACTATTAGTGACTACTTTAAGACTCAAAGCAAGCCAAACACCCATTAACACATATGTTAACAGAAAGGCTAAATAGGTTAATTTAAAGGAGTTAAACATAAAACTGAACTCAAGCTGCTTTGAAATTCATTAGTTAATCTTAAAATCAGAACTAAATTATTTGGTCAGAAGCAAATTTAAGGAAGTTAAAAAAGTTGAATCCTGTTTTCAGTTCAATTACAATCCAACTGATGCAGAAAAAAACAAAAGCAAAATATTACGTTTCTCAAAATAACCTTAAGATTTTTTGTATTTACAATCTACTCATTTAAAACGAGTTGAGTTGATGTTGATGTAGAAGTTGTCGATCAGTGGAGTCTGATGGAGGCTGAAATTTCCGTCAGACATCAGAAGATCTGATGTTTTCATAGTTCACTGTACCATCATCTTCATCATTATCCACCTGTGAAAAACAACACAATCAAAACTCTCTGAAACACACTCTCAACCTTCAAATCCCAGTCCCACTTCTCACTTCAGCCCAGAGTTTCTTCCACCACTGTAAGGCCAGAACAGAGATGAGTTCAAGGTCTTCCACCAGAGGTTAAGTGAGAACATGTTGTCAGATGTGATGTAATTTATGTGAACCAATGGTGTTACGACCACTTCAATAAAATACAGTGAGTCCTGTTTCCTTCTTCAGTCTACGTCTACAGTGTACAATGAAGAACAGATATCACAAACACTGGTTTTCTGTGTAAAGGACCAACTGTGAAAACATTTTCAAAACATTATTTTGTTGTAAAAACTCACCATATTTTCATCCGTCTGCATTTGTTTCCCTGAAAAGATGAGAGAAAGAGTCAACTTTAACTTCCACAGTGAAAATATCAAAAACTTGTTGTCTGTGAGTTTCATGGATGTTCTCACCTTTAGTTTTTGTCCATATGTTGACTGCCACAACAGTTATTATGAGTGCTGCTAAACCCACAAACTGAATTGACAAAATGACGATCCCCCAACCTTTAAGAGAATGAAAACATATTTGGTAGCCCTTTATATTAAGGTATTCACCATTTCATTTATCTAATTGTGAATTTAGTAGATATAAATGTTGAGTCTCTACCTTTAATTTCTGTTAGAGTATCATTGATTACAATTGGTTTTGTTGTTGTTGTTGTTATTGTGTCGTCACCTGAAGAGATAAACACAACTCCACAAACTGTTCAGTACAAAACATGTGTTGTGATGTAATATTAAAACTTAAAATCCATAAAACAAACAAATATTTTAGGTAATTAGTTAATTAAATCAGTTTGAAGTGACTTTAAACTGTTCAACATATTCTCAGTCTCATATTTCTCACCTGAGGGTCGAGGTCTGAAAGGAAACAGCTGCACGTTGTCACCATCATTAACTTCACACGTAAATAAGTTATAGTTTGATGTGTACTTGGAAAAAAAACCCTGAAAGTTCAAAGAGGCGTAGCACAGAGACTGTGATTTCTTCACATTTCGGTTAAGTTGATCCCAATCTTGACCATTAAACAGCCACCTCACTGTGTGTCTGCATCGTCCAAACGTCGACACAGAGCAGCTTAATGTCACCAAATCAGTGTCTTTATGTTCAGTCACTGGTGGAGATGGAGATATTGTGAGAGAAAGACGACAAGAGTAAGACTAACTTCTATAATTATAATTATAGTTTTAAGAAGACAGTTTGAGCTGAAAACATTCTGATGTAAATACTCACTGCTAATAACAGACAGATAAACCTCAGAGTCTCGACCTTGTTGATATCCTGATTTGTTGAACTGTCTGCAGCTGTAACGACCAGTATCCTCAACTGTGACCTTCTTTATAACCAGAGAACAGTTCGCTGTAAGACTCAGTCTGTCTGATTTAGCTCTGCTGTCATTGTGTATCTTTCCATTTTCAAACAGCACTGCTAGGTATCTTGAATAACGGAAGTACCAGTCGGTATTGTCACAGTTTTGCTGATCGTCTATCACATTTTCACAAAGCAACGTGACTTCATCTCCAACTGCGACACTGAGGGACAGAGGATGTTTTTCAGCTGCTGCTGTTGAGAAGACGAGGAAAGATTTATAAAAAATAAAGTGAAATGAGAAAATGTCTGTTATGTTCATAGTTTGTATGACAATTATTTATTTTACTTATTTCCAAGAGTTCACAACACTCACCATGTTAGAAACAAACAACAGATTTGGTTGTGTTAGTTAAATAATATGCAGGTAGTAAATTATCTATTGATAAAATTACTTTATACATGATATATAATGTGCAATACTCTAGTTTACATTATTAATACTGGAATTATATTGTATACTGTTTTCTATTAGCACTTATTCAGGGATCCAGTTCTCAGCATTATCAGTATTTATTCATTACACTGCTGTTATATACCATAGTATACATATTTTTCTATTTTCTATATATGTTGTTGTTATATACTGTAATATAATGCACATATTTAAACGTTCTTATTATTTTTTCTATTTCTTATGATGTCTTTTTTTAGCAACGTGAGTAACTATGAATCAATAAATGATTCTGATATGTATTCTTACCTGTTTTATATATGTTTTTGTTAAACACTGCAATGTAATGCACATATTATGATGTATTTTTTGACATTTTTATTTCTTATAATGTCTCTTTTTAGCAATGTGAGGAACTGTTATGCAACAAATTTCCTCCTGTGGATCAATAAAGTATTTCTGATTCTGATATGTATTCTTACCTGTATACTGAAGCACCGCCGTAAGAAATAAAGAGATTTTAATCCATTTTAACTCAACCATTGTGATTCTCTGTCTCTCTGTCCTTCTTCTGTCTCTTGTTCTCATGGTCTGAACTATTTCTAAAGTAGTGCTTTGGTAGAGAGATGATACATCTACTTCCTGTGGTTAGTATGACATAACTTCTTCATCAGTTTTAGATTCTCTCCTAATTTCCTGTAGATGTCCAAGCAGCCCAAAACTCTGATACAATTTTCACTTTGAAAGAGTTTAAAGGACCAGTGTGTAGGATTTAGTGGTGCCAAGCGGTGAATTTGAAGGTTGGAACTAACTGAACACCACTCGCGTCTGTATGTAAAGACCTGGGAGTGAGAACAGCCTGTGAAGTGTGTTGAAGCTTCATACTGAGTCTCAAGTTCACACCTTGTCAATATTGGTGTATTTGTGACAATGACATGTTTCACCACTGGAGACGTGTGAAGATTGTGATAATTAGATAGTGTTGTTGTTAACAACAGCTCTGGTGGTTTTACCCTCTGTTGATGTCCAGGTACATATCAGGAACACATAAAGATTTACTTCAGGCCTTGTACTTGTTACCAGTCTCAGTCTCAATTAATCTTTTAAGACTAATACTAATAGTCCATGTTAGTCCTGCTGACAAGAGTATTGTTACCTTTCAGAAAACCACTGCATCCCTCTAATCCTCTGTTTGTTTGTTGTCCCACAAGCACATCAGCATCCAAACCTACCATTCTCTCTTTTCACTCAGACTTCTCTGTGCTGGACTATCGGCCAACCTGGGGACCTCTCTCTCCTCATTCCAGAGGTTTTGATGTGGATCTTTGTCCTCCCGGAGATTCAGCTGCTCTTCTCTGTCGTTCTCTCACTTAGTAAATGTTGCATTAACTTAGTATATGCATTAGTTTCTGATCATTGCTAATTCTATGTTGTGTACATACTGTATATATTGTGCTGTTTTAGCTGGCATTAGCTGTATAAATGGTTTACTTGTTGTATTGGCTTGCCTCTTACTGCTGCTTCTTGGCCAGGTCTTCATTGTAAAGAGAATTGATTCTCAATTGACAATCTGGTTAAATAAAAGAAAAGTAAATAAAAAATAAAATAGATCAGGGCTGTAGATACAGGGCATACGTCAGTGTTGTAGATACAGGTTGTAGGTCAGTGCTGTAGATACAGGGCATAGGTCAGTGGTGTAGATACAGGATGTACGTCATAACAAGATTAATTATTAATATATTTTTTCTTCTGTACATTTTTTGGATTGTAATCTATCTATCTATCTATCTATCTATCTATCTATCTATCTATCTATCTATCTATCTATCTATCTATCTATCTGCCTTTTTTGATGGCGCCTCTCCAATTCTTGGCCATGTGCCAGAGTATTTGCACAGCAGCTGCCCTTTATGGCGTTTAGGTAGTGTTACCTTTGCTAATAAGAAACAAACAGCAAATACACAGTAATTGAGTGTTAAACTCCTTCTTTATTTGCATATTATATAATTATCAAATGTAATAAAGACAAACTGTTAAAAACAAACAAACTTTAAGACTCAAAATAAGACAAACACCCATTAACAAATATGTTAACACAAATACTAAATAGGTTAATTTAAAGGAATTAAACATAAAACTGAGCTCAAGCTGCTTTGAAATTCATTAGTTAGTCTTAAAATCAGAACTAAATTATTTGGTCAGAAGCAAATTTAAGGAAGTTAAAAAAGAGTTGAATCCGGCTTTCAGTTCAATTACAATCCAACTGATGCAGAAAAAGACTAAAACAAAATATTACGTTTCTCAAAATAACCTTAAGATTTTTTGTATTTACAATCTACTCATTTAAAACGAGTTGAGTTGATGTTGATGTAGAAGTTGTTGATCAGTGGAGTCTGATGGAGGCTGAAGTTTCCGTCAGACATCAGAAGATCTGGTGTTTTCATAGTTCACTGTACCATCATCTTCATCATTATCCACCTGTGAAAAACAACACAATCAAAACTCTCTGAAACACACTCTCAACCTTCAAATCCCAGTCCCACTTCTCACTTCAGCCCAGAGTTTCTTCCACCACTGTAAGGCCAGAACAGAGATGAGTTCAAGGTCCTCCACCAGAGGTTAAGTGAGAACATGTTGTCAGATGTGATGTAATTTATATGAACCAATGGTGTTACGACCACTTCAATAAAATACAGTGAGTCCTGTTTCCTTCTTCAGTCTATGTCTACAGTGTACAATGAAGAACAGATATCACAAACACTGGTTTTCTGTGTAAAGGACCAACTGTGAAAACATTTTCAAAACATTATTTTGTTGTAAAAACTCACCATATTTTCATCCGTCTGCATTTGTTTCCCTGAAAAGACGAGAGAAAGAGTCGACTTTAACTTCCACAGTGAAATTATCAAAAACCTCGTCTGTGAGTTTCATGGATGTTCTCACCTTTAGTTTTTGTCCATATGTTGACTGCCACAACAGTTATTATGAGTGCTACTACACCCACAAACTGAATTGACAAAATGACGATCCCCCAACCTTTAAACAGAATGAAAATATTAAAAAGTATTTGGTAACACTTTATATTGAGATATTCACCGTTAACTGTCTATATGCATTCATATTAGTAGCATATTATTCTCAATAACCTCCAAGGTACCGCTTAATCACAGTAAGTAAGGAAGTTGTTTGTTGTGTCCAAATAACTCAGAATATGTTCACTATCAGAAAGTGAGCTCTTGCTCATAAGTAAGCAAGACGTTAAAAATTAAAACTGATAATTAAACAAATTTAAAAAATGTTTGATTCAAATTCAAAATAAGTTTAATAATTCAAAGTTTTGTGACGTAGACTTTAATTATAGAACTTGGTCATGCAGCATAAGGGATTAATACATGCTTATAATGACTAATAAAGGGCTAATATGCTACTAATTAATAATCATTTCAAAACAAATTTAATTCGTGTAAAAATAATTAAATTAAAGATGAACAAGTTGTGTTTCACATATTAGAAACTGCAGATTTATGTTGCATCCAGAATCATTTAGCTACAATTGAAGAAGATTACATAAGAATTTAAAAATTGGTTCATTTAATAGTTTTATCTAATGGTCACATGGGTTGAGAAATGTCTTTCTTAACGTTTGTTCTCTTTCTTAAAGGTTTGTTTGCTTCTCTAATTAGATCTGTACAGATGTACACTTTTCTCTTTCAGCATTCAACCATTTTTAATAAAACAAAAGAACATAAAACAGACACACAGAGTGTCTTTCAGTGTTTTAAAGTTCCTCTGCCTGCATGACTTTGGTAAATTAGTCGATATAAATGTTGAGTCACTACCTGGTTCATCCATTACAGTTGTTGTTGTGTCGTCACCTGAAGAGATAAACACAACTCCACAAACTGTTGAGTACAAAACTTGTGTTGTGATGTAATATTAAAACTTCAAATCCATAAAACAAACTCAGTCTCATATTTCTCACCTGAGGGTCGAGGTCTGAAGGGAAACAGCTGCACGTCATTGCTATCATTGACTTCACACATAAATAAGTTATAGTTTGATGTGTAAGTGTAACAAAAGGTCAGAAAGTTCAAAGAGGCGTAGCACGAAGGCTGATCTGTCTTCACATTTCTGTTATGTCGATCCCAATCGTGACCATTAAACAGCCACCTCACTGTGTGTCTGCATGGTCCATATGTCGACACAGAGCAGCCTAATGTCACCAAATCAGTGTCTTTATGTTCAGTCACTGGTGGAGATGGAGATATTGTGAGAGAAAGACGACAAGAGTAAGACTAACTTCTATAATTATAATTATAGTTTTAAGAAGACAGTTTGAGCTGAAAACATTCTGATGTAAATACTCACTGCTAATAACAGACAGATCAACCTCAGAGTCTCGACCTTGTTGATATCCTGATTTGTTGAATTGTCCACAGGTGTAACGACCAGCATCCTCAACTGTGACCTTCTTTATAACCAGAGAACAGTTCGCTGTAACACTCAGTCTGTCTGATTTAGCTCTGCTGTATATGTGAATGTATATCTTTCCATGGTAAACCAGCACTACTGTATTTTCTGAATCACTGAAGAGCCACGTAGTAACGTCACAGTTTTGCTGATCGTCTGTTACATTTTCACAAAGCAACGTGACTTCATCTCCAACTGCGACACTGAGGGACAGAGGATGTTTTTCAGCTTCTGCTGTTGAGAAGATGAGAAAAAAAATGAAATGAGAAAATGTCTGTTGTGTTCATAGTTTGTATGATAATTATTTATTTATCCTTGTTTTCAAGAGCTCACAACATTATTTTATACATGATATATAATGTGCAATACTCTGGTATACATTATTAATACTGAAATTATATTGTATACTGTTCTGTTTTCTATTATCACTTATTCAGGGATCAGTTCCCAGCATTATCTGTATTTATTTATTACACTGCTGTTTTAACCATAGTATACATATTTTTCTATTTTCTATATATGTTGTTGTTATATACTGTAATATAATGCACATAATTTACAGTTTTTATTATTTTTTCTTTTAGCAACGTGAGTAACTGTAACACAACAAATGATTCTGTATTCTTACCTGTATACTGAAGCACCGCCATCAGAAATAAAGAGACTTGAATCCATTTGATCTCAACCATCGTGATTCTCTGTCTCTCTGTCCTGCTTCTGTCTCTTATTCACATGGTCTGAACTGTCTCAGTTGCTAAAGTAAAGTTTCCTTAGTAAAGAGATGTTGCATCTTCTTCCTGTGGTTAGTATATCACAACCTCATAGTGACTTCTAATCAGTTTTATCTCATTGCTCAAGAGTATGTTTCTGCATTTGTTGAGCCAATTTAACACTGTAACTAACAAACTGTGCTTCATAATAAAGACTTCAAGCTCATACCTTGTCCACGTTGGTGTGTTACTGTAGCAGCTGGTGGGAAAGAACACGGATAAGAGGATATTGTGAAATGGTCTAGTAGCTGTGGTCAGTCACAGCTTAACCCAGAATCCCTTTACGCCAGACAGGAACAATAGATAACCAGCTCCATTTTAAATGACGACTCCCACCGGTTGCACAGTGAATTTCAGCTTCTTTCTTCTGGACGGAGGTTTACAGTCTTAAAATGTTTTTCTTTATCGTTCTCGCTCTGTAAGTCCTGATTTCAAGAGCCTGGAGCAACTATCATGTTTGTATCATGTTTGTCTACGGTCTGAGTTGTTTGTTGTTTTTTATATTTTTGTAAAGAGGAATGTGTTGAAATTTGGACTTTCACTATTCTGCTCTGAGACCGGTTGGTTCCTCATTGTATCTTTGCACTAAAGGAGAAGTGTCTGATGGGAATGTGGTTAAAAACAGCAGCAGAGCTCTGGTGGTTATCTCCTATAGTTCAGTAATCCATATATGGTAATTGTAAAAGCTTTGTTAGTATATTAAGACATGACAAAACACAGTGTAGAATTGAGTATTAAACTCCTTCTTTATATGCAGATTATATAATTATCACATGTTATAAAGACAAACTTTCATTGACAACTTTAAGATTAATAAAAAGCCAAACATCAGTTGGACTTTAACAAATATGTTGACACGAATGCTAAATATGTTAATATAAATGAGTTTAACAGAGATTAAAGTGAACTCAAGCTGCTTTGAAACTGATTAGTTAATCTTAAAATCAGAACAAAATTTTTTGGTTTGAAGCAAATTTAAGGAAGTTAAACAAGAGTTAAAACCTGTTTTCAGTTAAATTAAAATCCAACTGATGCAGAAAAAGACAAAAGCAAAATATTACATTTCTCAAAATAACCTTAGTATTTTTTGTATTTACAATCTACTCATTTAAAACGAGTTGAGTTGATGTAGAAGTTGTTGATCAGTGGAGTCTGATGGAGGCTGAAGTTTCCGTCAGACATCAGAAGATCTGGTGTTTTCATAGTTCACTGTACCATCATCTTCATCATTATCCACCTGTGAAAAACAACACAATCAAAACTCTCTGAAACACACTCTCAACCTTCAAATCCCAGTCCCACTTCTCACTTCAGCCAAGAGTTTCTTCCACCACTGTAAGGCCAGAACAGAGATGAGTTCAAGGTCCTCCACCAGAGGTTAAGTGAGAACATGTTGTCAGATGTGATGTAATTTATGTGAACCAATGGTGTTACGACCACTTCAATAAAATACAGTGAGTCCTGTTTCCTTCTTCAGTCTACGTCTACAGTGTACAATGAAGAACAGATATCACAAACACTGGTTTTCTGTGTAAAGGACCAACTGTGAAAACATTTTCAAAACATTATTTTGTTGTAAAAACTCACCATATTTTCATCCGTCTGCATTTGTTTCCCTGAAAAGACGAGAGAAAGAGTCGACTTTAACTTCCACAGTGAAAATGTCAAAAACTTGTTGTCTATGAGTTTCATGGATGTTCTCACCTTTAGTTTTGGTCCATATGTTTACTGCCACAACAGCTATTATAAGTGCTGCTAAACCCACAGACACAATGATGGACCGAATTATTAAAGTCCTCATCCAAGGCTCTGAAAAGAGAATGAAACAAAAGTAATTAGGAGGTTATTGAGGGAAAACTCTTATGGCCTAGTAGCTGTAGATTATGGTCATGCAGAATAAAACATTAATACATGCTTTATAGTAATTAATATAGAGTCAATATGCAGCTAATATGCATGCTAAAAAGTAACTAGTAATGGTGAATACTTTAACATAAAGTGTTACCTAATTTCTGTTTCTGTATAAAGATGTGTTATTAAAAATACAATGAAATGTTTATTTGTTATTTGAAGTACAAATAAATCATTAGTGTTTAGTAATTAAAGTAATAAACTACCATCAGGTTAATATTTTTTATCTTTAATCAAATGCCTCAACAACACTGAAAAAATGGAAGAAGGAGGGTTGTTCAATTTACAAGTATGCATTTTGTATATGCTACATAATTAATTTATATTTCTCTCCAAAACATGATTAAATCTTTAAAAAGCATTTCAATATTGAGGAATTTAAAACCTACATGTCTCCATCATTTGAAGAAGAAAGGAAAAAGTTATGTTTTATCAGCGAAAAGGCCGCCTCCAAGGGCGGCTCCTGGACAGGAAACGGTTGCTGAAGACCTGCAGGCTCCGCCATTTTCTCCCTCGCTGTGATATTTTCTATGGATTTGGGCTTCTCAGGACACATAAAGGTAATAAAACTTGTCAAATATGAGCCAGTGTTAGAAGCAGCGTGTTTATAATCAAGATTTGAAAAGGTTTGGCTTTTTATTTGCCGGTAATGTCGAGTAAATCCAAGTCAGTCTTCATGCTAACGTTTGCGGTCATTCACTGGTTGCTAATGGTAGCGGTCATGCCTGCCCTCATTGAATATCTTTATCTTTATATCTTTATCTTTATTAGTTTTTATGTCTGTTAACGTAATGTGTGCACGGCAACTAGTTTGTATGGGGAAATTCATAGAACATAGGCCTAGGTCTATTCTCTTTTCAAATTGGCACCTGTCGGAGGTATTAAACAAGTTAACGAGTGTGGGGGATGGGTAACTCTGACATTGGCTTTGGTGAAACATGGCTGCTGTAACGAAATGGAGGAAAACCGACTAGGCGATATTAAAGTAGGTATCTTAGTATCAATTCTGCCATGCTGAGGTTCAGCAGTGTACTTTAAGGTCATGTTCAGCTGTTCCCATTATGGAGGTGATTATGGTCTGTTCAAATTAACCCCTTTGGGGGAAAAAAAGTAATGTTGTTAATGTTTTTTTTTTTATATACAGTCCGTGACTTTTGGGGAGCCTACTACTTAATAAGAAACACACTCGATTTTTGAGTATTTATTGATTGATTGATTTATTTTTTTGCTTTGTTTTTTCTTTCGGTAAGACATGCTTGTTCTTTCGTGCACGTCCACTGCGCACAGCTCCATGGACCTGCTTCTCCCGCAGCAACATGCTACCCGACTCTCACTCGCCTTTCCGAGTTTGGATAGACGTTGCCTCCGAGATGTAGAATGTGTATTGTAGATGAGAAACACACATTTTAGGATCACTGACTTGTATCAGAGCAGACATGGCCTGCGATTTTAAAAAAAATTTATAAGGAGGGCAATACCAATATTTGACAGTAATATTCTCAGCTGTCGTTGTTGCTAGGCTTTCAGTGTTTTCCATTAATTAACTCGTATGGGTCCGCCACAGTCTGTCACAGGGAAAAAAAAAATATACCGTCTCTCATATCTCTCTGTCAGCCCCTCCTTCCCTGCACTCTCTCGCGCGCGTAGGCTCACGCACTTACACACACAAACACGGGCACATGGACAGGTTGCGCTGTAATGGTGATAAACATTTAATGCACCGCGATCGCACCCCCCCCGTCGGACGGTCCGATCGCACCCCTAGCCTCCTGAAAACCTGTTGGAAACACTGCCTTTAGTTCATTATCAACTATAGCTCTTTTTAACATTTATTTATTTTTTCTGTGTAGATATCCTCCATCCAAGACCAATATTTGATATAAGGTATGTCTCTGGGTGCTGTGTCAAAGGCTCTGTAGTAGTGGTGAGTATTACTATTCACTTGCTTTTGTTGGTTTACTGGATGTGTTTAAACAAGAATGAATGGATTTCTCATGATTATGATGATATTATTTTCAAAAATATTTTAATGATAATTGCTGTAAATCCTACTGTCTTTAAGGGTGTAATGTTTATTTTTTGTTGAAACTATTTTGGAGAAGTGTTTCTAATAATTAGTCTGTCAGGATTTCACAAAATAATTTAACGGCACCACAATTAAACCACATAAAATGGCTGTGATTGTAATTTTTTGTAATTTTTTCAACAATTACTAAACTATATTGCTTTAACTTCTATGATGGTAAGATTTATTGATTTCTGGATTAGACTGCATTGGTTTAACATAAGAGTGTTCCCTAATAAACTGGCAAGATTATGCATTTTTAAATTATGGTTATTTATAATATATAATTATGGTTTTAAATTATGATTTGCTCTATTTCTGTAGGATGTGTGTCAGTGAGTTGAACTTCCATTTGTTTGTCTCTCTTTCTCTAGTGAATGTGGCAGTGTAAAGGGTGTTCAGTCGCTGTGCAAAGTAGGTCTGAATTACTTCACCATTATAAACTCAAACACCCACATTTTGGACGCACCTTAAATTATCCATGTACGTATTCTAAATGTCCCTGTACATTTAAGACATGGAATGCTTTAATCATCCATCAAAGTAGAGTGCATTCCACACAAGATAATCAGACACGAAAAGAGTTGTCCATTTTCAGCTGTCACTTATGTGCATGCAAAAATTTAGCTAATGAAAGGGAGTTTTTTGTTCATATCAACACACATCTGAAGAAAAATGAAAATGTAGGTTGCATGTTCGTTGGCTGTAGTTTTCAAACAAGTATTTATGGAACCTTTAAGTCTCATAAGAGTCGCCGGCACACACCTCACACATTATCTGATTTTCTACCAGGTATTGTAAAAACCACTACAATAGCATCTCCACCATTAGATGATTTGTTTGCTGATAGCCAGGATGAGGAGTGTGTGTTAGAGGAAGTTTCTGATTCTTCACGAGATCAACACAATGCACTTCCAAGTGCAATTGAGCAGCAGCTTGCAGCAGCCTTACTAAAGTTGGAATATTTAGTCCACGTGCCAGGTACAGCAATTGATGATTTTTTGCAAGAACTTTACTACTTGATAAACATAGCATCAGTCACAGTATCTAGAAGTGTTGTGACAGATATCCTTAAGCATCACAAAATACAAGTTGATGACTCTGTAGTTACAGAAATCACCACAGCAGTATGCTCATCTAACCCTGTTCCAAAAGCAATTGAAAAAGGCGGCCCTCTTAGTACTTCATATCAACGTAAACAATTTTATAAGGAAAAATTCTGTGTTGTGGAACCAGTTACTTACATACTTGATCATAAAAAGAAACACACCTTTCAGTATGTCCCACTGTTGAAATCTTTGCAACAAATTTTAAATAATAAGGCCATTGTTGATAAGATAATTGAAAATCATAGAGGACAGCAGGACACTGAACTTGACCCATCTCTTGAATTCAGGTCCCCTGAAGATGGTTTGCATTTTAACGCAAACAGCTTCCTAAATGCAGAGGAGTTACGGATAACACTGCGTCTGTATGTGGATGATTTTGAGACCTGCAATCCCCTAGGCACCTCTAGGAAAAAACACAAGCTTTGTGGTGTTTACTGGATACTAGGTAACCTGCCACCAGGCTCCCACTCATCTTTATCATCTATTTATCTTGCAGTGCTTTGCAAAAGTGTTGATGTAAAAACATATGGTTATGAAACAGTCTTGGAACCCCTTCTTCAAGATATTAAAATTCTCGAGGACTATGGTGTGTATGTGCCTTTATTAGGGAAGTCTCTTAAAGGTACAGTACTGAGTATTGTGGCTGACAACCTGGGCGCGCATGGTATTGCAGGGTTCATAGAAAATTTTTCTGGTGATTACGTTTGTCGCTTTTGCACAGCAAAGAGTTGTGATTTCAGGAATCAGTGTGTTGCTACCGGTGCTTTCAGCCTTAGAACTAGAGCTGGCCATGCAGATCATGTAAAATCATCTTGTGAGAAGGGTACACATTGCTTTGGAGTTAAGAGAGAGTGCATTTTTACCAAAACTCTGTCTCATTTCCATGTTGTCTCCGGTTTTCCGCCTGATGTTGCTCATGATATATTTGAGGGCATTGTGCCTGTTGAGCTGGCCCACTGCTTGGCATTAATGATATCAAAGAAGTTATTTACATTAGATGAACTAAATAGAGCTATATTGACTTTCCCCTATAAATGGTCCGACAAAACAAACAAGCCACATATTGTACCACAAAGTTTCTTGGGTCGGAAAACTATCAGTGGCAACGCTCATGAAAACTGGAGCCTACTGAGGCTGCTCCCATTTGTGATAGGTCCCCTTGTCCCAGAAAATGAGCCAGCATGGCTTGTGTTGATGGATTTAAAAGATATTGTGCAGTTAGTTGTTGCTCCTGTGCATACAGATGAATCCATCTCATACCTTGAAAGCAAAATTGTTGAGCACAGACAGAGGTACCAAGACCTGTTCCCTGGTGTCAGACTTCTACCCAAACACCACTATGTAGAACACTACCCGCAGATGATAAGGTGTTTTGGCCCTCTAGTCACAGTTTGGACAATGAGATTTGAAGCCAAACATAGTTTCTTTAAGAACATTGTTAAACACACAAGTTGCTTTAAGAATGTACCACTGACTTTGGCTTCAAAACATCAAATGATGATTGCATTTCACCTAAACTCACCGTCTTATGGTAAATCTTGCCTAGATGTATCTACTGTCTCCACAGTTCCAGTTGATGTACTGAAGGAGGAAGTAGCTGAGGCTATAAAGCTAAAATGCCCTAGCACATCTGAAGTGCATCTTGCTAAGAATGCATCAAGCAATGGCATAGCCTACAGCAATGGCATGATAGTTGCCCATGGATCAGTAGGTGGATTACCAGAGTTTGCTGAAATTAGTCAGATGTGTGTAATAAATGAGATGTTGTTCCTCATTGTGAAAGTGCTGTGTGGGTGGTACACTGAACACTACAGAGCCTTTGAGCTAAGCTTGTCACCATCCAGAGAAGTAAAACTTGTGGCACTCAGTGAACTCACTGACCCCTATCCACTGGCCTCTTACACTGTTGGATCAAGTCATATGGTAACCTTAAAAAGGCAGATTATCATAAAGGTTGGTTAACCACCAAAATGGTGATTAATAGTAGGACTGAACAGTTAATTGCAATAAGATATTTTCAGTCCAAAGTAGCTCTTTTTTTTACACACGTATATTTGGTGATATGGTAATGTGCATGCTGAGTTGTATGTTTTGTTATTTTGTCACAAGACATTTGTCTTTGGAGTCTGTCAATCTGCCTGCATGTGTATCATCACATCTATTTTCTCTTCACATTCAGACTGTATTTTTTTGTGCTTTGTTGCCCATGGGAGTTTCTCTGAAATCTCTTTGTATATCCATTATAGGTCATACTGTATTGCATGCACTGATTTTTGTGGGTCACATCCTAGGCTTCTCATTTGTTTCCACCTCTTTCTAGTTTTCAGGATGAACTTTAAGCTAGTACAGATGGATTTTATCAGGTAGTAGTTGGGCAAATTACAAAATGAAAGTGGGACTAGAATCAATTCTCCAAGGCCTTCTTCAAGGCCAAGTGGTAAACTGAAAATGAGAAACCTAACATCATGTTGCATCAATTAGTGTATTGACACAAGTAAAATACTTGACATAAAACAATAAGCATTAATCTTTTTTTTCGTTTTTGTCACTTTCCTTCTTTTTACAGACTGAGACGTAGAAGGATGAATGCCCCGACACTTCTCAAAGTCATCCTGGGTGACAACAGCAGCCAAAGGATGACTTTTCAAAATGGACTCCCAGGATCTGTTAATGAACTTGTTAGTGAGGTACAAAGACAATGTGGACTTGACTATGACTTCAGACTTCAGTTTATGGATGCACTATTTGGAAATGACTTCATGAACCTCACTTCAATGGATGAAGTACAGGATAGAGGGACAATTAGAGTGATTGCCATGACAGATTCCTCAACTCCTCAGTGTGCTAATATCCTTCCCACCTCAGCTGCCCATCACTCCCTTAATGAATCCTCATCCCTGTCCAGTGGATGTGTTGACACTGACATACTCTCTTCACCGGAGTCAGAGTCATCCGGCTCTCGGTCATCTTGGCCGAGCATCTTTCGTGTTCCTCAGTTTAGTTATGATGCCGAGTTGAAACTTGCGCAGGGCAATGCAGCTTACAGGGAAAAGGGTACATTGTTTATTCCTGATCCTAAACTGAAGTCGAACATTCTTGAGGGCCTAGTGCAAGAAATTGTTAAGTACAAACTTTATGTTTCTGACAAAGACTTTAACACAGTTGGAGAGGCTCTAATCTCAAAGCATCCTTGCCTGACTGAGAAAGGCTCCCTCTCTGGATATGCTGGATGGAAATGCAGCTTGAAGAACAAACTGGCAATCTACCGCACTAACCTAAGAAAGCTTGGATGTCCTGAGGTGACAATAAACTCACTCAAGCACAAACCAGAGGGCAAATCAAGCCCTGCTTTTGGCATTAAAAAACCAAGAAGGTCTGAAGTGAACTACTGTCCCCCCTATCCTACTGGAGAATCTGAGAAGAGTCTTGAGAGTGTGAGAATGGAGCTTCTTTCAGATGTTAAGAAGAAGAACAACAGGGAAGCAGTAAGGATGAAAATGGAAAAGACATTTGCATATAGGAGACAGGAAGTGGTTCGCGACACACCAATGATAAGAGACTTCCAGACGAGATGGCCAGCACTTTTTGAAGTAGGCGAGGTATGTGATTTATTCTCTCTCTCTCTCTCTCACTCACTCACTCACTCACACTCTCTCTCTCACACATTACAAACTAAAATTAAATCTGTATGATTCCTATCTGTTGATTTACCTTAATTTGACAAAGTCATGTAACTTACCTGCTGGCTGCTTAGCAGACCCTCTCCCAAACTAAATCAATTGTTAATCCTTAAGTGTTCTTGGGGATATTTCCAGCCACCCTGTTGTTTATTTTTTAAGCCATTTTGGCTGTGTTGAATGAATATAGCTAAAAAAAAAAAAATTGAAATTGAAATCTCAGTACCTTAATTAAGCCTAAAATGGCAATGCTATCAAAATCCAGGCTTAAATGTTCCTAGCGCCAAAACCTGCCCCATTGAAACCCATTAAAACAACTTTTTTTGATCCCACGTTTATCCTAACATAACATCTCGCACAGTATGGTAAACATACTGGCATTTAAAGGGTTAAAAACAAAAAATATATAATTAATATTTTATATGTATATTTCAGGCTGAAGTAGTTCTAAAAGACTGGCGTGTTTAAGTCGAAAAAAATATCAATATATACTATTTTTTTATAGCAGTTTATGGGAACAAGCCACGTTTTGGCTTTAGGAACATCCACAAAGTAAATAAGTTAAGAACACTTAAGGGTCACCAAGTTTCAGCCGGAAAATATTTGGAGGGTATAGATGATTTTTTTAAAAAGTATGATCATGACATAATATAACTAGAAAATAAAGCAATAAAACAAGGAACTTTTTGAATTATTCTGCTCCTGTACAAATGTTCTAATTTAATTTTAACTTACTGTTGGTCATGGTTACTTGATTGGTGTTCGTTTTTTTATTTTTATTTTTTATTAATTGCTGCCATATTGCATGTTGTCTGTAATCATTCTCATTTTCAGATAAATGCTGAATTCAAACGGATCACAACAATGCCCCTGCAGTCCAGATTTCTATCGCAATTAGATGTTCACTCCGAGAAACTGCTCAAAATGTTTAAAAACAGAGGAGGACAGATTGGCAGACGCCTAGGGGGCATCATTGCACCCATGGATGAAGTAAGTATACTCTCTGGGGGACAAACTCAAACTTACACAGACAAACTCAAGCAAAACAACTTGTGCTTCTGTTTTTCTGCCTCAGGATGATGACGTGGATCTGGGAAGAGAATGTGTCATAAAGGCACTCTGCGTTTACCTGAACGAGGACCCAGAGAATCTATTGAGAGAGTATGTGGTAAGTATTACTTAGGTTTAGTATGTTGATGTTATCTTTCATATTTTGTATAAGCTTTAAAACATCTACACATTGTAATTACTTTACAGTCAGCTAACTTGTAAGATAATATGGTAGTGATCTTAATCTATACAAGTAGTTCCGACCAAGCAATCTGATTGTTCAACAAGACATTTAGAACATGCTCAAATCAGCATAACAGCACGCCTGACTCAAAACTAACAATATTATTCCGCCATCTCATGTTGTTGTATCCATCTCCATGATAACCATCCATGATTCTTATTTTTATTTTTTAGAAACATTGTTACTCGTGAAAAAAAAATCAAACTTAATCAACCTCCTGTAGAGTGTAAAAAGAATGCACACTCGCAAAACCTTTTTAAATTTGAGAGCAAATTGTCCATCAAAATGAATATATTTTGATACATTTTATTTTGTTGGTAATAGTTGTATAATCGCAATATTACCCGAGAGGGTGTACTTAAACGTCATTTGAGCATGACAGTGATGCGCTCAGGAGCAAGCGCCTCGGTCCCTACCCTCTTGGGTAATATTGCTTAAATCAAAGTGTGTGTTATGTGTGTGGTTTTCAGCCTCTATGAGCCACTTTGTGTTACTTTCTGTATGAAAGTGCCATATAAATAAAGTTTGATTTGATATCTTAATAAATTACTCAATACAGATATGCAGTATTCCCTATATGGACGTGGCATGTAGTGTAATCACACTTTGATTATTTTTGTGTATTGTACAGGCAGCAGATGAATCCCTCCTCCAGGAATCCATTGAGGAAACCACTATGGGTATATACGTCTGGAAACACAGAGATGACAGTGAAAAACCAGAGGACATTGGCATTGTCCTCGAGTCCCAGATTGTGATGCAGGATATGGACAGTGTTCCCTTAGCTGCTGCCATGTTGTTTGGCCTAATATATTCTTTGAACTTAAACTACCCTGCTGAACTCAAGTATACCTTTGAAGTGCTGCAGAAGGTGGTCATGGAGCTTGAAGGCAATGCACTGTCCAAAAAAGCCCAAGTCCTGAAGAACAGACTTTATCAGTGAACTGGCTATCCAGGCTCTCGAGCTTGATTTCTTAAGACATACATTATGTCACCTACCTCTTCCAGTTGTTGGACTTTTCTTTTGGGCGGGTAGGAGGCTTTTTTTTTTTTTTTAAATGGAACTATAACATAATTTCCCCCCCTTTTTTAGAGTTTGGGGTGATTTTTGTTTACTGTGAACATTGAAAAAATTATAGTGGCTTGTTTACGATTACCAGTGTTCACATTATGGAACACCCTGTGGTCATGGTCAGGCTGTGTGCTATGTACCATAGAGCAAAAGGACAGGTGTGTATTCAAATGAAAATTCTCTGTCAGTGTGTTGTATGTACATAGATGAGTTTTAATGTGTGGTGACCGTAGCTTTGGCTTCAGGTTCTGCTAAATGGTGTGCACAAATCTCCCTCTGTTATCCACACGAACCTGCACACATTTCTGACTCCAGGGACTCTTCTTTGTTGAAGGAAAAAAAGGCTATCCAACTTGTTTGCTTGATTTCTTAAGACATGCATTATGTCACCATCTACCTCTTCCAGTTGTTGGACTTTTCTTTTGGGTGGGTAGGAGGCTTTTTTTTTTTTTTTTTTTTTTTAAATGGAACTATAACATAATTCCCCCCCCATTTTTAGAGTTTGGGGTGATTTTTGTTTACTGTGGACACTGGTAATTGCAAACAAGCCACCATAATTGTTTCAATGTTCACATTATGGAACATCCTGTGGTCACTGTAGCTTTGGCTTCGGGTTTTGGTTCACCAATAATGTTCTGTCTTTGTTGGGGAGAAAAAAAGGTATTTTTCTGGTAATACTGTATGCATTATTTCATCTACCTCTTACAATTGTTTGATTTATTTGGGTGAGTGGGAGGCTTCTTTTTCCACTATTTTTTTATCAAACTGAAACAGACTACTACCCCTATTTTTAGGGTTTGGGGTGATTTTTCTTTAACTGCCGTTCCTTCTTGATGCTTGAAACAATGTTCTAATAAATATAAATGGAAATTTTCAATTAAATAGTGTTTACTTTGTTTTTTCACTGAATTGTCAATATATATGATTTCCCAGGTAGTACACAGCAAGTTGTATTTTTAGTCATTACGGATGTTTGTTATGCACTGTCTGGAGGTAATAATTGAAGATATGTCGGCCTATTACCACGTCCTTTTTTATTTTCCGTAAAAGATTCGGCTTGATTAAGTGGGGTTGGGGGTGTAGAAATTAATTTCTTAAATTACCAATTATCTTATAAAAGTAATTTAAATATTTAAAGTATACCAAACTTAATAGTGTCCAATTTACCTGTGGAAGTTAGGTTAGCTTCACGCAAAAAAATTATGTTGGTCCAACTGATGATAATTAAATATCATACACATTAAAGAATAGCGTTCATTTAACATAAAAAAAATCAGTCAGTTTAGCAGAAGATAATCTAATATACTTAACATCAAATAAATATTTTAAATTTATGTAAGAAAGTCATGTTGGTTTAACGAATAATAATTTAATGTACAGAACATGAATATATCAATTTGAGTAAACATAACTTTATTATGTGCAACCGATGTCCATAATTATTTTATGTAAATCCAAAAGACTTTTTTTTTCAGTGAACTTTTTGCCTGAAAGTTTCTACACACATTCATGTTCCCCCTCAGGATGAAACTGTAACAACTTTGATGATTCCCCGAATTTCCAAGTAGTGCCATCATCGGGACAAAATGATATTTATTTATTTATTTTATAAGCTTCAGCTGTATTTTGTGCTTAGCACTAATCAGGAAATGTTAGCATGTTAACGCAGTCAACTAAGACACTGGCTGCAGACTCTTAGTCTCGTTAATGTGCATTTGAAATATTTTGGATACTTTCAAGAAAAACATTATCGTGCTGTGAACATTTAATTCATTAAAGAATCATTTAATTAAAGATGAACAAGTTGTGTTTCACATATTAGAAACTGTCCAGAATCATTAAGCTACAACAGAAGAGGAGTACATAATAATTTCAAAATTGATTAAACATTCTTTTAATACTTTTTGTCTAATTTATGTAAAAGGTTTGTTTGCTTCTGTCATTGGGTCTCAGGGTCATGTGCAAAGTTAGGCTACTGTTGATGTATGCCGATGATTCAACGCTAATTCACTAAAGATACCGGCATCCATGAAGTGTCAGATATCAGAAAAAAACAAACTTTCTTAGTCTCACTCAGTCTGCAAGCCAAATCACCATTAGTCATATGTCTGTTTTGAAGTCAAGTTATTGTGAGTTACTCATTCAAGCCACCATCTCTTGCTGCCCTGAAAAGCCATGGCATAGTTTGCATACTGTGTAGGAATGTAAGTAACATTTTAAAATCTACATTTGCCAACACCGTCTCAAGCATTTAAAAACATTTAACCATGTACAACAGCTCAACATATTCTCATCAGGTTCCTCACCTGATGCTCGAAGTCTGAGGGGAAACAGCTGCACGTTTTTACCATCTCTCACTTCACACTTCAGTAGGTTATAGTTTGATGCGTTGATGTAACAGAAAGTCAGAAAGTTCAAAGAGGCATAGCACGAAGGCTGATCTGTCTTCACATTTTGGTTAAGTTGATCCCAGTCTTGACCATTAAACAGCCACCTCACTGTGTGTCTGCATCGTCCATATGTCGACACAGAGCAGCTTAATGTCCCCAAATCAGTGTCTTTATATTCAGTCACTGGTGGAGATTGAGATATTGTGAGAGAAAGACAACGAGTAAAATTAACTTCAATAATTATAATTATAGTTTTAAGAAGACAGTTTGTACGGAAGCCCTAAAGGACCATCCATTCATAAATCTTATTTCCTCCGTTTTCCTGTGATTAATTTTCTCGAGATCTCGATATAACGAAACTTTGTTTTCCCGAGATAACGATATAATTAATTTGAAATTTGTTTTGGCATTTCTCCACATTGGTGCAGTAAAATGTTTGATATTAAGTATGTTTTTTATTCATCATGGGCGCATGAAACACTTTAATGTAACATATTTTATTTTAAATGTAGGTTTGAATTATAGCTTACTGTTCTTAATACCTTTATTTTGAACACCGGAAGTGAATATGCAGTAAATTTAAGTGCGGCTTATTTGACCACGGAGATTGGAGTAATGGCTGGCTTGACCGCAGTTATGATATCACAGTCATTATCTCGAGATCTCGAATTAATTATATCGTTATTTCGGGAAAACAAAGATTTGTTATCTCGAGATTTTGAGAAAATTAACTCGTTAACACGGGAAAACGGAGGAAATTAAATGTTCTGATGTAAATACTCACTGCTAATAACAGACAGATAAACCTCAGAGTCTCGACCTTGTTGATATCCTGATTTGTTGAACTGTCTGCAGGTGTAAATACCAGCATCTTCAACTGTGACCTTCTTTACAACCAGAGAACAGTTTGCTGTAACACTCAGTCTGTCTGATTTAGCTCTGCGGTCTCTTTGTATCTGTCCATATTCAAACAGCGCTACTGCATTCTCTGAATCACTGGAGAGCCACGTAGTACCGTCACAGTTTTGCTGATCGTCCATCACTTTTACACAAGGCAAAGTGACTTAGTCTCCAACTGCGACACTGAGGGAGAGAGGATGTTTTTCAACTTCTGCTGTTGAGAAGATGAGAGAAAATGAATAAGGAATAAAGTGAAATGAGAAAATGTCTGTTGTGTTTACAGTTTGTATGACATTTATTTATCCTTGTTTCCAAGAGTTCACAACACTCACCATGTTAGAAACAAACAACAGATTTGTTGTCTTAGTTAAATAAAATGTAGGTAATAAAGTATCTTTAATAATATTGATGAAGTTACTTTTTGTACATTTGATATATAACGTGCTATACTCTGGTTTATACTGTCATTAATAAAGCAATTATAGTCTTCTGTTTTTCATTAGCACTTATTCAGGAATCCACAAATAAGAAAAAATAAATAGAAGACAGAATTAGTATTCTTGTGGTATTACCACCTTATAAGGTGTATTACCCAAATAGTTGTAGAATATGATTATGCAGAATAAGGCATTAATACGTACTTTATAATGACTAATAAAGAGCCAATGTGCTACTAATATGGATGCTAACAGTTTGTGTTTGAAATAGGAGATAAAAAGAGAAAAGAAATGAAAGTGTTATTAAAAATAAAATGAAATGTTCATTTGTTATTTGAAGTACAAATAAATCATTAGTGTTTAGTAATTAAAGTAATAAACTGGTGCTACCATCATGTTAATATTTTTATCTTTTACTCAAACGTCTCAACAACTTTTTGCCTGAAAGTTTCTACACACATTCATGTTCCACCCTCAGGATGAAACTGTAACAACTTTGATGATTCCCTGAATTTTCAAGTAGTGCCATCATCAGGACAAAATTATATTTATTTATCTATTTTATCAGCTTCCGCTATATTTTGTGTTTAGCACTAATCAGGAAATGTTAGCATGTTAACCTAGTCTCGTTAATGTGCATTTGAAATGTTTTGGATACTTTCAAGAAACTTTATTGTGCTGTGAACATTTAATTCATTAAAAATCATTAAATTGAAGACTAAAGATTAAAGAGTTGTGTTTTACATATTATTAACCGTCCACAATAATGTAACTACAATAGAAGAGGATTACAAGAGAATTTCAATTGATTCATTTAATAGTTTTATCTAATGATTACACCGTTGGAGGTTGAGACATTTCTTCAACCTTTCTTTGCTTCTCTCATTAGGTCGAATGAAACGGACATAGATTTGTCAACATTCAACCATTTACTAATGAAACAACATCAGACACGCAGAGAGTCAGTCAGTGACTAAAAGTTCCTCTTCCTGCACGACTTTGCTGTCATTTAGGAAATAAAAATTGTGAGTCTCTACCTTTTGGATTTGTTGAAGTGTTATTGATTACAGTTGGATTTGTCGTTGTTGGTGGTTTTGTTGTTATTGTTGTTGTCGTTGTCGTTGTTGGTGGTGGTGGTTTTGTTGTTGTTGTTGTTGTTATGTCCTCACCTGAGGAGACGAACACAACTCAACAAACTGTTCAGTACAAAACTTGTGTTGGGATGTAATATTAAAACTTCAAATTCATTAAACAAACAATTATTTTGGGTAATTATTCACATCAGTTTGAAGAGATTTTAAACTGTTCAACATATTCTCACCTGAGGGTCCAGGGTCTTTCACTTCACACTTCAGTAAGTTATAGTTTGATGCATTATTGTAACAAAAGGTCAGAAAGTTCAAAGAGGCGTAGCACGAAGGCTGATCTGTCTTCACATTTCTGTTATGTCGATCCCAATCTTGACCATTAAACAGCCACCTCACTGTGTGTCTGCATCGTCCAAACGTCGACACAGAGCAGCCTAATGTCACCAAATCAGTCTCTTTATGTTCAGTCACTGGTGGAGATTGAGATATTGTGAGACGACAAGAGTAAAATTAACTTCTGTAATCATAATTATAGTTTTAAGAAGACAGTTTGAGCTAAAAACATTCTGATGTAAATACTCACTGCTAATAACAGACAGATAAACCTCAGAGTCTCGACCTTGTTGATATCCTGATTTGTTGAACTGTCTGCAGCTGTAACGACCAGTATCCTCAACTGTGACCTTCTTTATAACCAGAGAACAGTTCGCTGTAAGACTCAGTCTGTCTGATTTAGCTCTGCTGTCATTGTGTATCTTTCCATTTTCAAACAGCTCTGCTAGGTATCTTGAATAACGGAAGTACCAGTCGGTATTGTCACAGTTTTGCTGATCGTCTATCACATTTTCACAAAGCAACGTGACTTCATCTCCAACTGCGACACTGAGGGACAGAGGATGTTTTTCAGCTGCTGCTGTTGAGAAGATGAGGAGATTTATAAAAAATAAAGTGAAATGAGAAAATGTCTGTTATGTTCATAGTTTATATGACAATTATTTATTTTACTTATTTCCAAGAGTTCACAACACTCACCATGTTAGAAACAAACAACAGATTTGGTTGTGTTAGTTAAATAATATGTAGGTAGTAAATTATCTATTGATAAAATTACTTTAAACATGATATATAATGTGCAATATTCTAGTTTACATTATTAATACTGGAATTATATTGTATACTGTTCTGTTTTCTATTAGCACTTATTCAGGGATCCAGTTGTCAGCATTATCAGTATTTATTCATTACACTGCTGTTATATACCATAGTATACATATTTTTCTATTTTCTATATATGTTGTTGTTATGTACTGCAATGTAATGCACATATTTAAACGTTCTTATTATTTTTTCTATTTCTTATAATGTCTTTTTTTTAGAAACGTGAGTAACTATGAATCAATAAATGATTCTGATATGTATTCTTACCTGTTTTATATATGTTGTTGTTAAACACTGCAATGTAATGCACATATTATGATGTATTTTTTAACATTTTTATTTCTTATAATGTCTCTTTTTAGCAATGTGAGGAACTGTTATGCAACAAATTTCCTCCTGTGGATCAATAAAGTATTTCTGATTCTGATATGTATTCTTACCTGTATACTGAAGCACCGCCGTAAGAAATAAAGAGATTTTAATCCATTTGAACTCAACCATTGTGATTCTCTGTCTCTCTGTCCTTCTTCTGTCTCTTGTTCTCATGGTCTGAACTATTTCTAAAGTAATGCTTTGGTAGAGAGATGATACATCTACTTCCTGTGGTTAGTATGACATAACTTCTTCATCAGTTTTAGATTCTCTCCTAATTTCCTGTAGATGTCCAAGCAGCCCAACCCAAAAATTTTCATTTTGAAAGAGTTTAAAGGACCAGTGTGTAGGATTTAGTGGTGCCAAGCGGTGAATTTGAAGGTTGGAACTAACTGAACACCACTCGCGTCTGTATGTAAAGACCTGGGAGTGAGAACAGCCTGTGAAGTGTGTTGAAGCTTCATACTGAGTCTCAAGTTCACACCTTGTCCATGTTGGTGTATTTGTGACAATGACATGTTTCACCACTGGAGACGTGTGAAGATTGTGATAATTAGATAGTGTTGTTGTTAACAAAAGCTCTGGTGGTTTTACCCTCTGTTGATGTCCAGGTACATATCAGGAACACATAAAGATTTACTTCAGGCCTTGTACTTGTTACCAGTCTCAGTCTCAATTAATCTTTTAAGACTAATACTAATAGTCCATGTTAGTCCTGCTGACAAGAGTATTGTAACCTTTCAGAAAACCACTGCATCCCTCTAATCCTCTGTTTGTTTGTTGTCCCACAAGCACATCAGCATCCAAACCTACCTTTCTCTCTTTTCACTCAGACTTCTCTGTGCTGGACTATCGGCCAACCTGGGGACCTCTCTCTCCTCATTCCAGAGGTTTTGATGTGGATCTTTGTCCTCCCGGAGATTCAGCTGCTCTTCTCTGTCGTTCTCTCACTTAGTAAATGTTGCATTAACTTAGTATATGCATTAGTTTCTGATCATTGCTAATTCTATGTTGTGTACATACTATATATATTGTGCTGTTTTAACTCGCATTAGCTGTATATATGGTTTACTTGTTGTATTGGCTTGCCTCTTACTGCTGCTTCTTGGCCAGGTCTTCATTGTAAAGGGAATTGGTTCTCAATTGACAATCTGGTTAAATAAAAGAAAAGTAAATAAAAAATAAAATAGATCAGGGCTGTAGATACAGGGCATACGTCAGTGTTGTAGATACAGGTTGTAGGTCAGTGCTGTAGATACAGGGCATAGGTCAGTGGTGTAGATACAGGATGTACGTCATAATAATTTAATTATTAATATATTTTTTCTTCTGTACATTTTTTGGATTGTAATCTATCTATCTATCTATCTATCTATCTATCTATCTATCTATCTATCTATCTATCTATCTATCTATCTATCTATCTATCTATCTATCTGCCTTTTTTGATGGCGCCTCTCCAATTCTTGGCCATGTGCCAGAGTATTTGCACAGCAGCTGCCCTTTATGGCGTTTAGGTAGTGTTACCTTTGCTAATAAGAAACAAACAGCAAATACACAGTAATTGAGTGTTAAACTCCTTCTTTATTTGCATATTATATAATTATCAAATGTAATAAAGACAAACTGTTAAAAACAAACAAACTTTAAGACTCAAAATAAGCCAAACACCTACTGGACTCTAACAAATATGTTAACACAAATACTAGGTTAATTTAAAGAAATTAAACATAAAACTGAGCTCAAGCTGCTTTGAAATTCATTAGTTAGTCTTAAAATCAAAACTAAATTATTTGGTCAGAAGCAAATTTAAGGAAGTTAAAAAAGAGCTGAATCCTGTTTTCAGTTCAATTAAAATCCAACTGATGCAGGAAAAGACTAAAACAAAATATTACGTTTCTCAAAATAACCTTAAGATTTTTTGTATTTACAATCTACTCATTTAAAACGAGTTGAGTTGATGTTGATGTAGAAGTTGTTGATCAGTGGAGTCTGATGGAGGCTGAAGTTTCCGTCAGACATCAGAAGATCTGGTGTTTTCATAGTTCACTGTACCATCATCTTCATCATTATCCACCTGTGAAAAACAACACAATCAAAACTCTCTGAAACACACTCTCAACCTTCAAATCCCAGTCCCACTTCTCACTTCAGCCCAGAGTTTCTTCCACCACTGTAAGGCCAGAACAGAGATGAGTTCAAGGTCCTCCACCAGAGGTTAAGTGAGAACATGTTGTCAGATGTGATGTAATTTATGTGAACCAATGGTGTAACGACCACTTCAATAAAATACAGTGAGTCCTGTTTCCTTCTTCAGTCTATGTCTACAGTGTACAATGAAGAACAGATATCACAAACACTGGTTTTCTGTGTAAAGGACCAACTGTGAAAACATTTTCAAAACATTATTTTGTTGTAAAAACTCACCATATTTTCATCCGTCTGCATTTGTTTCCCTGAAAAGACGAGCGAAAGAGTCGACTTTAACTTCCACAGTGAAAATATCAAAAACCTCGTCTGTGAGTTTCATGGATGTTCTCACCTTTAGTTTTTGTCCATATGTTGACTGCCACAACAGTTATTATGAGTGCTACTACACCCACAAACTGAATTGACAAAATGACGATCCCCCAACCTTTAAAGAGAATGAAAATATTAAAAATTATTTGGTAACACTTTATATTGAGATATTCACCGTTAACTGTCTATATGCATTCATATTAGTAGCATATTATTCTCAATAACCTCCAAGGTACCGCTTAATCACAGTAAGTAAGGAAGTTACTATACTGAAGCACCACCATCAGAAGTAAAGAGATTTTAAACCATTTGATCTCAACCATCGTGATTCTCTGTCTCTTGTTCTCTTGGTCTGAACTGTCTCAGTTTCTAAAGTAAGGTTTCCTTACTAAAGAGAAGTTGCAACTACTTCCTGCTGTAAGTATGATTTCTTCATTGTGACTAATCAATTTCTCTCGTAGCTAAAGAATATTATTCTGCATTCGTTCAGCCAATCTAACACTGTAATAAACTATATTAAGCTTCATATTGAGTCTGAAGTTCACACCTTGTCCATGTTGGTGTGTTTGTGATACTTTGGCAGCAGGTGGGAAATAGCACAGGAAATAAGATATTTTACTGGTTTACTGAGACCTGTTGCTTCATCATTGTATCTTTGATGTTTTTTTTCCTGAGAACTGAAGGACAAGTGTCTGATGGGAAAGTGGATTAAAAATGCAGAGCTTAAGCTTCATATTGAGTTCACACCATGTCTGTGTTGGTGTGTTTGTGACAATGGTGTGTTTAATGTCTGCAGAAGAAAAAGCAGAAGAAGAAGCAGTGTGAAGATTGTTGGTTAAGATAAATATTATATTACACTTTGTTCCCCTTACATAGTGTTAGAAAACAGGGTGTTTGTTTCTGCTCTCACTAAAAAATTGGTCAGATATCCCAAACTTTGTCAGTATGTAAAACACTTAACAAAACATCTGAAAATCGCATCATGCTCTCATGGAGTTTTACCCTGAAAGTTCTTTTGGACAACAGTGTCCGAATTGTTTGTGTATACTGTTTTATGTGTCATATTTATGATCATTTGTGACTCACTTTAGCCCGCCCTTGAGCGCCTTTCTTGACTTGAATCTTGGTTAAAGCTACATGTTTTCATCTCTGAGCAGGGAGCTCTTCACAGCCAGTATGGACAGGAGAAATCATTACTAATAATGCTTTCAACGTACATATGGGCAGGTGAGAATTGTTTTAAAATAGACTTGATGTGTATCGGTCCTTTAAATAGTTGTCAACACTGCCTGAGAGGTGTTGATTGAGCTGTTGAACTGTCAGGCATCTTTCCAGCTAGTAGGTTTCACACATTTCTCAGTACTTGATTCACTTGTAATTTTCATAAACCAACATTTCCTTAAAAAAAAAAACACAGCAAAACAAAGAGAAACTAACTTTGTATGACCATGTTTAAGGTAATTTTTTCTGAACTTGCATGTGTGACGTTATTTTTTAAATATACAATTGAGTTACTAAATTAAATTGTTATTTTTAAAGTTATATTATTATCTAAGATATAAACTTTGAAGATCTGAACACAAGTTATATTCACAGAAGCTTCACTGTCTAATAAACAGCCTCATCCTGCATTAGAAACAACCTAAGAGCTGATATAACAATGAGAAGAAAACACAGAATTTTTCAAAAAAGAAGCATCTTAAGTCTTGAAAATAAATATATATATTAATATAATACACATAATTGTATTAAACGGGCCTAAAAATATCAGGAAAACTCCTCTCTGATCAATACACAGGAAATAATCTGCTCAAAATGAATCTTAATCTCTGGTTTTACACAAACTTTCTGCAGTTATTGTGTTCACTGTTTGGGTTCATTGTACAGTTTATCAGTTGTTCTCTACTGTTATCGTTATACAATGAACACTATATGAAATATCCATGATATAAAAGGTTGGGAACCACTGCCTTACAGAAACTAATCAGAAATGAAGCAAGAAACTGCAACAATATATACGCATTACAGTTTCAGTAAGCTCTCTAAAACTCGAAAACCTAATAAAAAAATGGATTGATGAATTATACAATAATAGAGAGGAAACAGCAGTGCACCCTGGGGTTTTTATGATCTAACATACTTCAACAGTATGCTGGAGATGGCTCAATCAGTATGAGTTAATCCAAACATATTATATAATAAAATATGACAGCTCAAAATCAAACAGAGCAACTTTTCCAGCTGAAAAACATCAAATTCAGTCAGAAGTTTTGTTGTTTGTCTTTTAATATATTTATATATCTGATAAAACTTCACATTTCTATAAACAACCATCTCTACAGAGTTTGCTCTCGACGTGGTTCCATCGATCTTTTCTTCTGCCGGCGGATTGCACGTCATCAGCAGCTCACCTTTCCCACCCACCTCCAGGCACTATACGAGCATCATCGGAGCCCTGCTAGCATTTACACACAAGTTCACATGACGAATCCCACACCGTGCTCAGAAGTGATCACACCCACAGCTGATGAACAATTCTGTTCCTAAGCAACTGATCCTCTGTGTGTGTTTGTGTGGGGGGGCAGTTTGCATGTTCTCTGTGTGTCTGCGTGGGATTCCTCTAGGCGCTTCGCTTCCCTCCCACAACCCACAGACATGCAGCTCGGCTGGAGCAAACACTTTAAATTACCCCTACGACTGAGTGTGAGTGTGAGTAGGTGGTCTGATGGAGCGGGGGTGCGTTGGTGAGGTTGTGTGTGAAGGGCTCCAGCCCTCTGTGACAACTATAAATATGGAAATACATGCTGGAGTGATAAACACTCAAAGGTCTCAGAGCTTTCGCATAATAACCTCTCTGGTTTTCATGCATCTATTGGAGGGTTTTTAAATTCTCTCTCCCCTAAAAAGTGTTCATTACGCTCCACAAAAAGAACCTTTAGTGGGCTGAAAATATGAGGAAGTTGAAAAATGAATTCCTGAAGGAGCAAATGGCTTTGCTAAGTAAATTCCATCATAATCTGTCAGTTAGATATTGATGTTTCTGGTTTGGTAAATGGTGGCACTGGTGGAAAGGTCAGGGTCTCCAGTATAATTAGGAATCCTCCTCTGGGGACCTTATCAGGGACGTGTCCCCTTTGGCCTCTTTGGCCGCCACTGAATCATAGAAAGAAAAATAATAATCATTATATAACCGGCGTTATTGCTGTTGTTCTTCTGCTTCCTCCATTATGATATGGTATCATCATGGTGTAACATTTAAGAAGATCTATTGGCAGAAATGGAATATAATGGTATGTTTTCATTAGTGTATAATCACATTTATCTTTGTCTTTGGTTTCCAAACCATGAAACTAATCTCTGAAGAACAGAAACCCCCAGAATCAAAAGGTTAAATGGTTTAGTATACTCTTATAAGTAGAAGAGTTAGGGGATCCTCGCCATTGTCACTGTGCAGGAACATTTTTTAGTTTCTTGAGGCATTGGTTCCCAAACCTTTTCATGTCAAGAACCATTTCTTTCAATCATTTCTTTCTTTGTTCCACTTTCTAAAAAATGTGATAAAAGTGAATTTCTCCTTTTGCTGGAGACCCCTTACAACCCACTCAAGGACCCTTGTTGGTCCCCAGACCCAAGTTTGAAAACCACTGCCCTGATGAATACCTGCATCAAGGAAAGGTTCTTCAAGGAACTGCTTTGTTGAATTTGGGGTTAATTTTATTATTATTATTAAGAGTGATAATACTTACAGTTCACTGTTGAAACAAGTTTTGTTAAATAATACAATTCAAAGCCAAGTAGTTCACAAAAAATACACGTCTTAAATATAACAAGAGACAATAGAAGAAGGTGAGTAAGCTGATTGGTGAGTCACATTAACCCATCGTCACTGCACAGTGAATTCAGCTTCTTCCTTCTGGGCGGAGGTTTACAGTCTCAAGATGTAGAACAAAGCAGTATAAAAATAGCTTTGTTACAGCAGCTATCACTCAGATGAATAAGTAGTTCCAACATGGTACAAATGTTTTCTTTTAACTGCACTTTTACTTGTTTATTCTAGTAGTTATTTATTGTTTATTTCTCTCTTCGTAAGTGATTTTTTTTTAACCTGGAGCACTTTTATCAGATTTGGGGTGCTGCTTTTGTACATGTCGGCTCACTGGAAAGTCTCTGCTTCACTAAGTGGATCATAATTGGGGAATAATCGATTATTGGCTTGGTAAATACAGGTACAAGGATTTTGAGCTCATAATATGCTTATTGTTAACTGATTAGCCCTGGTTATAGACACAAATAAATAAAATTAATTCTGCTGTCACACTATAAATGTTTTATTTTAATGGTTTGTTTTGTTTGTGTCCTGTCATGGAAGCTTGTTGTTGTTGTTTCTGATTATTATAGGCATCGATTTTTGGATTTTAAACTGTCCATCAAGGGACTGGTGTCAGAAATTAACTTGTATCCTTGTGTATCCTTGCGTTATTAGTTGTATCTCTTGTGTGATGTATTGACGTATGTGTCAATATGTCAAAAAAAGAGACCAATTTATGTATTAAAATCCTTCACTTTTCCACAGAGCATGGCAGGTATCAAATTTACAGTAGGCTATGTAATTTATGCTGCTGGCTGGTCTCTCACGTCAAAACAGAAAACAAAGACAAAGTTTGATGATGTTGTGAAGTAACGTGGAATCATGGGAGTTTCTACCTGGAGCCCAATGATCCACAGAGGTCTCCTCCTCTCCAAAACAAACAGACCCGCTGATTAAAACCACTAAAAACACTGAATAAAGCAGTTCCACCTTAAAAGTCGCTGCTTCTCCCACGCTGTTGGACAGACAGAGGACGTCAAAGAGGGGCTGCGAGCCGAGCTGCTGCCAACGTTAGCTCAGATTGTTTCTCTGATAACTTAAGATCCAGACGTCCGATGACTAAAATCCTTCATCCGGTTCAAATCTAGAGTTAAAAAGCACCAAGATCTAAACAGTGGATGGTAACAATGTGGCTTCAGACTGGATTAAAAGTCGAAGTTTGACTTCTGGTAGATGTAGGCACAGAGGGCATATTACACAATTGACAGGCGACCGGTGAAACGCAGTGCTACCTGAATAAAATGACAGATTTCTCGGAGTTTGAACATTGTTGGAAACATTTCTACAAAATATATAACATAGATCTAGTGTTTATAGACATTTTAATGTGGAAATGTTTAGCTTTAAAAAGTGTGTGCTCAACCGACAGACAGACAGAATGTGTGTGTTAAACAGTCTGAGGAGGAGGAGGAGGAGGAGGAAGAGGAGGAGGAGGCCTTTTTGTAATTGAACCGCTGCCCATTAAAATGTCTGTGCCAACCAGTGTAGCAGTCTGGCCAGTAGGAGGGATTTGTTGACCTAACTGTAGGACAGACTCACCGGCTCACTCCGGACGTCCTCCGAATGTCCTGTTCCCTTTTTTAATGGTCAGTGTTGTGGTGACGTTCCCGCTGTTGACATTCCTCTCTTGTTGTCTCGAGCCTGGAGGCTTTGGTGTTTGTTAAGCTGCAGAACATCGCTCCCTCTCTCCCTCTCTCCCTCCCTCCCTCCGCTATCAATTATATTAACAGCCGCCTGAAGCTTCCTCCTAGCATGTTGCTCCATTTTGTGACAGGAAAGCTTTCTGCTCTTACTTTATGGCTTCCTGCTACATTATTGCTCTGCACTGGTAATGGAGCTCACTCTCTATTCTACTCCAGGCCTCGCCCCGCTTTTCAATTTGTCTTCCCAACACCAGACACTTTCTGGTGACAATGAAGTATTTTTATGGCCATGCTGATGTCATCACATTTCTGTTTGTCCCTCATCTCCCCAGGGCACAGCTTACAGCAAAAATGAATTATACAACACAATGGACAGGATGGATGTTCTACACTCAACTTGAGGCCAATTTGCCCCGACATGACTTGGCTTATGTTTCCAACTCACTATACAAGTGGAGATGATCTGCCAGCAGCATCCTTTAACAATTGTGTTTCCCCCTGCTTTTCTTCCACTCATGTTAATTATGCATTACCTCCAAGAAGCAGGTGGAGTCGAGTGGTACGTCACCTTTGATTGGGGCCAAATATAGCACATCAAGCACACTAATTGTTAGTCATATTCCTATGTATTGTATAACCACGCACCATGTGAATCCGCCGGAGAACCGCGGCCTTAAATCATTCATTGATTTAACTGAACAGCTCAGGCAGAAATACGTTGGATAGGCAGTGCTCATGCATACAGCCCGCGGCTTTAAGTTTCCCACAGGGAGTGACTGGTGTTGCACTTCTCCGTGTGTTTTAGCTGCTCAATTGAAGGTTTTTTTCTGTACCTTTAAAATATTTAGTGAAATCTTTTTTGAAGGAATTTTTTTTTATCACAGTAAAGATTATGTTTATAGGATGGGTTCACATTTGTTCAAGCCTGTCTTTATATTGTTAAAACTATGTGTGTATTTAATAAGCTGTGGAATTATCTCTATGTTCATATAATGTTCATATCTGTGTATAAAAAGATGTACCAAATTATTTTCTATTTTAGATATATCTTGTATTTTTCACCTTTATTTTTATTGTGTATTCTCTTATCTATTGTGTTGTGTGTATCTTGAGCTGCTGTAACAAGGGAATTCCCCCTCTGTGGGATCAATAAAATGTATCTCACAACTAAAATCACATGTCCACTGAAATAGTTATTGATTGCTGTGATCGTTCCTCCTGTTCATACATGGCCCTGAAATGATCTCCTCCTCATGTGACTTCAGTGTAAGAGACGGGGACAACATCTCCAGTCCTCTGTTCAAACATGCATTCTGTAGTTTAGCAGGAGTTAATATGAGGCTGCAGGAGGCTGATTTAGTGAAATTAAGTGATATCCTCTTTGATTTTGGGGTCTGACACCAAATGTAAAAGAAACAAATCACAGATTATTGATATGGCAGCTGATATAGTGAATTTCTAAGCTGGAATGAAAATAAACTTTTTCTGTGTTGACAACAATGCAAAGGCACTCAGACGTTCTTAAACAAATAACTTTATTAAAGAAGATTTACGTTAAATATTCTTTAACATGTTAAATAATTGAACATTTACATTGCCAACCAGTTCTGGCTGACATTGCTGAGAGCTGCTTCTCTCTCTTTCTCTGTGCTGTTTGCCACAGTATTATAATGGATGAACTCTGACACCAATATATTCAATATATTACCACAAACATTTCATTCTGCATTATGTATCAGGAAAGAAATACTTTTATATTGGCTCCTATAAGATAACAAATACACAGATGCTGAGATGATAACGTTATGATACCAATATGTCTGTGATAGGACCTTCTATCTTCTAAACACATTTGCAGTAATTAAACTATTCTTAGTATTGTTTAAGACTTTAAAAAAAGGTAACAAATCCTTTAATATAATATAAGATATGATTAAGTCATATGTTTCTCAAGGACCTTTGACTATGTATACACACACACACACACACACACACACGTTTGCACACCTTGTTAGGACACTGACCTCATTCACTGTGGTCAGGCTAACCCAACCCCTGACCCGAACTTTAACCTAACCTCAGTTCACACTGTACCACTAACCACTAACCAAGACCTCAGAAATAACGTTCTGCATTAGAACCGGTCTTTGGTCCCCATGAGAATTACTGGTCCTGACAAGGTCAGTGCTTACACCAGAAAAGGTCCCCAATAGGTAACAAAAACATGTATATAAACACACACATCTTTATTTTCATGTATTTAAATTAGGTTGTAATTTAAGGGCTTTTTTGGGCATCTATATTTTTAATTCATATTATTAAATTCATGTTTCTCTTAGCCTCTCTTGTGTTCCTGGAACATCTGAACCCCGCTCCCCGCAGATAAAGACATATCTGATCTTATCCTTTGTTTTCTTGAATTTGTCGAAATGACAAAGATTCCGGTTTTCGGGGCTTTTATTCTGAAGGGCTGCCGCTGCCGGCGGAAGTGACGCACTCATGTCATGGCTGCGGGTCTGAATCTGAACCACTGAACCACTGAACCAAACTTTCGTTTCACTCTGCACACCTCGTGATTATGGCGACGTTTTTCGGCGAGGTGTTGTCCGTGTATTCCCGGGCGGTGGAGGAAGAGGACGAGGACCTCGAGGAAAACGAAGAAGATGAAGAAATCCGCAGAGAGCTGGAGAAGAAGAGGTAAAGTAACGTTAGGAGCATGGGATCAATAACGTTAGATATCCTGTGGACGTCATGGGATCAATAACGTTAGATATCCTCTGTGGACGTCAGCTGGGATGTGAGCAACATTTCTAAATCTTTTAACAAAATGCATCTGTTCACTAACATGACACATGAGATCTCAGTAACTCCTCCTCCTCCTCTTCCTCTTCCTCTTCCTCTTCCTCCTCCTCTTCCTCCTCCTCTTCCTCTTCCTCTTCCTCCTCCTCCTCTTCCTCTTCCTCCCTAATATAACCACCATATTAACATTTAATAACACACTGTTACACCAGCGTATGTAACTCCCTATAATGTAGTTGTAATTAAACTATAAAGACATTTTTCACAGTTTATTAATCTGAAATATTTGTCCACAGTTAAAGACTTCCACTGAGTTGACAGTTGTTGACAGTTGTTGACAGTTTATTAGTTTATTGGAACATTTAACTTTAATTCAACGGTGTTTATTCAACTCTTTGGTCATTTTGGAGGCTGTATGATTTTTGATGATGTAACATTTTCTTAAATCTGGAGAACTTTGTTGGTGAGGGGATTTGTGCAGTATTTCATTATAACGCTGCACATTGCACTCGGATGTAATATTGCGAACAGTTGAATCAACGCCTCTCTGAAAAAACTAAATGAATGTCAAACTAATCACCAAAGTATTGATCTCAGAGCCTGACAAACATTTGCACTACTCAGTAAACAGTCTTATAGACCAGTGGTTTTCAAACTGGGGTCCAGGGACCAAAAGGAGGACTAGAATACTTTAACTTTTATAAGTTGGAACAACAAGGTAATAAATAGTGTTGGCTGTTTTTATTGATTTATAATTTATTGTGATTCTAGTTGGATTATTGAAGAACTACGAAGACTTTAATATCTTTAAACTGAAGATAAAAATACTCAAAAGGGATTCCTTAAGTTTGTGGTCTAATGTGCATCTATCGTTCGGGGTTTCCTTCACATGAAAGTTTGGGAACCTCTGACACATAAAGATTGACCTTAAAACAGGAGTTTCTTCCTCACTTAAAGTCTTGACATTGTACTCTAGTGATGCATATGTCCAACGATTAATCGACTCGTTGTCAACTACTAAATGATTCGCCAACTAATTAGATAATTCGTCAATCGTTTTAAGTTCAGCTTCTCAAATATGAATGTTGACAGTGACAATGACAGTAAACTGAATCATTTTGGACAAAACAAAACATTTGAGGATTTCATTTTTCACCATTTTCTGACTTTTTATCGATTAAACTAATCGATTAACTGAGAGAGTATCAATTGAGCACGAAAACGATCACTAGTTGCAGTTATGATTAAATTACCACGCACCAATTACTACACCCGGGGACTACAGTCAAATAAATAAAGAGTAAAAAGTAAAATCTTTCCATCCTAAATGTAGTAAAGTAGCATAAAATGAAAACACGTTCAAGTTCAAATAACTATAAGTAATAACAATAAGTACGCAGCAGACGTACACCACCTGTTAGAGGAAGGTATTCTGGTTATTGGGGCCATATGATTGATTCATTTGATTAATTAGACAAATAAATACACTTTTATCTGCACAGTGTTCCTCCTCCTCCTCCTCCTCCTCCTCTAACCCACATCACTCTTCATCAGGGAGGTTCATCTGCAGTGGAGCCCTGAAGTCTCCGAGTCATTGAAGTCCGGAAACAAGTTGCAGTGTTCAGACTTGATCCTCGCCGTGGGACACAACGCTGCCAGTAAGTGGCCGCCAGCAGCTCCCCCTGTATGTTAAACCTGTGACTGCGGATCGGATGAAAGAGAAACCATCCCAGTGAGGAAATCTGAACACTCGGTGACGTTGTCTTCACAGGGTTTCTGTCAGTGTACGTTCTCACCTCCGCAAACTGGGACGCGGTGGGACACGCATCGGTGTGGAACGAGCGGAGCCGGGCCGTAACCGGGCACGCCGGCGAGGAGTCGGCGTGTGTTTTCTACAGACAGAAGTCAAACCCGACAGTGAGTAAAACAGCGGAGAGCAACACGTGTCTGCTACTCAATTACGATTCAGTTTAATGATTGAACTTCTGTTTCAGATTCCTCAGGTGCTGTTTGAGATGTTTACTGTTACCTAATGACACAAACAGGCGACACATTAGAGGAAATACCGGAATAAAGTGGAGAACTAATGAGGAATACAGCTGCTTAATGAGAGAAACGATTCTTTAAAGCTGTTTATATTACCGCATATCCAACACTTATTTCAGTCTCGTTTCTCCTCTATCTCACGTTGTAAACGCTCACATCACGTCGGGATTGATCTGAAACGGCAGCGTTTCAAGAGTAAAAACACGAAACCCCACTTCAGCTTCAAAACTTTGAAAGTAGGCCATGACACACAGGATTAAAGAGCTCTGGTAATCCACCGTCTCTTACATAACCTGTCAGAATACAGAGTTATAACAGGCCTGTGTGTGTGTGTGTGTGTGTGTGTGTGTGTGTGTGTGTGTGTGTGTGTGGTTATTTTCTATCAGCCTGGTGTCTTCTGCATGTGATTTAATCAAGATAAACATAGTGAATGACCGCGTGTGAAAGCACTGCGCTGCCGAGGAAGCTTCAGATTTATCACCCGTTTCTGTCCTGCCTCCTCCGGGCTGCAGAGATTTGATAAAGGGAAGCAGAAGACTTTCATACGTTGTGATTTACAGATGTTCTTCTTATCACAATCTTACTTTTTAATGCTGATTCATTTAAGAGTAGGTTTGTATCTCTCAGTAGTGTAAAAAGAAAAGTCCAGGAACAAAAGTGCGGCAAGTAAAATGGCCTCTATACTTCCAGCGAGGTCCTCCAGCATTTCCCTTGTATGGGAAGGTATGTAACACAAAATACTCAACGCAACAAAAACACCGAAAACGTGCTGGTGGAAATGCTAACCGAGCATCCTTCAAAATAAAAGTCTGTCTTTGATTCATAACACAGCGCTACAACATCACACTTAGTCTTTTAAAAGGTTTCTCACTCTTGATTTTTAGAGTGTGTGGTTATGATTGCAAGAAAATGAATCAGTCAGGCCAAACATTCGATGCTTCCAGGCTCTCAAATGTAAGAATTTACCTTCTTATATGATTGCAAATTGTATATTTATTGGATTTTTGACTGTTGGTTGGACAAAATAAGGCATCTGAAGACGTCACCTTGTCTCTAGGACACTGTAATGGATATTTTTCTTGTTTTTTTTTATGTTGCATCAAGAAAACTGATGAAAATAATCACTGGTTGCAGTCGTAGTAAGGTATACGTCCCGGCAGGACAAACGTTGGAGAGTGTTTGATGATGACATTGATGATGATTTTTCCTCCAAGTATTAAGTATTTGCCTGAGTCGACAGCGGAGTGACTTTTCTCCAGACGTAGCTCTGAGACATCCATCCTCGGCATAAGGCTCAATTTTCATCAAAGTACATCAGAACACTTCCGTTTAAAGGACACTCCCACACAGACTGGAAAATTAAATTTAAAGCTTCTGGGAAACTGATGGTTGTGCCGCTCTGTGTGATGGTTTTTCCTTTAATTTGTCATCCATCAGTATTATGTCTTCTCTGTCTCGTCTCATGTGTTTCAGACAAATCTAAATATGTCTTTAATCCACTGAATGTGTCACAAAATGTCTCTGCCTTTCCCCGAAGGTTTTGATCTGTCAGGTGACTTGCTACGTCGCAGAAGACCAGCTCTTCCAGTGGACAGAAAAGGTACGTTTTATACAGCAAAACCAGTTGGACGCACTGTGATTTAATGATGATGTTGTGTAGAGAAACTTGGAGCAGCTGCCCCTCTTCAGCCTGCAGACAGATTTAAAACCATTTACAGGTTTGTAAGCACACTTATTCAGATATCTCAGCATTAGTGGTATTAAACTGCTGTTATATACTGTAGTATACATATTTTTACATGTCGTATTTTCTATATATTGTTATATACTGTAGTATAATCTACACATCTTTACACATTTATTCTTTTTTTTAATTTACTTTATATATTGGAAAATATTGCACATATTTTAACGTACTTCCTCTTATATCTGTTTTCTTATAATTCTCTTTGTTTAACAACTTTAATGTAACCAATTAGATTGGGCATTAATAAAGTATTTCTGATTCTGATTCATGAAGTACAGCAATGTAACAACAGGAGGAGTTTAATGAGACATATCGGCTCATAAAAGGAGCACAGAATTATAACATACATAAATGATTGTTAGTGTCTCCTGTTCCACCAACAGGACAGTGAGTTCACACAGGATTAGAAATCCATTTCTCGGGGTGATAATCGTGGTAAAAGCTGACGTTGTGTTCCTCTGTGTCCTGTAGGTGTTCGACTGTCTGCAGCACAGAGGGCTGAATGTGACCGTGCTGTCAGACAGCTCTGTGGCCGAGTACAAGACGGCAGACTATCTGTGCTGCAGCTCCGCCCCCTTCCTGCGCTCCCTCCACACCGGAGCGTTCAGTGGTCAGTCCGTCTGCCCGTCACTGGAGCAACCCAACATGGTTACTGGACTCCCAGCTGCAGGTACTACATTCACACACTTTCTCAGTGGCCTCGAAGTCCCATTACCTCGGTCCACTGGGCAGGTTTTTCCTCTCGTACTCTCACACATTTGCAAAACACACACACACAAAAAGCTTCAAAGCTGCACAGCTCGACTCTCATTCTCCTTTCCTTCGTCTGTCACGCGGCTCGGCATGTTTCCTAGAGTAAATCCTCTTGAGATTAGGAGAAGGGCAGCTTTCTTCTTGCAGATGAGACGGGAAAAGTTCACGTTAAACCCAACAAAAGGGAAAGAAAATCAATTGTCCGCCTCTCTCTCAGCTCTCTGTGTGCTCCAACCTTTCCTTTAAGCTTATTTAAAGTTAAAATAATGCAGCTGTTTGTTCTTTAAGTCTTTATTTTTTTCACAAACAGGGAAAAGTCAACATATAATGTTTATTAAGCTATTTATCTCACATTTAATTAGCAGTTAGATTAGCACCAGACTTTCTAAATACTATTAAATTCACTCATAACATTAGTGGTTGGGTCGCTTAATCCGGTTTGGTTTTATACAACCCGACTGAGTCTTCACAATAAGCTGCTAGTAACTAGTTTATGAAATACATTGATAGAAAGCTGATCAGTTTCCCTTTTCAATATAACTAATATCACCCTGTCCCAGACAACCGTCACCACCAGACTAGTTTTACCTTGCAGATAATCATAAAATTATAAACAGAGAGAAAGTAAACTTCACCAAAACCGTGTTTGTTAGTCTTTCCAACAATCACCAACTCTGGTTTGGTTGAAATAAACTCTTTTATTTACTAAATTAGATGAGAAAATAACCACAAAACGGGCCGTTATGGCCTCAACGTAATCCTTGCACCCATCAAAGTGCGTCCACACAACAGTAGTTGTTGTTTGTTCCACTAACAGTAGTTGTTGTTTGTTCCACTAACAGTAGTTGTTGTTTTTTCCACTAACAGTAGTTGTTGTTTGTTCCACTAACAGTAGTTGTTGTTTGTTCCACTGACAGTAGTTGTTGTTTGTTCCACTAACAGTTGTTGTTGTTTGTTCCACTAACAGTAGTTGTTGTTTGTTCCACTAACAGTAGTTGTTGTTGTTTGTTCCACTAACAGTAGTTGTTGTTGTTTGTTCCACTAACAGTAGTTGTTGTTTGTTCCACTAACAGTTGTTGTTGTTGTTTGTTCCACTAACAGTAGTTGTTGTTTGTTCCACTAACAGTAGTTGTTGTTGTTTGTTCCACTAACAGTTGTTGTTGTTTGTTCCACTAACCACTAACAGTAGTTGTTGTTTGTTCCACTAACAGTAGTTGTTGTTGTTTGTTCCACTGACAGTAGTTGTTGTTTGTTCCACTGACAGACTCAGGTTGTTATTGTCAGTGTCTGACAGCATTATGGAAAGGATCCCTACAGAGATAGACCTTTAGTTTAACCACAAACAGCTGTAATATCAGTATCACTCTCCACCAGACTCCAGAGACAAAAACACTCATTTTACTTTCAGATCATTGTAACTTCATTAAAGTGGACAGAAACAGAATAAAACTGATTAAAAGCTGTCTCTGTTAGTGTTTCCAACAATCACCAACTCTGGTTTGGTGGAAATAAATCCTTAATTCACCGATGTAGATGATAAAAACAGCAGTTTCAGTCGGAGCAGACCGGCTATGGAAACAACCCACAGAGAGGCTGCGATACAACACAGGCAGAGGGAGAGAGACACCATGTGACTGTATATAGAGAATAGCTGTTTGCTGATATATTAATGTTCTAAATCTCATATATAGAACCATTAAAATTACAGTATGATGCATTTTAAAAGTGTTAACTACAAAACAAACAACAGAAACACAGTACAACGGTTGATAATAACCATGTTAAGAGCTGAGATTGTTGATAGTGAGGAAAACATGAAGCTGTGGAGTTTGAGGACAGACTGAGTTTTTCACAGTTAGCATTACACTGCAGATAAATCCAGCTTTAGCCGGGTTTGATTCTCTACTTCTGCTGTTAAAGTGTCCTTGAGCGAGACACCGAACCACCAGATTGCTCCTGATAGTGTGTGTGTGTGTGCGCGGGAACAAAACATCAACCTGTAAGTCGCTTTGTACGACAGCGTCTGCCAGCTGAATGAAATGTAGTGCCATTAGGCTCCTCTCCACTCGCTGGCCACACGTAGTCCTGCATCCTGATGTGGTCGTTTCTTGGTGCCGGTGCACTTAAAGACATTGAAAGTCCAAACAAACAGATGCATCATCAGGATAAAAGAGGCTGTGAACGCCGCCGACCCACCGCTCTGTTCTCTTATAACCTCGCCTTCTTCTTTCTTCTGTCATCAGTGCTGAACCACTGCGAGGTCCACCGGGTCGCCGCCGCTGTTTACCAGTGTTACAGTGACGTCATCGGCCCTGACTCTGTCACCATGGAGACCTACAAGCCTGCACTTACCAAGCTTGGCAAGTCCATACAGGTGAGCTGCTTTTTCTTTTTATATATCGGGGGGGGGGCTTTGGAAAGGTCAGAGCGGTCAGAGAGAGGAATAAAGTTTGTCAGATATCTAAAGTAAACCGTGGATGCTTCTCGCCGCCGCCACTCGATGATGTCACTGCAGGGTTTGACAGGTAACGGGAATAAAGACGTGAAGTTGGTTTATTTCAGGTTTATTTCAACAATATCCTCAATGTTACTAACCACAGAAACACTGGACTCTCCCACATAATGTGACAATCTTATAGACATCGTGGAGAAATCAGTCTCTAAATATCTCCTTTCCACTGTTTCCATGGCGAAGAAGACAGCTGGAGTTGCAATTAAGAGCTCATAGTAAAAAAATATGGCAAAATCCTTAATTAAATTACATCAGGCTGCTGTTTGTGTTCTTAAAGCTCTGATTGGATGTTTCTGTCCGACCTCAGCGGCTGAAAAATGAAACAAACACTGAAGTAACAAAAACCTACAGTCCCTCTAACGGCCACTAGAGGCCGGCTCCAGCAGTGAGTCAGTCTCCATAAGCCCCCATATTAAAATATCCAACTCTACAGCAGAAATAAACACGTTTGCAGTCCGGTACAAACAACAGTTTTGGGCTCTAGAGCTAATTTCCCCGTTGATGACGACTGTACGGAGGGAGGATCTTTATATAACTCACTCTTTTAAATGATATTAAGGCTTAAAGTTGTGCATAATTAAGGGCGTGAACCAGGCTTCATTCAGCCTCACATCCACCTCTTCGCCCAGTTTTGGATTAGTCTGGAGCCGGTGGAGTCAGGACCGCGTGGTGACTACGGCCTACGTTAAACTTCTCCCTCGAAGTGTTCATGCACACTGAGTCTTTACGAAGGAACCAGATATTTTCTAAGTTGTTAATCCTTTGAACTGATGACTCAGGGGAAGAGGAGGAGGAGGAGGAAGATTTCAAACACTCACTCTTGCTCTTATCTGCAGACTCCACAAATAGTATTAGAAGATCAATCATGAAACAGCTGTTTGCCTGTCTGCCTGCGCACTGCAGTCACTTCATCTCATGTATCAATCAGTGTCGATGAGGAGGCTGCGTTTTTCTTGTTAACCATTAAAAAAAGGCATCTGAAGTGTTTTTTAATCTCCTTTTTCTTTTTCTCTTTCTCAGTTGGACCCGTCTCCGAGCACAGACGTCCTCCGCAAGTTCGTCCAATCCACCAACATACAGAGTAATCTTTATATCTGAAAATGGCCACGTTGCACGCTGTACAGTGCAGTTTAACTCTGTTTTCCTGTGTAAAAATACTGTCATTTTTTCAATAAAGAAGTTAAGTAAAGAACACCCTTTTTGTTTGAATGTAATCAGTCGAATTGTTTGTAGTGTTGTCTGTCAATAATAATTATAATTAGCAGGTTTCTGTTTTTCTCTTCAGGATTATTTGTGTCAGCTTTAAAGATCCCTCTGACTTTTTATTAAGCTCCAGGAGCCGTGTGGGAAATCTTTAACGCTTTATGACCAAATACCTGCAAAACTACTGACATCCCCTCAGCTCTTAATCTTCTATTCAAAAAATCTAAATAAGGAAGAAATGAAGTTTTCCTCCGACTGCACGTTAAAGCTTTATAGAAAGACTGTGACGATGATTCAGGAGGCCATTCAGCACAAGAATAGAAAGCATTGTTCCAGTCAGCTGGGCACACGGTGGAGGTATTGAAGGTATTGGAGGAAAACGGTGAATCCAGAGTAGGACAGTGAAGCTGAAACAATGCAATGTGACTTTGAAGAGTTTCGCAGAAACGGGTCAGAGCCTGAGAGAATACAGCAGTTCGTCTCACCCCCATTCAGCATTGCCACTGTGTGAGGTTGACCCAACTGCTCAGGCACATATCTAAAGAAGTGTGGGCTCATTAAACTGTCTGCTGCTTATTATATTATGGTGTGATTGTGGGATCTAAAACTCAAAGGGACCTCCCCATGATGTCAAAAATAATATATAAGATTTTTTTTAATTCAATTATTATATCTTTTAGTTGTTTCATATCAATTTAAACTATACAATTACAATAAAAACAATTCTATTATTAAAAAAGTGATTTAGTGTGGTGCAAAATAATAGTAAGTGTCCACAAATGCAGAAGAGAGCATATTTCTGGGCTTTATTTGTTAATAAATAATTTAAATAAATTAAATAATCTAAAAATGTATAAATTCAATATATATATATATGCATTTATTTTATTGAGAATAATGTTAATGGGATTATTTTAGGCTTTCTTGTAGCGCTGTTCACAATACCTCCTCCTGTCCACATGGGGGCGCTGCTGCGGCAGTGAGCCGTTTGTCAAACGGAAGAAACTAAAGCGAGCGAAACTCAAACCAACCTGTTGTTTACTGTAAACGTTACCGGGGCTTTATTTACCTTTCCTTTCCTCTCGGCCTTCAATCAGCGAGCGAATAATAAACAATAATATATTGTTAATAATACAGATACAATAATACAGTCGGTTACATTAACGTTTAACGACCGGAAACCGGGAAGAACACAGTTAGCCGATGCTAACGTTACCAATGAGTGCTACCCGGCGGAAGACAGCGGCCGGCGGCGACCCGGCCCCCCCCAGAGCCGGCGGGGACCCGGCCCCCCCCAGAGCCGGCGGGGACCCGGCCCCCCCCAGAGCCGGCCGCTGAGCCCCGGCCCCCCAGAGCCGGCGGTAACCCGGCCCCCCAGAGCCGGCGGGGAGCACCCGGCCCCCCCCAGAGCCAGCAAGGTGCTGGCCGAGAGGAACCAGGCCGTGGTGTCGGTGGGGGTCTGGGTGGAGGACGGACAAGACTTCCTGGAGCACCCCGCTGTGAGTTGTTGACAAACAGACTGACGTTAGGAAGTGATGTTGTTTTGTTGACTTTGGCTTTTCTAACACCTTTCTGCACCGGAGACCTTTTATATCCAACTTTATTTTATTTGGACCCACAACACAAACAACACAAACAATACACAAACATAACAAACAGTACACAAACAGTACACAAACATAACAAACAAATCAAACACACAGTACACAAACAGTACACAAACAAATCACAACACAGTACACAAACATGACAAACAGTACACAAACATAACAAAAAATAAAAAAGTAACAAACACAACACAAACAAATCCAAACAGTACACAAACAGTACACAAACATAACAAACAAATCACAAACAAATCACAAACAGTACACAAACAAATCACAAACAGTACACAAACAGTACACAAACATAACAAACAGTACACAAACAGTACACAAACATAACAAACAGTACACAAACAGTACACAAACAAATCACAAACAGTACACAAACAAATCACAAACAGTACACAAACATAACAAACAGTACACAAACATAACAAACAAATCACAAACAAATCACAAACAGAACACAAACAAATCACAAACATAACACAAACAAATCACAAACAGTACACAAACATAACAAACATAAACGTAAATATTAAAGTAAAAGTGCTCCAGGCTCTAAAACACAGTATTATAATAAACAACCAGTAAAATAAATGAGGTATAAATGCAGATTAAAACAAGAAAACATAATCAGTGTAAAGATTGCAATCTTTATATAACGTGATATAAATATATATATTCTATATATTTCAATTAAAACTCTGTTATTAAGTATTAAGGTTGTAATCCTTCTCTTTGGCACACAGTTATTAACAATGTTTTAGACACACTGATATCATCTGATGAGGATTTATTGACCAAAAGTAATTTATTTAAAATAAATGATAAACAATCAGTCTTGATACAAACTCCTTACAATTGTTATTTATAAGATTTGTGACCAAGAGACATTTCTCAGTGGTGGACGAACTCATGGTGACCGACACTTTCTTTACAGCGGTTTCTCTTTACGTATGGAGCAACATTTACACTGATATCGATAAACTGTATGTGCAACACATCAGTAACTGTTATTAACTGAATTATTCTTAAAGATTCCCTCCAGATATGTATTAAGACATCGATATATAAATCACCTTCTACCTTACTAATAGTTCCAATTGCACACACATCATTCTGCACAGTGAAGCTCAAACATCTCCCTGTAGGAGCAACAAGAAAACATTCCTGACTGGATTCACCTGAGTTTTCCTGAACAGTGTTCCCATGTCTTGGTTTTAGGATCTGGCTTTGCTAACTGAGGAGATCCAGGCGGAGAGGAGGAGGGAGAATGAGGAGAGCCTCGTACGGTTTCAGGATGAAGTACGCCATCGTGTGGCACAGCGAGCTCAAGTCAGCAAGAAGAGACAGCAGGTACAGACGACGTTGTTCTGACTCAAAGTGACGTTTTATTAATCAGGTGATAGTGTCGAGTGTTTAAATGTGGATTAACTGTCAGTTTACTTTTCAAATATTTAGTCTTTAAAATGTCAGAAAATATTAAGAATTCTCCTCATTAGTTCACATTTCTTTAAATTGCTTTATTTAGGTCAAAAACATGAAGATATTCAGTTTACAACAATGTAAAACAAAGAAAACGAGCGAATCCTCACTTTAAACATGAAGATTGAGGATTATTCTGCTGACTAATCACAGAATCCACAGTTTGTTTTGGGACTGCATGAAGCCCCGGTTCACCTCCTCCTTGTGTGTTTATGTCCAGGTGAGACCCGACAGGAGATTCCCACACCGGCAGCAGTCTCAGGTCTGGACCCAGCAGGAGGAGCTGATGTCTGCAGGAGGCGCTGCACAGCAGAGGGCGACGGAGAGCAGCTTTCAGGAGGTGCACCGTCCATACTTTTCTTTCTTTCACTGATTTTATGTGTAATTGCTTCTGCCGCCCCGACTGATTCACTTTGGAGAATTGTTAAATACTAAATGGCCAAAAGTATATAGACACTTGTGTACCTTTGGTCTTTGGGTTAGGGTGTTTGCTTCTAATGAAAGTTTTACCTTCTGTGGCAACAGTTTGTACGTAACAATACCAAAGCCAGGTACAGTAAGAAGTTATTTTCCTGCACAGAGCTCTGACAACAACCCCATCAAACACCTTTGGCGGGAACTGGAACGCAGACCGAACCAGGCCTTTTCTCCCTACATCAGTCTCTCACCAATCTGTGGTTCCAAAGTACTGTAGAAAGAGTGGAAAGTAGAGGAGTTATAGCAGCAGATAAAGGTTTTACAGAGATCCTTATAAAATGTTTTATTATTTTATACCCAGGGACCCAGACAGACGTCTATCTGTTGTGATGTACAGTCGGCTCTCTGCACTGTGTTGTTTCCATGTGTGCGTAATAGAATAATGTGACAGTGATTAATCTGGAGCATTATTTATTTCCATGCTTTTCCAGTCCAGCGGAGGCATGAGGCAGGTGAGGCTCAGACTGGCCGCCTGTCGGATGATCCCGCATGGGGAAATGACGTCAGACCTTCCCGGAGGCGAATGGAACGTCTCTCCATCCAGACATGTGAGCGCTTGTGTCTCACACCTGTTCCTCTTTTTTTAAAACTCATAGTTCCTTTAAATGAGTTTGTTCTCTCAACACATTTTTCCTCTGCATCCGACAGAAAAGTAGATCTCACGTGCTGAGAGCGGAGCAGGAAGAGGAGGAGGAGGAGGAGGAAGAGGAACAGGGAGATGATCATCTATTCACCAGTCATCACGATTGTCCCCTCGTTCAGCAGAAGGTTAATGAACAGGTTTACTCATAACAGCCAGTACTGGTGCAGGTAGAGTCAGTGTCACTGCAGTTGTCCTCTTTGTTAAGTAGAAATAAGAATAAATTATTTGGATGTGAGAATAAAATGTGGTCCGAACAGCTGCAAACAACATCCATATAGGTTCAGTTATTTTGAGTTAAACTGGAACACACACACTTTTTCTTCAATATCAAAAGTAATCCAGCGATGTCTTTATGTCTTTATATTTATGGATAAAGTGCAAACAGAAACTGCTGCAGAGTGACTGGAGCAGGTTTGAAAAAAATACTGAGGTGTAGATATTTTTAGGGTTCATATTTAGATGTTTGATGAGGTTTTTCCATAACAACTTTAATCCGTATGATGTTCAGATCAGGATAAAGCTTGAAAGATTTTTAAAAATCAAACAAAATGAAAGAAATCGGAGTGGGTGAGTCCTTTCAGTCTGACGTACAACTACCTTATTGAATCTCCAGGTAGTTCTAACACCTGTCACTTATTCTTGTGGCTGTCAGTGTTCATTAATCGATCTTTTACTACGAGCTGACAGAAGGAGAAAACCGTTCAGTTTTATCTCCACTTCCTGTGTTACTTTATACAGTTTCTAAGGTTCATTATTAAAAGGTCGGTCAGCTCAGTTTATGTGAATTATTAAGGTTAAAAGACCCTCTGCTCCACACTGTCAAACCAAACTCCATTCTAAAAGCAGGTGTTTTATTTAGGTAATTTTTTATAGTTAAAACTTTCTTTACATCATCACTGAGACCGTTACCTTGCTTTGATCCGCGGTTATAATCGGTACACATGTGATTCACTCAGTAACATCATTAACTAACCTCTGATGAAGTGTTTGACACGGACGGATGCATACTGACTGACCCACACTTTCACATCCTCTGCAGATTAACCGAAGCTACAAATCTCTTCTTTTCCTTGTAAAATGGCAGGCAGCAGCTTTTAGGAATGGAGCCACGGGGTCGAGGTAGTTCTTGCATTTAAATGGTACTAAAGCCTGGTAGAGGAATGTGTTGAATGTTTACTACGGGTTATTATTATTATTATCATTATAGAGTTATTAAGAGTATCTGTGTCCCAGTTCGTGGGCAGGATCCTCCAAAGGGAAGCAACCAGTGAGTACAGGTCCTTCAGACTTCAGAGTGAGACTTCAGGAAGCTCTCGTCGACTCATAAACCCAAATAGTTTGAACTTTATGACCCTAAAAGGCTGACAGAGTGCAATTACAAGTTCCATCATACCCTGGAGGTTACAGTGCGAGTTGTTTTACTTCACATCTGATGACGTCATGGAATCGTACAAAGTTAATGATAAATAACTTCCACTTCCCCTCTGATTCAGTCTGTGCCCGGGCTGCTAACAGGGAACAACAGTGCCCGTCTCTGACCTGACCTGACCTCGATGCTGCCTTTATCTGAATGTCTGAGGCAATCTCCGATCAATGCATTCTGCAGCTTTGATGTCGAGTTAGCTGTGTCATAATAAAAACGTATACAACCAAGTTCTCTTGTGTTTTTATGTCCTGATCAGTTAGCTGTTAGCAGTTGGCAGATTAACCCCTCACATGGCTTTAATCTGACTGTTCTCACTGTGTGTGTTTCAGCTGAGCGGATGGTCTGATCCTGCACTGTCGGATCCTGGTTTCCAGTCCAGCCTCAGAGGCCAGCGGGTCCTGTGGCCTCTGACTGACCAGGAAGAGCTCAAAAGACAAGTAGGCATCCGCTCAAACCTTTATTTGCTGTATTAGTTTGAACCCGTCAGAGCAGATGTTACAGATGTAGAGCCTCTCTCTCTCTCTCTGCAGCGTCAGTCTCAGTTCCTGATGCACCGCCGACTCTACATGAACATTGAGAGAGAGCAAGTGAAGGAGAACAAGCAGCACAGGAAGCACCTGAAGAGGACGGCAAGGTGACCGCACTGTTCACCCCGACACTTCCTCTTACTGCCTGCGAGTTGATCTACGCCCAAAGTCTGTCCTCAGAGTGATGAAAGATCATTTAGAATGTATTCACAGCAGAAACAATATTAAAACATTAACAGGTTTCATTATTTTGACCAAAATACGGCTCGATATCTGTCTATAGCATACACACTAACTCAGATCTATATAATGTGTCCACTGAAGGATCAAAGCAGAGAAAGAACAGATCCGTGTGGAGGAGGAGAGAAAGCTGGAGAGGGTTCGGCAGCTCGCGGAGGCCCGGCAGAAACTGGAGGAGAGAGAGCTGCTGATTCTGGAGCGACTGAAGCTGGAGGAGGAGGAGAGAGCCGAGGAGCTGCAGAGGAGGAAGAGGGAGGAGAAAGGGAAAGTGGCTGCACGGTAATTAAAAAAACTGCCTCAAGTGATGTCACACTGATTAGTATTAATATACCACTAATATTAGTAATTTATCTTCCATCTTACATCTTTTACAGCTCTTCATGCTTTCACACCCAACCTGCTCGGTTCTGTTGATCTGATGTGAAAGCTGTTTATTAAAGTCTGAAGTGGACCACACAAGTTTTTATAATAAGGATAATAATAATAATAATAAACCTTATTTCTCCTGACCTATATAATACAGATTATCTGGTGACCATGGTAACACGTGTTGTGTGTGTGTGTGTGTGCAGCAGTTGTGTTGAGCTTGTGTCAAACTCCTGAATAAAAAGCAGAGCTGAAACTAACAAGTTATCGTTAATTAGTGAACCCAAAGATATTCAGTGTACTGTCACAGAGTGAAGAATCCAGAACTGATTCACATTACAGACGTTTTTCCTTAAAGAAAATGACTCAAAATGATTAATTATTACTAAATACTTGGTGATTAATTTGCTGATTCATTGATTAATTGTTGCAGCTCAGGTGAAAAGTGACACGTCCACACAGTAACTTTAATATTACAGCAGAAACTGACTCCCTGTTGTTTCCATCAGTTTGTCTTTACGTATATTTAAATGTCACATTGAACTTTATTATTTATTTAATACATTTAAATTTATTTAATTATTTATCTGTGAGTTGTTGAGACTCCACAGAATATAAACACATATAGTTAACTGAAGTGCAACCTGGGAGTCTGTCAGTTATCTGTCAGTTATCTGTCCGTCTGTATAACTCCACATTAGTGTCGTCATGAAGCTGATGAAGCGGCTCGTTGTCTGCAGGTTCATCGAGGCTCTGAGGGCTCAGATGAAGGAGCGACTGTCTCAGGAGAAGCTGGATCTCCCTCCTCTCTGCTGCTGCGCCTCCTCTTTCTGGGACTCCCACCCCGACACCTGCGCCAACAACTGCGTCTTCCACAACAATCCCAAAGGTGAGAAACTGAACAGGTGTAAATGTAACCTGTTCCCCATCTGTTCTTTGTATTGGAAGTTTTGGGACATTTTATGTTTAAATATGCAAATGAGGCTTTATCTAATTATAAATGTGTTATTCTTCACACATTTCCAGAACAAAAACTTTGGATAAGGCCACTGAAAAGTTCTTATTTGATTTTGACGACATATTAGATTAAAATGTTTGTATTTATGATATCTCGCTCCATAAATCAGACTAAAAAATACATGTTTTTAAGGAATAAAATGTGATATAAATCAGGCAGTGAATGCTATATGAACAAACACTTCTTTAAAAACCTTCAGAATATAAACAGGAATAAAAGTGGAAGGTTTGGTTTGTGTCAGAGCTGCTGAAGTGGAGATTTCTGGCTCAGAGTGCGAGAATAAACTCATTTTGAGTATTGTAATATTCACTACAGGTGAATGGGGTAAAGATTTTAAACTTACAGATATCACCACGAAACTTCCCCAGCTGATAACTCACATTAAGACAATTATTTTTTGTATTACAAGTTTTCGAAAATGTTCTGTTTAAATATGCAAATGAGGGATTATCGAATGCTAACTTTAGGAGAAACACACATGCAAACAGACAAAATGAAGTAAAATAAACAACTAAATGTGTAATTTGGATGTTTTTCTTTCTACTAGTCTGACAGAAGACGTGTTTATAGAAGCAGAATCTCAAACTGTCTTTATATGTTATACACGCTGCTGACTGTCATCTCTCTCCTCCACAGCGTACGCCAAGGCGTTACATTCAACCATGTTGAGTTTGGATTTACATTAAAACAAGTTGATGAACTGCAGTCGTTGATAAAGAACAGGCTCCGTGCTGCCTGATTAAAGGAGCAGTCCGTGGAGAAGAGAGAGAGAAGAGAGAGAGAGAGAGATCCAGGATGTGTTGCAGCCGGATGGCGAGGACATTCGTGTTTACCAGACGATGAATCCAGATGACTTTGAGTTGCAGATGTGTGAAGGTTATCAGTCGTTCTGCCTTCAGCTGCAGGGATTTAATGAACTGAAGGAGAAGCTTTTCATAGAGAATAAATCAGAATATATAGAATATATAGAATTTATATTAATGTATAAACATACATATGTGTTCCTGCTGATTTAAATTAATGTAATGGTTAGAGAGAGATGTTCATTAAAGGTTTATTTGCATTTTTTTTGTTGATTTCTGACCTTTAAAATATATTTAAAATCCTCACAGGAATTAACTTTTTGTTTATTTATTGATAATTAAGAAATGTGTGTGTTAGCAGACCGTCTTTATGTAGTTAGTGAAACATCAGGGAGATCAGTACGTGTGTGTAAACTTTACTATGTGCTTTGTTTGTTTGTTTGTCTCACATTAATGTTCTTCAGGACTGTTTGAAAAAATACGTAATAAACCTTAGTTTGTCATCTTTTTTAATGAATTGCTGCTTACAATATATTCTTAATAGGAACGAGTCTGAAATTATTCTGTGTCCATATTATATTATCATGAATTATATTTAATTTTATAAGTTAATCTGTCATACATCAATATCTTCCTCCATTAAACACTTTATATTAAAGGTATTCACCTTTAACTAGTTGTCTATTTGTCCTATTAGCACATATTAAAGCCTGATTCTGTACGATTATATTCTACATCTACTGGGTTTTCCCTCAATAACCTCCTAATTACTGGTTATTGATAGTGAGGAAGTTAATTATGATCTTTTGCTCGAGGTCTTATGAGGTGAATCAAATACTAATTCTCCCTTAATAACAATAAATATGTTCTATTATATAAAAGTACAAGCTGGAACGGCTGATAAAGGAGTTTAGTGTGGTGTCAAACTATTGAACTATTTAAAACAAAAGTATTCTGTAAGTCGAATCACAAAGTCATTAGTTTGAGATATTAAACGATTACTCTCATTATAATTACAGATTACATGTAATCTATTACTCTCCGAGTCTGGATATAAATGTTTTGTATGGAAGTTTCCTCCAATGTGAATTATTCTGTAAGTCTTTATAATGAGAATGTTTCTGAAAATATTAACTTTAAGACACTAAGTCATTATTTTATTATTATTATTATCTCCTCCCCCCCCTCATGTTGAACCCTGGAGGATCAGCTGCTTCCTGTCCCGATCACGTGTCCAGCGGGAGGCTCCGACTGGAAAACCTTAAGGAATATCTTCCTCCTCCTCCTCCTCCTCCTCCTCCTCCTGCTACCGGGCTAATAATACCTGTTTATTAATAACGGAGGCTGTGTTTGTGAGGCTGCTCTGCGGGAGGCTGGCTCTCTGCTCCCCGCTCCTTATAAACCCAGAATGGGCTCCACCGCTGGACGTCCGCGGACCGGGACCGCTGCGTGGTCGCTGCTTTGTTTACTCCACCGGGTGCGACTTTAAACCGTAAACAAGCTCCGAGCAGAGACACAAAGCTCCGTGTTCAGTCGGTGCTACCGGACAATACGGGTTTACTGCACCGGGTTCAGCGCCATAGCAACCCGTTACAACCCGTTAATAAACACTATAGTGTCTTTAACTGGTGTATTGTGGGGGAATGGCTGCGAGCTGAGCGCTTCTGGGTAAAGTTTGTTATTTTTTATTTATTTTATTTTATTTTTTTTACACGTTTTTCATCGAAAATGAAGTCTTCCACGGCTCCCGGAATACGGTTTATCACGTCTTTCTCTCGAGATAGTTGGTAAGTTTCCATTATCCTCATTACAGAGCCTTTATATGTGTGTGTTGTGTGTGTGTGTGTGTGTGTGTGTGTGTGTGTTATCTCCCTGCTGTAAATGATCAACATCATCCACATCGATAAAACACACACTCTGTGAAGTTGTGGGTTCATTATGTAGTGTTTGTTTTTTATTTTAAATATATACCCTAATTGGTGCTTTTATTTTCCTGCAGCGAGAAATCGAGCCACGCCAAACTCCATTCAAAAAATCGCCAATTTTAGAGCTTCCTCTTTTAATCGATGCAGATTTGACCTTTATCGAATCGATCCGCGACAGAATCCGGAATTTAAAGAATTCGGCTAAGACAAGAGGAGGATATGGTGGGGGCTTTATTTTTATAGCATCTGAGTTTTCTAATTCACTGTGGAGATTATTTATTAGTTTAATTTGCTGATGTAAAAGAAATAAAACAGCATCAGTTGATGAGAAATTAAAAAGTATGAGTGATTCAGTCTCAATAATTAGTTGGTTACTTGTTATTATGACTTTCTTTATTTTGATAATTTGTTTATTGGGGTTTTTAATGAGAATTAAATCAAGGATACAATATAATTAAAGCTTTCTGAGTCTGAATATTCAATCTAAGGATTAGTTTCTTCATCAAGTAATCTTCCCATTATTTCCTCAGTTCAACAGTTGATCAGTTGGGTTTATAAATCATCAGGAGACAGTTCATAATCTCCCAGAGAACAAGAGAGACACCTTCAAACTGCAGTCCAAAACACAAAGATTGCACATTTACTGCGATTTAACACAAGAAAAGCATCAAATCCTCAAATCTGACTGAGAAGATTCATTAATTAGTAAAAAATAGTTGCAGAAACTCATCGATCGACTCAGGTTTCAGCACGAGCGATGTCAATAGTTAAGTAAGTAAGTAAAAGTAAAAGCATTTTCTCTTTCAGGCCACAGCTGAGCTCAGTCACAAGATAATTACAGTGTTAATTAAAGAGTCGTTCTCACAGTTCATCGCCACGTTTCTAGTGTACGTGATAAAAAAGACATAATGAAGTTAATACTGATGAATCAGTGTTAGAGGAACATTTCACTGCTGCAGCTACTCGAGGTGGATCTCTGGTTTAGTCCTGTGAATCCCAACCATGAGGTCGGGCCCCTCCAAAAGGTCACCAGATAAAATGTGAGGGGTCAAGAGGTGATTAAAGGGGCAGGAAATGGGACCAAAACATGAATGGAACATACATTTGTAGTTATTTTACTTTAAATATTTTTCAATTCAACCTTTTCAGGCCTCAAACTGTAACTTAAATGAAGCCGTGTGAGAAGTTTAGGAGGGAAATGTAGCTTATCATATGCTTTTTAATGTAAAATCATTGTTTTGTACATTAACTATAGCTGTGAGTAAAGTTCAATCCTTCTGTTTTCTTTCCTTTAAGGGTCATTGGGACTGATAATAATTGTGTAATACCTTCATACAGTTAAACCTTGAGAGACAGTTATTGTCAAAAAATCTCAGACCGCTGCCGCCCTCTGAATCTCCCTCTGAAATGTCGTGTAAAAGAAGTATAAAGTAGTAATTAAATGGAAATACTCAGGAGTAACAGCTACCAGCGGTGGTGTATCGGTCTTATATTGAGAGGTTTCTATTCTTACGTCCTCTGGAGGACAGATAAAAAAGACTATATTCATATTTTAGGATTAGAAAGATGTTGTTTCCATGTTCCTGTTGATGTTTTAAGTCTTTATTTTCAGCCGGCGGTTTATTGTCGTTCACTCAGTATGAACTCAGCTGATCTGTGACATGCTGGTAGCAGTTTGTGTTCTATAACACACATTTCTGCGTCAGTGGAAAGTTTCTTATTCGCGTTGGCTTTTTAAAGATTAACCAGTAAAGTCCGATCTGCATTTGGTGTCCTCGCTGTCGTTGCTTCTCGTTCTGTTTGCAGCCGTTTCTTTATCTGAATCTCTCTTTTGCAGGTATCGTGGTTTCATTCTCTTCCTCACCTTCCTCTTCTACACGGCCTACCACCTCTCGAGGAAACCTATCAGCATTGTGAAGGTGACTGGGACAATTCAATTCCTTTTTATCTGCAGGTTTTCTACTGGATTCTGCAGGACCTTGACCAGCCCGGGTTGTAGGTCAAATCCTCCCTGGAGTTTGGAAGTCTCTATCTCGAGTTCACGCTGTTCCTTTGTTTTAGATAAGTGAAGCACGCCGGAGGGAGAACAGACAGAGTAACTAACTGTGAATAAAGTGTCAGATTGCTTCAGTAGAATTAGAACTTATGTGCGAGTCTTCCTCTGAAAGAAAACACACATTTCTTATTCAGAAAGCCAGATTTTTATGTTAATACTGCAGCACGCTCACATTAATGGCAGCAAACCGGGGGAATGTCTAATATCATCAAATCTGAATGAAGATTCATTATTATCGACTCAGGTTTCAGCACGAGCGATGTCAGTAGTTAAGTAAGTAAGTAAAAGTAAAAGCATTTTCTCTTTCAGGCCACAGCTGAGCTCAGTCACAAGATAATTACAGTGTTAATTAAAGAGTCGTTCTCACAGTTCATCGCCACGTTTCTAGTGTACGTGATAAAGAAACAGAATGAAGAGCTCAACAAGGCCGACAGTGTGCAGCTTCTAATGTTCAGTTCTGTTAGACAGGTATGGAAGGTGCATTTACAATACTTGATATGATATATTGTGAGTTATGACATTATTAGCGCGTTAATACTGATGAATTAGCGTTAGAGGAACATTTCAAACATTTCTGCGTCAGTGGAAAGTTTCTTATTCAACGACAGCAACGAGTTCACGTTGTCCTTGCTTCTCATTCTGTTTGCAGCCATATCTTTATGTTCCTCATCAGAGAGCGCCAGAGGATCAGAGAGGAGATAAACACACATTTCTTATTCAGAAAGCCAGATTTTCATCTTAATCCTGCAGTCAGATAGCACGTAGCACGCTCACATTAATGGCGGCAAACCTGGGAATGTCTAATATCATGAAAGCTTTGAAAATATACAACTTATACATAAAAAAAAGGCACATTTCTACTCGTATGTCTGCACTCATAAGTTCCTGCAACCCCTGTATAATATAAGCAATATCTAATCATCAACCAGTGACTTTATGACAACTGAATCTAGCACTTCCCTAAAGGAAGAAGAAGTTGAAGCTGGTATTAGTTGTGATTCAGAGTGCAGCACCACTGTGGTAAATATGGACAGAGTAACACATGTATTTGTTCTGAATGTCAAGCAAGTGCAACAACACAAGGCCAGCTCGCCGTCTGTCTGCGGCCTTTTATTTCACAAAGCTCTCGCCGGCGACCTAATTATCCTTATCAATAATAATCTAACAGCCGTGCTACAGATGAGACGACTCCTGCACATTGTTCAGCCTTTAGTAGTCGCCTCATGTCTAATAACATGAAAGCTGATGAAATATACAACTTATACATTGAAAAGAAGGCCCATTTGTACTTCCTTCTACTTGCTTGTACCTTTATTTTACTGTCTGTGTCATTTTACCTGCTTCCCTCTGTATTCAGAGTCAGCTGCACAGAAACTGCTCCACGGTCCTTCAGCCTACAGACCTCAACATAACCAACAATGCTACCTGGTGCGACTGGGCCCCCTTCGGTAAGTCCTGCTCTTGTTTCCACCTGCGAAGTCAACGCGGACACTAATGAGTAGAGGATGATTGATATAGTGTTTTATGAGAGCATATCAGGGATTTCTTCGTCATTAGAATTCAAATAAGAAGAGATAATGAACTTTATTGTCCGTTACATTACTGGAAATGGAAATTGGCCTTCTGACAAAACGTTGTAAAACAGCCTGTAAAGAGCAGCTGACATACATAAAACAATACAGCAAAAAACAAAGCAACCGAATCAAAATGAAAGCCAAATATAAATAAATAAATACAGCAACAGTGTGACACTGGGGTTATAAGGGAGCAGACACAGAGTGCAGAAAGAAACCCCCTCTGCTACATAGCAGACAGCTGCTGTGTCCCAAGCCCTTACTGCACAGTCAGCAGGTTTCGAGTGTGTACAGATGGAAAGTGACACAATAAAATACACAAAAAGTTCTCAAAACAGCGAGCGTACGATGTAAAAACTCCTGATGTTCTTCCACAGTGCACAGTGGGAATGGAGGAGCTGCAGCCGTAACAGCTCCAGGATTCTGTGTCAAATCTTTAAAAACATCAAAGTTTTCTCACTGCACAAGTATTGTTTCACTTCCTGTTTTAATAAAACAGTATTTTGCTTTGTTGAATAGTTACCACAGAAACAGTTTTGTATAAGGATTAGTGTTCACTGAATGCAGTTAGTTATTGAACACAGCTGCTCTCTCTGTGTTTTAGTATGATATGAAATTAAATTGTTTGCCTGTTTTCATCCGGTGTCACAAGCTGAAGTTAGAGTTAATCTCTATGGAAGTTTGTAGAGACATGCTGGGAATGTTTCCTCACTCCTTTCTAAGTCATTATTACTGTTGGGATGTATTTCTTGTTTATTGCATAATTAGTTAGCAGTGAGATTGAAGTCCAGTCTTTATATCCCGACCTCGCGATACCAGACAGTCGGAGATCTCAGCACCCCCCTCAAACGATGTTCCTCCTCCGTTCTCTTACGTAGTGAAACAAACTGGAGATAAAGGGAACCACTGTCTAACCCGGAGAGCGCTTTTTAAAGGACTGATAATTATACAGTGTTTACAAGCAAACCTCTCTAATTGTTTTCACTTTTTACAATGAAAGCTGAGATAAAGATTAAGTCATTAAGGTATCGTACGGCCCAGTATAGGAAGGTGTTTATGTTAGGGAACTGGTTCTCCCACCATCGATGATCCTGGGTTCAATTGTTGGTGGGTGGGAAGCCAGTGAGGGCTCAGTCGTTGATAGTTATATTATAAATAAACTAATGGTTTCATCTGTGTCGTCTCTCCAGACCAGGACAACTATCAGACGCTGTTTGGAGTCTTGGATAACTGCTTCCTGGTTGCCTATGCCTTCGGCATGTTTTTCAGGTTTGTACCGTTACCGTGTGTGTGTGTGTGTGTGTGTGTGTGTGTGTGTGTGTATGTGTGCGTGTGCCGCACTGACTCACGACCATTCTCTGTCCTCGCAGTGGGATCTTTGGAGAGCGCCTGCCTCTGCGGTACTACCTGAGCTTCGGGATGCTGATGAGTGGATTGTTCACGTGTCTGTTCGGCCTCGGCTTCTACTGGAACATCCACTCTTTAGGGTACTACGGCTTCATCCAGGTAAACGCCACCACACTACGCAGTTAAGCCCCGGCCACACTGCCATTGTAGCGGCCGTGTTGGAGCAGCCACACTGTCCGCCTGAGCCGCTCAGGTGCTGCTGCAGCTTCACTGGAGAGTCGACGTCTTGGCCTATTTTTTCCAGTCATATCGACATTATAGCAGCAACATATACATCTTTTACTACAGTTTCAATGTCTGTATCTGTAGAATATGTGACAGAACTGACCTCCTGTATCTGTTTCAGATTAAAAGCATGCACCATTGGCTACAAATTAGGAATTATAAAGGCATTAGAGTCGCATGGGGAGTCAGAAATGTTCAGGTGAACGTCAATTTATTCACAATTTTGGGACTCCTTCATATATTTCATACTTTTTATTCCCAGTTTGGACATAAAATAGGTTAAAATGTCTTAAATTTAACTAACTGCTCTGACTTCCTGTCGTACCCCCTTTTGTTTACATTTTGAAAGTGATTGCACAGAATCAGGAAGCTGCAAACAAGCTCTCTTTCATTTCTGCAGGCAGAACTACTGCATACAACTAAATCTCATTAGAGGGGAGGAGAAAGAGGGAAGCACAGAGATCAGATGAGCTGTTTATCGCTGACTCGCCACCAAACGTTCAGCTTTCACTGGTCGCCTGACTCCATAGGAAATGAGTGCTGGCAGTCTGCATGTGTACACGGTGTCTCAGTAAAACTAAAAGCACATCAGAAGAGTTTGATTTCACTTCAGTTTTTTTTTCGACCAGTAATAACCGCACCCCTGCACTGAAAACTGAGACTTTATGATGGGAATCCAGCTCAGATTCTTACCATCAGATTTAAGTCGAGTGAAAGTTGAATTACCTCTGAAACCACAGCTTTAAAGAACGGCTTCTGTCTCTTCCTGTGTATAAACGCTGCAGCTCCACAGTGCTGTCTGTAGATTTATTGTTTTGTCTTATTCACAGTTCAAAAGGATATTCAATTAACAATGATGTCAAATAGAGAAAGTCATCATTTATGTGAAGCTGGAAGCAGACAAAGTTTGTTTCTTGATAAATGACTGAAATGATTAATAGAAAATCAAAGATAACATTTAATCAACAAGTTGTTTGGCCACTTCCATGTTTATTTAACATTAGTATAAAAGCTAATGTTTCCCACAAATTGATTTTATGTGGGCAGCTCATCCACCTGTAACAGCATTCACTTAAAAAATGTTTTAAACTTTGGACTGATCCATAAACTAGCTGATGTGCAGTTGAATAAATACAGAAAATCTACTCCCTGTAGTTCGCTCATGAATGCAATGCCAATAATATCGACATGTCATCGGTATCCGGTCAGTAAAAGCTTTAAAATGAAGCCTCAGTATCCGTCTGAAATGAACAGTTCGTGCCGATCAGCTGACAGTTTCATTAGAGTCAGCAATCAGCCAAAAGGAGTTTGAAAGTATTGAATATTGACAATAATCCAGTATTGTGCATCCATCCACACCCTCACATGACAGAGGACTATCCCCTGTAGTCAAATACCACATGTACATTTCCAACCTCAGGGGAACTATAAGTAGAAATGTTACTCATGCTGTAAATACACTGACTTATTGTATTGATTAACCCTTTTACCCCTGGTACAGATGTGATCACTGAGAGCTCTGCGGGTCAGTACCGACCTCATTTATCACCTCTTAAAACGCAGAGATCTCATGGTGGCTTACTCAGGCTTTACTCATCACCTGACTCACAGCTGCAGCATGTGACCTGCAGGAGTGTGTCTGGGCTTACACGGGTCGGCTGTGGGAATGTCACCGCCCGGCCATCTCCCCTCTCTCTCTCTCTCTCTCTCTCCTCTTTAGGAAGATGTTTGCAGCGTTCGGATGCTTTGATGCAGCGAGTTAACTCGGCTTTCTCCCGCTGTCTTTGCAGGTCATGAACGGGCTGATGCAGACCACGGGCTGGCCGGCAGTGGTGGCCTGCGTTGGGAATTGGTTTGGGAAGGGGAAGTGAGTACTGAGTCCTGCTGACCATGCAGTGTTTGATTCTTCTTTATTTAGTGGCTGGTTGAGTCACGCAAACGTTCCACATCATAAATCTTAACTTGCCTTTAAATATGTGTGGAAACTAAAGAACTGGTCAGAGCAGAAGTTTAGGAACCTCACTCACACAAACATCAGAGTGAGAACACTAGTAAACAGTCCCACGCCCGTCTGAGTGTACGCCCATAGATTGTCTTTACCAGCACAAAGGAAACTAGGTCAGAGAAATCAGGTTACACAGGAAACCAGATAACATGTGTTTACATGTGCTGCAATCAGCTGGTTACTGTTGTGTTTATGTGTCGATTCTTTCTGAGATACAGTCACAAAATCATGGTTGTTTGTTTTTATTCATATTTTTAAGCTTTACATAATTAATCAATATTGATCATTAAAGAAATACATAGTTCGACATTTTGTGATATACGCTTATCCAGAGTGTGATGGGCAGATCGATATCAATCTTGTGTATGTTAAAGGACCAGTGTGTAGCATTTAGTGGCATGGTGAAGTTGCAGACAGCACCCAACTGAATCCACACGCAGAAATGTGAAAAGACTTTGTGGTTTTTGGCGGCGTTATGGAAACATTTCATCACGCAGTGTTGTATTTACAGTGAGGTTGCCAGGCGTGTTTTCACTGTGCCTGTACAGAGAGATCTACCAAACCCTGTGCTCACTCACTGTGTCTGACAACCTGCACTACAGCTGCAGACGCTGCACAGATCCACCTCTCTGTATGTGTATGTAACATTTCAGTTTGTGTACAGACTAAACAAATGAGGCGCATCATGTTCAGCTCAAACATAAGATTGAAAGAATCTCACTGTCAGAAATGTCGAACTTCTTCCTTTAACGGGGATAAAACTGTGTTTCTGAGGCAGTACCTCTTGTGCTTTTATCCTCAGACGCGGGTTCATCATGGGTGTGTGGAACTCCCACACCTCCGTGGGAAACATCCTCGGCTCCCTCATCGCCGGAGCCTTCGTCTCCTCGGCGTGGGGAATGTCCTTCATCGTCCCCGGACTCATCATCGCCTCCACGGGGATCCTGTGCTTCTTCTTCCTGGTTGAAAGTCAGTTTCTGTTCACCAGAGAAACACTCACACAGAGTTTAATTAGGTTGAATTACACTGTGAAGTGATATTTGGGAACGTAGCTGCAAACTCGTTGCATTTATACAGAATTTGTGTAAATCTGAAGAAATGGTTTTGGTGCCAGGAACTGCTGCTTATCAAAATTGTGGCAATTCATTTTTGGTGAAACACCTGATGGATTCGTTGGTTGATTCCTGTTTTAACCAGAGTCTGATAAAAAAGATCAGATGTTAGTACAGAGTTATTATAGAGTTAGTATAATTAAGTCTGGCTCTACATGTCGCATCTTGTTGACTTTGAGATTTCTTGTCAAACTGGAAAGTTGCTGTGGAACAATGGTTCTCAAACTCAGGGCCGGGGCCCCCTGGGGGTGCATAGAGTCACTGCAGGTGGGTCTGGATGACCATTGCAAGACATCTGGAGTGAAATAAAGTTGAATGAATATGATTTATGTTGGGAAAATAAACAGATTCTGACATTTATATAACTAAAAATCAACTTAGATCCTTTTTTATTTATATCATCATTCATTGTTAATGATTGTGGGGTCGGGGGCATGAACCTTATTCGGCTTGAACATTTCTGAGCCCCGTCTTTTCCTTCTCTCTTATTCAGAACCTGAAGACGTGAACTGCACTCCTCCTCAGCACCACGTGAGTTAACCCTGAAACATTCAGCGTCTCCGCTTCCTCCCTCACAAACAGCTTTTAGACTAACAGATACGAGTGTTTGTCTCACAGAGCGAGCAGGAGAGCGTCGAGACGGAGCAGGACTCGGCCCACGTTGACCAAACTGTCAATGGAGCGATCTGCACCGAGTCCACAGATCTTGTGGAGGAGCACGTCGAGGCCATCAGCTTCTGTGGAGCACTCAGTATTCCTGTGAGTGGTACCTTGTTTCATATTTGAAAGTTCTGTTTATAAAGAATGAATGATGTATTTTATATTCTGGATTTGTGCAGTTTGAAAACCACCATGAGTAGGATTTGAAGTCCTTATTGTGGCGCCCTCTGGTGGTGGAATCAGGAGTGACAGTGGCATTGGGATTGTTTCATTTTCCTACAAATACAAACCTCTGACCTACCTGAAAGATGCTATGGAGATACTTGGAGCCGGGGGAGGGTGTAATATGTACTTTATAATTCAGAGTGAGGCACATGATCACACCAGGTACTTCTGCTTATGTGGAGGCGCTCCAAGGACTTGATGGGACGGCTGATTGCTTTGTGCACAGATGGAGGCTTTTGTTTTGAAAGGCTTCCGCTGCCGGTTTACAGCGGCTCCGGATCTCGCTGTCCTCGGATAATGAGCACTTTGGACTGATGAAAGGTTTTGGTGGTGTTTTGTTGTCTCACACAGGGAGTGGTGGAGTTCTCTCTCTGTCTGCTCTTCGCCAAACTGGTCAGCTACACGTTCCTGTACTGGCTTCCTCTCTACATCTCCAACGTCGGTCAGTATCCGCTCACACACACACAGAGAGAAAGAGAGAGAGAGAGAGAACATCAGGGCCTCATTTAAAGTCTTTCAGAGTTAATGTGGGGTCTGTTTCTTATTTTCAGCACATTTCGAGGCAAAAGAGGCCGGAGACATGTCGACGCTCTTCGATGTGGGAGGAATTGTGGGTACGTTTTCAGTAGGTTTTATTTTCTGACAGAAGAGGTAAAAAGGAAAATATGAAATGTATGATGCAAATAAGGAAAGACACAAAGGCCTTTAAAGAGTGAGTTTGTATGAGGAACTTATCCGTAGTATCACGGCTTCCCCCCCCCGTATTTTCACCGCTTTATCCTGCTGACAGCGCTTTCCGACGTGGAACAGAAACCTTTTTATATCGCTCTCTCTAAAGTCACCAGACTCCTTCGACAAAACCTCACAGAACACAGGAGCTGCAGGTCCAACGCTGCCTCAATCACATACGTCACACAATAACACAGACAAACAAACCAATGGAGGCAGCAACTCCTGTGATCCACCCTTTTATTTTTTTGTATAATTACCGTAAAACTTCCAATAAAAGCAGGGTCCCTAATAGACGCAGGTCTCTTTTAAAAGCCTGGTGTGGCCACACGTTTTGACAAATAAACGCAGGTCTCCAATAGAGGCCTGGTCTGGATTTTAGAGAAATTATCTCGATATATAAAATCCCTTAAAATCCACCAGCTCGCCCGCTTGAGCGAGTTTTAAGTCGTTTTGATCTCCTACACAAATAGAAATGTTTAAACCTCTGTCAGTATGTACATAATGCACATCATTAGATCAGTTATAGATTCTCCACAATTCAATCGTTCACTATATTTTACGAAAACGATCAACAACAAAGTATGACGTTATTAATTCTGACTCACCAATAACACGGTAAACAAGAGAGAAGGAAAAAACCTCTGAAGCATCATAATCATCATGTTAGTTGTCAAATTCTGCTGAAGTTAGAGTTTAGTTTAGTTTTGTGCTAAAGGAATTAAACGCCTGTCCCAAATAGAGGCCTGTCCCAAATAAAGGCAGGGGGAGTTCAGTGATTTAAGCAAATAAACGTTTGCTCACAATCGCTCACCAACCTAATCCGCCCTTCAATAATTTAAATGTTATAAGCAGCCGAATACCTGATAGTAAACCACTACTGATTATTACTTGATGTTGATAAATACCATGGAATTAAACTATTGTACTTTAATATATCTGGATTCAATTATTTATTTTATATATATTATAAAGTTCTGTGGCTGACTGTGTCTGCAGGAGGCATCATGGCGGGTCTTGTGTCGGACTACACCGGTGGGAGAGCGTCAACGTGCTGCGTCATGCTGCTCGCCGCGGCCCCTATGGTGAGTGTCAGCTGATACATCGGATTTATTTTATGCTGGTTGTCAAACACATTCCTCAGGTCATATATCTGCTGTTGTTCTATCTCAACCAGATGTTACTGTGTCTCTCTGTACTTTATAACATTCATAGCTTATTGGTTTTATAGGAACATCTTAAAACCTGTATTAACTTATTTATTCTGGCCAGTTAACGAGTTTGACAAACAAGTTTGGAGAAAGAGTTAACAGACGCCAGCAGTGTGTTTTGGTCATTATTGGAGAGATAGAAGCAGTGGGCAGTGCGGTGCTGATGTAGGAAACATCTGATGTGATCTTCATGCTGGCTGCAGTCTTTCTTAATGTTATCTGCTGCTCTGAAAGCTGCACTTTCCTCTTTTTAAAATCCTGCATAACAGCACAATATCCTCTCATTACTGATGTCCAGATGTCCAGCGTAGATTTACAGTTCAGTTATTATGAGTGGAAGACAAAGCTGAAGATGTGATGATGGTTTGTTTTGTTCATGTTGCAGCTTTTCCTCTATAATTACATCGGACAAAGGAGCCTCGGCACGACAATCGGTAAGATTTCTTTACTGTATTTCGTGTTTTTGTGTTTTGTTTTTGTACTTTGGAGTTTATTTTAACTTTAACTTTAAGGAAAAAGTAGCAGCAGTCAGTTAGTCCCGATCAGGTGACAAACCTTAGCACTAGATACTGAGGTAGCACCGATTACAGCATGACAAACAAACTTTCAAACAAAAACACCTGACAACAACAGCGACTTCCTGTCCTTGTACCTGAGCCCTCGACAGTAACACAGCGCCACCCGATGTACACATAGTTAATTACACTTATGGCTCTTATAGAGTCTTTGACAATCCTTCCTCTGTAACGTCTCCATGCTGTGGTCACATTCAGCCTCCACAGTCCAGTTTAAACGCACAAAACGAGTCGTTAGTCATCAGAAATTAACGTGGAAGTTGGTTTAATTACAGACAGTGTAAAAAAAAAATAGGTTTTTATTAAAAAGGAGTCTTTTTTCTCCACGTGTAGGTATGCTGTTGTTGTGTGGAGGCCTTGTGAACGGACCGTACGCCCTCATCACTACCGCTGTATCTGCTGACCTGGTAAGACCTGAAGCATCATGGGAAACACGCCGCCATCTGTCACAGTTTCTATAATCCTAATGTCTCCTAGAGGACGTAGATTTAAAAAAATTAAAAACTTGAATGTCTTTGTTGCAACAGGGAACACACGAGAGTCTGAGAGGAAACTCCAGAGCGTTATCGACAGTGACGGCCATTATTGACGGGACTGGTTCCATAGGTATGTGTGAGACCCTTTTGAGACTGTCGGGTCTTAAAAAGTCTTTAAACGATGTGACAATATCCGCTGATTGTTATTGGTATGAAGGAGTTCTGTTAACTTTGGATTTCATTATTCATAGTAACAAGTTATACGTGATGATACAGGGCTTTGAGAGTCTGGAAATGTTTGTTATTTACCTTTAAAGTGCTTGAATTGTACTTTCTCCAAGCCGTACGAACCCTGGATGTTAAATATTGAGGTGTGTTTTGTGTAGGAGCTGCGTTGGGGCCTCTGTTAGCCGGTGTGATCTCCCCCACCGGCTGGAACAACGTCTTCTACATGCTCATCTCCGCCGACGTCCTAGCCTGCCTGGTCAGAACCCCCCCGCTGTATATTCCCTCTGTACTCCCTACAGTACAAACATTACATCTCCTTTAATGATGACGTCTCTGTAGTTTTATAACTGACACATTGTTTGTTTGTTTGTTTGTCTGCAGTTTTTGACCAGACTTGTTTACAAGGAGGTTCAGGGTTGGTGTGGATGTGGCCCCCGAATGAGAGGGTGAGTGTCTCCACCAGCTGTGGATTAAAGAAACTTTACACCTTTGAGATTAAAAGCCTCAAATAGGAAACGATTACAGGAACTAAAACAAATCTGTAAAAGCGTCCAATAAAAAGCCAGCATGTGTTTGGTGTCACAAACGTTCCAGCAGCATCCCTAAAGCTCAGTAATTAACATGTTATACCTCATTAGTGTCATTAAGTACAAAAACAGAAATGTAAAAACAGTAAATTGGGGTTTTTCGGGGAGTTACGTTCAAGAACTGTTTCTTGGCTCACCAGACTGATGCTGATACAAACTCCTGTTCATCAATAAATTGTTGTGTTGGCTAAAGCTTCACTCAAACGCTCCATTGACACTTTCAGGATAAAACATACCTGTTTTCAGTGGCTTTTGGTTGCTTTTAGTGGGCTTTAGTTTTTTATAATCTCTTATTTTATATTGTTACATTTATGCGTATGTGATATTGCCTAATATTTATATACATATTAGCTCATATATTGTCATTTATTGATTTATTGACTTTATTTTGCACAGCACTTTTGGTCAACTCTGCTTGGTTTAAACTACATAAATAAAGATTTAACTCTCAGCCAGTCAGGGAATGAGTGTATTTCCTGAAACTATTCCTTTAAACGAAGAATTCAACGATATTAAATCAGGATATTAACCATCTGCACAAAAACTCAATTCCATTAGAAGCAGCGCTGTTATATATGATTGCATTGTATGTGTCTAATAGTCTCTCTGATGCAACTTTCTGTTCCAGGTTCAAAGAATTCTGAGACACAATCAACCAGGGAGCCAAACACAGAAAAGAGGGAAACAATAAAGACCTCAGCGCACAGCCAATAACCTCTTTCCATTCAGGCTGCTCGGGAACAAAAGCCACCAGCGGAAGATTCGAGGCACTAAAGTGACGATGGAAGCCTTCTTCTTATTGTACGACAGAGAGAAATATGCCTTTATAGAACAAAACTTTTTTTATGACCAATCTACTCGTTTTAACTTGTTTTAATATTCGTTTATCATTATTCTTTTAACATTAAAATACTATGCATTTTCTTAATATTGTCTTTTTCTGTCTCGTGACTTCATCCTTCAGGTCAATAATGTTTCACAGTTTTGGTGCTTTCAGTTCTGCTGCTGCAAGATTTTATATTTGAATATATATTATATGATGTTTTATATTTTATATTTTGATATTTAGTCATTAAAGAGTGAGTACGGTCCAACATTCTGGGGGAAAAAAAACCAAATTCTACATAGTTTAATCTTATTTAGTCCAGTTTTAAGTTGTTCTTCTCACGTCAGATAAAATAGTTTGATGGTAAAAGACGTTAGTGTTCCTCTCATTATTTATATTTACATGAAGCATAAAACAGGCAGCAGAATTCTGATAAATTGTTAAATTAAAACAACATTAAATGAAGTTAAATTACTTTATTAACTCCTGCCACTATTTTGTATTTATAAGCTGTTTATAAAAATGTAATAAATGTTTTTTAATAGACTATAATGTAGTTATAAGTGGAATCTATCTGTTTATTATTATCTGAACAAACACAATATAGTAACAGCTGCAACAATTATAAAATATGGAGAAGTTATAATAGTTATTAGTTAGTAAATATTGTTATTAATCCTCACCCCTACCAATACAGGACACTTATTTATCTACGTAATCTTCTCACAACATTATTAATTATGTAATTAATTTCATCTGTAAAAGAAAAAGAGAATCTTAATATTTTTGGTAAGTTACAGTTGCGTCTTCCTCAGTGACGGACCGACAGTGTGTGATACTTTAAATTAGGACCCAATAAATAGTTCCACCTATTTTTACTGCATCGGTGGACCTGTGGTCATTTTAAAAAGCACAAATTAAAACAAACAAAACAATGAAGTCATTAGAAACACACTGACTGACCAAAGTGGAATGACTCTCTGAGATTTTACAAAGTATACCTCTGGTGTTTATAACAGCTTACAACTGCACTATATTGTGTTATTAAATCATTTATTAAACGTTTATTTACGGCTCATAAACGCTGAATATCGAGGGTTAAAGTCGACAACCACTGTGGCTCTTTCAGTAACAGTCCTGTGTGAATCACCTTAACAGATCGATCAGGTCAGCAATGTGATGTATTCTCTGTCTGAAAGGAGGCTTTAGATTGTCTGCCAGCTTCTACGTCCAAAGTTTAACTTCTCTGACCTTTGACCTCTGAATAAACTGATCTTTAGGAGGCAGAAGGGTCCAACTGCAGCACCTCTCACCTCCCTGCTCTCACCTCAGACCTCATGCAGGTATTATCGCTCCCTGCTGGTCGGAGGAATTATTGGATTTTCAGTTGTCAGGTCATATAGTTCACAGAATATAATTATATGAAGTATATTACCGGTATATGATTGGTGACTTTCAGACCTTTAATTTTACTTTAACCCATTTACGTACAAAGAAAATTGTTCTGTTTGGTCTGAAGTCTTGAAATTTCGGTGCCGACATACTTCGACTAACAGTACAACTTATTATTATTTGAACTGTATTATTAGATAACATGCAAAAATCACACCCTTTTATCAATAGTCAAAGTCAGGATTCTTCAAAAATGAGGAAAAACACTCAAATGTTTTCCATATGAAACTCCATGAAACCTCTCTGCTCTCTACTGCTCATGCTCAAACCGCACTGGCTCAAAGGAGGGAGGACCCGTCTGTAAGGAGGCGCTAAAGCATTGACTGGGTGGGAGTTTGTAGGTGCCGCATTGTAAACAACATTTATAGAGAGGACTAGTTGAATTAAGTACAAATTAAAGCATGAAACATTCGCTTTCATTCTCTTTTAAACTGTTCATCATGGAGATAACAGCTTTTCCTCTTTGAACCATTAAAAAGAAAGAAAGCCAAACTCATGAAACACATCCTCTGTTTAATTGCAGTAAATACAAGTTAATAAGGTAAAGACAACTGATTCCCTGAGACTCAGAGGATCATACGGCACTGTTTCATTTTAAAAAGTGCCCGCTGTAACATTATATAACATTATAACTAAAGGATTATAGTGGTTGGTTTTATTTAATGGGTGAGTTTCGTACCACTGCAAAATGTTTGTTTAAAATAAAATCAGATAAACACTCAAAGGTCACTAAACAACCAAACAAACAGGAGTAGTCAGACCTCCACCTGAGGTCTGAAAGGCAGTTTTACACAACGACAACCTGCAGCAGGAAACAAGGGAAAGTAAACAGAAGCCCCAACAACAAGTCTCCAGCTGAAGCTCTGGATCGGACCAGCAGCAGCTTCTCTCATCCACTTGGAGGAAAAGTCTCAGATTCTGTATTTTTGTCAACAAATCTGAAGAAAAACACCAAAACAAATGAATCGATTCTACTAGCTCTAATCACACATACATCGTCCCTGCTGCTGGAAATACTCTAAAGCACCAAATGTGTGTTAATCCGCTGCTGAAAATAGTCCCTAACAAATTCAAAGTTTACCCCTGTTTGAGATGTGTTTGCTAAAAAGTGCAGCGCCCAGCTGTTTTAAGGAAATTACTGAGCCCTTTTTAAAGTGAAACTATGAAGATTTACATTGTGAGAAGGAGCCGATGGACACAGACATGGTAGCGAAAGAGAACTGAGGGTCAACGTTGTTTGAAGTACATTTTGAAGTATCGTGTTAGAAAAGGTGGATGGAAGTTGCTTGAGGTGGTTGTTGCCTTTTTGGTAAAGGAGTAAAGGCTCTTAATGTGAGATGGAAACACTTTCTGAGTAAGTTCTGATGTTGTGAACATTTTATGGAAACCCATTTCTGCCAGTGTGACGGGAAACGGGTTTCTGTAACTGTAATAATGAAAGTTTCTCCAAATATTGCCTTGACTTGGCTTATCCCGATGATTTCCCTGTATTTTCCTTTGTCGAATTACTTGAAATTCAACTAAAATTTGCGACACATCTGGATGGAAACATGGCGGTTGGTCGTTGTGGGAAAATCCCCTCCTACGCTTGCACTCCTCTACCTGCCTGCTTCCTGCAGTGGCCAGAGACTAAAGAGTGTCTTTATTGGCTCACCTGTGGCAAACTCTGAGAACAAAGAAGCTCGCTGCGCTCATGCAGACGCCTCATCACGCCAAATGTTTTGTTTTAGATGATCTTCTTTTATCAGACAAACAAAAAAGTTTAAACTGTTCTGAGCTTGGACTGGAACTCCTGTCTGAATGATCTGGTTTCGGGATTGATATCAACTCATTGGCTTGTCTATGAGGACAGATGAGCACAAAGAGAAATCCTCAAACTAAATATTCTTCATTGGTTTTGGTCTTTTCGTGGAATTTGTTGACAAAATTACACAATATCACCAGCCCCTTTAACCAGACATCAAACCTGACATCAAACACACTGCAGGTGTGTGAAGGTGGTCAGGGTTTGAACTTTACAGCGTTCACACATACAGACACGTACGCAGGTTTCCTCCAGCATGAAGCTTGTGAGTGTGTTTACCATTAAAACACAGTTATTTTCACACATTGTTTTTCTTATTAAAGCAGCTTGTAAAAGTTGTATAATGACTAATTAAAGTAGCCGTCGAATGGATTTACCCCTTTTTTAAGTGCTTTTACCTGGCTGAGTTGGAAAACTGCTTTTGTGTCTTCGGGGCATCAAAACAAGCGTGATTGGTTGTGTCAAGATTCAGCACATAAGGGGCTTTAGTGGCATCTAGTGGTCTAGTTGCAGATTGCAACCATTTGAATACAGCTCAGCCTTCCAAGCGTGTAGGAGAAAATAAAAATAGTTCTGGGCTACTGTAGAAATATGGCGGTCCTAAAAGAGGACCTGCGCCCTCTGTAGATAATAAACTCATTCTAAGGTAACAAAAACACAACAATTCCTACTTTCAGGTGATTATACACTAATGAAAACATATCTATGAATATTATATTACTTTTCTGACTATAGATCTTAAATGTATTGCGAGAAACATTTTCCTTTGGGCTGTTTTACCACTTTCTTTCTGTTTTGATGCCATTTACTATGCCGGTAAATAGGTTAACTAGCTAACTAGATGTTGGACTATGAGGGAATTACGGAGCTTGAATCTTGTAGTTAACTCGTATTTAATCGCCTGGTTGTCCCGCTGTTTTTTCCCCAACAGACTTTGCCAAGGTATTTTTAAAGTAGCTACACACTGGACCTTTAAGAATGGAGAAGGTTGGACCTCCAGGTTGCAGGTTCCTCTAGTGTTTGTATGTGTGAACGGGGCATAAACCCACTTTCTGTGTGTACAAACAAACGTCACACGATTGCCTTCGAGGAGAGACTGTCCAAAAGTTTGCACCAAAATGTTTGCATATTTTTACAATTCCTCACACCGAAACTATAAAGTCATACAAAAGTTATTCTTGGAGAGAGGTCTGGGAGGCAGTCGTCTGCAGCCATTCAGAAGAGCTATTAACAGTTTAGACTTTAGTGGCAAACTGCTTCCTGGATCATTAAATGTTTGTTTTGAGCTTCAGAAAATTAGGTCTATCTAAGTATTTCTATAAATTATTGACTAAATAAGCAACAATCAAAGTTTAAGTTCAGAAAAAAAACACATCCTTAGTTATTATTTAGTAAGTTTAACATGAAAAAAAAAAAATCAACAACAACCAAAAGCTAGTCTGCTTCATCAGCATCGTGAGTGTGCAAACTGTTGGACGCGCTGTCGCATTGAAGTGAATGGGAAAGTGTGTCCAAACTTTTTTTTTAAACTGGTATTCATATAGACAGGCTAGCAGTACGCAATGTTAGGATTGCGTCAAATTGGGCAACACAAACACAAACTATAATATGAACATAGAAACATATAATAAAACAGCAACAGCTGAGATAGTCGCAGCCCCCCGTGTGAAGATGGCGTAAAGAACATCTCGGCTCACACTCTTAGTGAATCCTTCAACATTCAAAAAGGTTAATTGAGTCTTGACAGCCACAAACGTATCGGCTTACAATCCCACCTGTGCTTTTTTTGGTTGTTTTTTTTTCGTGTGTGTATTTTTCTGTGTTCTTCGAGAGTAAAGAGTCACACGCACACAAATCAAACAGCTGGAGGCCGCCGGGACTCCGGTCCTCTGCTCGTGCTGCTTGCTTTGTCTTATGGGTCCGTCTAAGGTTTTATAGTCTCGTATTGTGTTACTGCGTCACGTCTTCAGTGTCAAACAAAAACAATCTTCACAAGCTTCGTACGATACGAGTTCGTGTTTCTCAGTGATGATATGCAGTCGGGTTCCATGCGCGGTACCAGGACCTGAAAGAGAGGATCACAGGATTAAACACTTAAACACTTATACATGAAACTTTATTCAAGCAATTACATTTTGTTAATTAGTTTAAAGAATTTTTTTGCAAATAGCTGTAAACCCCCATAAAAAACACAAAGGCTAGTAAATGTTAGTAAGAGGTGCTGGTAGGCAGATTATTGCTAGGCTAGCAGTTTCCCACTGATTCCAGTCTTTATGCTATGCTAAGCTAAGCTATCTGTCTCATGGTTGTAGCTTTATATTTAGCTTTAAGACATGGGAGAACTGTTCACTGAGCTAATAAATCAAGTAAGACGTCAGGTAATTTCTTCATAACACTGTGTGGTATCTGCCCCCTGCTGGCCGATATATAGAAATATAGATTGCGTGTTTAAGACACTTAACTTCACAAACCAGGAAGCTTTGTCCACCATATATACTGCCGATGGTCCATACTAAGACCCCCAGGATTGGTATTATCAAATATTGCATCTTTAACCTTATTTTTTTAAAAAGGAGCACCTCTAACTCGGTCATAAACCCCCCAAAAAGACCTTTTAAAGATCTTTGGGAGTCAGTTTTCTTGCCTTTATTGGACAGAGAGAGTGGTATCCTATCATATGCAAAACACGTCACTGGCTGGAACCGACAACGGTTGCAACCATGCAGCCATGTGGAGTGGCCATAAAAGCACCTTTATGATCAGAATCTGATCCATTTTGTTCCAATAACATGTGGAAAGTCTATTAAAGCCGTATTATTACATAATTTAGTTATGTGTGTGGGTAGCTGACAGGAAGTTGGCCTGAAGGACTCTACTGAGCATGCTCTGTGGGCCACAAACAGCATCCAATACACAATATTAAAGTGTTCCTTTAATAACCGGCTCCATGTTCTGGTATCTTTACAGTGTGTGAACGAGGGGGGTCCAGGTTGATGTTTCTTACCCTGGTGTGCTGTAGGAAGCCTGGTTGACCTGAGACGTTAAAGAGGCGGAGACAGCTGACAGACTGTTGGGAGAAGCTTCACGGCTTACGCTGTTCGGAGAGGAATTTGATGAAACTGGAAGGAAAAGGTCAAAACATTACTGAATATGAACATACTTCTATCCTCAGTGTCAGTCACAATAGAGTGTACTGAGAGGCTCGTAATCAGTAGCTGAATGTGGAAACTGTACTTGCCTCCGCCTGAAGCCAGAGGGCTGTAGGATCTAGATGCTGACGCCTGAAACGGTGAGAAAATAGATGAGAAGAAGCCAACTTGGCATTAGAACTGTAACATATATTTGCTTTATAACCAACAATTTCCATATTTAGTGTATCACAATGCCAATCGAAACCGTCTGATTTCAATATCAGCTGCGCTCAAGGGAAAAGGTGTTTCCATCAGTGTTAGGGTTGATGAGAGTTATTTGTTTCAGAAGCCTGAGGATGGTTTCAGGGTACGAGAACCTTTACTGAACTTTGCAAAGCCTGCAGAACCTGCTCTTTTTTTTAAATGAATGGTCTCTTTCTAGACCATGTTTGTGTGTTAAATATGGAGCTATGGTCAGGGTAGAAGTCACGCTTCACTCAAAGCAGTTAAAGGTACTGCAAGGAGTTTTTAACTGGTTATGAAACAGCCTCAGTTTAATACTGACGCCTCTATATGAGCTACATCGGATTGGATATTACTATATACTGGTAGTTATTCTTAATGTGTGCCACCGGGTCGGATTCCCCTTGAATTCAGACAAAGAGACGGTGGAAACACGACCGCTTTTGTCCACAGGGGTCGCCAGAATCAACAGAAAATTAAAGTTTCTTGAAGGGCGTCAAGCTACAACAATATAATCCGACAACCTGGAAATGAGTTAGAATTCTAGCTCCTCTGATCAATGTCAGTGGGTTTTTTGAATGGGTTGTTGGCTAGATCAATAACAACATAACATACATCAGTAAATACCCCAACTGAATTTTGAAGCTTTTACGTGTCAAACAAAAACAAAACAAAAACATTTCCAGGTAAAAAGAGTCAGCTAACCATTCTGGAGTTGTAGCTGTGCGATTTGACGGATAAATTTGACACCGGGCAGTAGATCCTCTTCTCCTTCTGACGCCGATTACAGAACCAAACTCGAACCACCTCCTTCTCCATGGACAGCTGCTCTGAGATCTGGGTTATCTCCTCAGAGTTGGGCTTGGGGTTCTGAAAACCAAAAACCTTCATGATTTCTTCCTTTAAACGTAGCGTGGGAATAAAAAGCAACACTTAATATACTTATCTTTACCAGACGATAAACTCTATAAAAGCAGAACAGGCTACGAGAACTCGTTAAATATCGATCCAGTCTTGAACTCACATCGTGGAAACGTTTCTCCAGAGTCATCTTGATGTTCGTTTCGATGCTCGTCCTCTTTTTCCGTTTGCGTCCGTAGCCCTCAATCAGAGGCGGCAGAGAGGTAGGGTTGCTCATCGGGTCAGAAGGTGAGTTTTCTATTGTAAACGCAAACATAACGTTCATTATATTCGGTGCCTGAAATGGGCTGATACTCACAGGTACTGAGCATTGATGTATAAAGGGAACTTCCGTACACTCTCAAGTACAAAAATACTTGTTTCTGGGAAATGATTCCAATTATTTTTGTCTGAAAAAAATAAAATCTTGTCAAGCATGTTTTTTGCATTAGAAAATTATAAGAAAATATATCTAACGTTGTGTTAATAAGATATTACAGCTCATATTGAATTACCAGTAACAAGTTCCAACAACTGTCTGTAGTATGTATTTTCTCTTATGTTTAACAATCATACATATTTAATACGCTTCTTTTATGACAGATGACAATTCAGTTTTCTGTAGCGAAACAACCCTTAAAATAAAGAAGGGCTCGCAGCCTCCCATGAAGCTTTAGAGACCTCTAGTGGAGAAGAACCACTCTATGGGAGTCATATGTATCTGAGTCTTTATTTTTGGGAAAAACCTGAGTAATATGCCTTTAAACATAATCACAAGCTTTCTGTCAATTCTAAAGAAATAGTTCAATATTTCTGGAAAAATGCTGATAAAAAGATTCAAGGAAGAAATAGTCCAACAAATAAGAGATTAAACAGTAACTAAAGACTTTTAAAATACTGAAATGTTCTGTTTTTAAAACTAAACATTTAAGTTTTTCTAAAGAAGAAAAGAAAATTATTTTAACAAAAGATTAGAGGTCAGCAAAACTTTGGAAAATGGATTTTAAAACTTAAAGAATTGAGCGAAGACAGTCGTATGAGTTCCTTTTTTACAGTGAAGCTTCATATTTAGTGTTCAGACACAAGCGTGATATCTATCTTCTCAAATCTTACTGTTACTCTTTTGAAAGTGGTTTTAGCTTCACCTTAACCAGACACTACAGGAATATCACATTCAGAAATGTTTACAATATCTATTATTGGAGCAGCAAAACGTTCCTTCCAGAGTTTTAACTGAAAATGTCTGGACTTCAACTGGTGGTCAGTTTAAAGCTGATAATACACTAAGTAATTCATAAAACTGAAAATCAATAAGATTTCTGGCTTTTTACTTTGTTATTCTTGTGGATTTAATCTTTAAATCCACATTTCTTAAATAAATGGCGGTCACTGCGTCGTACCTGCGTCACTCAGCCATTTCTCCAGCAGAGGTTTGAGCTTGCACATGTTCTTGAAGCTGAGGTTGAGAGCCTCGAAGCGAGAGATCGTGGTCTGGCTGAAATCGTTCCCGTACAGTTTTCCCATCGCAAGGCCAACGTCTCCCTGCGATAAAACACAAACACACAAACTACATCACCGTCTCGAGCTAAAAACAAAGTATAGATGTCTTCCTGGTTTGTTTAAAAGTCTGACTGCTCGTCTTATTAATCTGATAGACGTGATGGACAGATTGTAATAAAGCAGAAAACAATGTGTTCCTATGAGATGATTGAGAAAAGGACCTTTTTAAAGGGCCAATGTTTAAGATTTAATAGCATCTAGTGGTGAAGTTGCACATTAATTCAATTAAATTTACCTTTATTTCAGACACATATTAATATACAAACAACAAAATACAAAACACAGACAACAAGATTGACATATAAAATCATTGCAGTTCATAAAACATTCCTGATTAAGTACTTTTAACTAGCTATTCTATTTTCATAACACAAATAAAATGTACAACATTAAGTCAGTGTCACCTTAAAATAACTAAAACTACTTGATCAAGAATGAGTTTTACTTAAAGTGTTCTATGTGATGGATTTATCTGGTTTGACAGTAGTATAAGATATCATTTTTGTTTTTATTTCAGTGAACTAACAGGATTTTTTTCACACCTTGTTTCAGGTTTTACTTTAGTTTTAGTTAATAACAATAATAATAATAATGAATCTTCTCTGGAGATACTAATGAAAATCCATTTATAACAATTTATCCTCCTAAATGTGACACACTGGACCTTTAAAGGACAACATACTAAAGTTCTTCCTCTCAGTTACCTGCGTGAAGCCCAGTTTGATGCGTCTTTGTTTGAACGCTTTAGCAAACTGCTCCAGTTCCTCCAGATCACTGGCTTCTTCCTGCGGGGGGACTGACATGTGTTTGGGCATCTGCAGGTGGGACATGTCCATGTGGTTCTCCATCGACGGTCCCGCCAGACCGGAGCGACTCATAGCCTGAATCAGAGGAACATCGGAGAAAAACTTCACTTTAGAGGTTTTAACTGTCCTGTAGTGAAGTGGTTCCCAACCTTTTTCCTTAAGAGATATTTGGCCTGGCCTGGGTTGGCCTTGACTGGCTGGCTATATATCAGTTTTGGATTTGTTTTAACTTTACTGTCAAGTTCAAGTACCGTGAAATACAGTTTTACATCTAACCAGAGTGCAAACTAGTAAAGTGCTGAGTGAGTCAGTGCCTCATATGCAGATGAGGATATCAACATGTGGACTTTATAGACAGAGGTGATAAAGATGAGCATATGTTATATACTGATGAACACAGATAAGTATCTATTATATATTACATAAATGGTATATACAGGTAGAGTATGTTTATGCAGAGAGGTGTGCACATAGAGAGCTGTGAGCATATGGGACTCACTCACTACTCCCTATATAGTCCACTGTGTTGGACTCCCTATGTAGTGACTAGTAGGGAATGAGTGAGTGATTTCAGACACATCCTAAGTGAATTTATATAAAAGAATGTCTAGAATGCTCAACTTAATAATAATATCATTTGAAAATGAAATGATTTACTCCATGTTGATAATACACTTGTTTGTTATATCATTTTAGATTCACTATTAAAATATTTGGGACCACCTGCAGCTGAATCATCAGACCAGGAACAGCCATGCACCTCAGCTGCTCCGGTTTCCTCAGGTGAGTTTAATGTGTCAGTGAATGTTTGTGATGATAAAAATGTATTGACTTAACGTTACGTGAAAATGACAATATGTTGTGCCATGTCTCATCCAGTCAATGTATTTGCTCTTGTGTGTTCTCTCTATGTTTATGGACCTACAGAAGAGACACAACTAGAGCATGCTGCTCTTCCTGCCAACCTCACCCTGCCTCTAACCGCTGAGCCAGGATGTTCAGGTGAGTGCGAGCTGCTCATCTTGATTGCACCACTGATGATCAGCTGAGCGAGTTTTTCCAAGTTAAAACTCCTGAAAACATACCTCAGATCCACCATGGCTCAAGAACGCCTCAGTGGTCTGGCCACAATCAGTATCAACCATGAGGTTGGTGGTCAGATTTCCTACGAGGATGTTATTGATGAGTTTGCAGCAAGGAAGGCCAGAAAGATTGCACTGTGAATGAAGTGTGATATATGTGTGTAGTAGAATATATTATTCTATTCACTTGGGGTGAATTTGAACCTTATTTGTTTATTTTGTATATTATATTTTGATTAATAGGTTATATGAATCACATTTTACAGTATCTAATTTTGCACACGTTTTATTGTTAGTTTGTTTTGATTCTTTAGTGTGCACTTTTTGTTCTCAGATGTTGCACTACTGTTAAAAATATGTTATTTATTGTATATTTATTATTGAACAGGTTTATTCTTTTGCACATATTGTTATATTGTTTGTATTATCATTGTTTAAATAAATGTGCAATTCTTTGGACATGAGTTCTTTCCTCGTGGGGATTGGGCGCTATCAGTAAAGCTCGCCTAGGGCACCAAATGGTCTAGGACCGCCCCTGTTTCATGTTATATTCAATGAATGTGCAGAACAACTGATTAACCCAAGTTTGTGTAAATGGAGCAATGTGGATGAATTTTGATCAGAGATGAGTTTTCCTGATAATTTTAGGGATCTTTTTACACATTTCTCTGTCTGTATTATGTATTTTATATTTTTGAACAATCAAACAGATTTAATAGACTTTTTTTTTTTGACAAATTCAGTGTTTTCTTCTCATTGTTTTATCAGCTCTGTGGTTGTTTTCTAACGCAGGACGAGGCTGTTTATCAGAGAGTGAAGCTCCGTGAATGTAACTTGTGTTCAGTTTAGATCTCAAATAATAATTTAAACTTTAAAAATAACAATTTAATTTAGTTTTTCTTCATAGAAATGAACCCAATAGTGAATGTATAAGCCTACTGTGTATATTTTTAAAGTTTTCTCACACCCTTTAAAATAAAAAATGAAGCTTTGGCGACCTCTACTGGGGGTCGCAGTTAAAAAGATTTTTCAAGGAGTTGACTTTATATCGTTATAAAAATATAAGCATTATATTGCTGTATAGTTCAGGATTTTATATTTTTTGTTCTTATTTCAGTTTATTATTAATCATGAAGCTCAAATATGCTATCAAATAATCCTTAATGATACTTAAACAGTAAAGATTTAATGTTTGTCACATAGAAAACACAGAAAATGTATTAAATACAGTTTTGATAATCAACTAATGATAAGTTGTTTTTATCGTACATCAGCTGTTTTAACAGGAAATATAATAATTTGCTTTAGGGGAAGAAAACTGAGCAACTTACAGTCGTTTAAAAAAAGATTATTCAGATAAATTCTGTTCACACGTTTTAAATAACTGAATGGAATTTGTATAATTAACTTAATTTACCAAACTTACTGTAACAATAAATACTTGAGGTACTCAAATCAAATATCTTTCATATCTTTAATAAACTTTCCTCAAACAGTTTGAACTAACTCATCAGGTTTTACAGTGTAGACAGGAAGTGGTGTGGACTTACCTGTGGAGTCAGAGCCAGTCCAGGTTGATGCTGAAGGAGACTCGTTTGACTCTGGCTGGGAAGAGACAGCAGGTTCTGCTGCAGAAGGGCTGCAGAGGAAAACAACAACTGTTTGTGACAACAAGTAGAAATACATCCAGCAGAACTGTATTCTTATATTTGTGTTTGTGTACAAATTAAACAAAAACATGCAAATTAATCAGCTTTTAAAATGCATAAACTTCCTCGTCGAGAAATAGTTCCCCCTAAAATCTAAAATTCTAGTTTTTTATCCTCCAGTTGGTTTCAGGTAGCTAGCTGTTTACCCCCTGCTTTCAGTCTTGATGCTAAGCTATGTTAACCATGTCCTGACTCCAGCACTGTATGTAACATGTGATATCAACTTCCAGAGTCTTGGAAAGGAGGAACATTTTTAAGATGTTGGACTATTCCTTCAAAATAAAGTGCTAATAAATACATTTCTGCTCTTTTTTAACTGCACATAACCCTCCTTAAAATCCCAATATGTCATGTTTGTACGGATTAAAAACACAAAACAAGATATAATGTGTAATTAGTGTCAGTAGATTTACACGTATTTACTGTACAGACAGTAGAGTGAATCTTCTAGTTTAACTCTTCAAGGTGATTTATAGAAAGCCTCTGAATACGGAAACTGCAGGAATGTTTTATTAAAACTGGAGTTTAAAATCCCTGAAAATAAGTCACTTTGTTGTGTCGACTAATAGGAGCTTCTTTCAGACCTTGGTGGCTGCTGGGACTCTGGGAGAGCAGGAAGGGGGACGGAGAGGACAGGTGAGACGGTGGCATCAGAACCAGCTGCTGCATGGTGTGGAGAGAGGTGAGCTCCTGCAGCAGAAACAAAAAACAACACAACGAAATGAGTCTCAACTCACCTGTAAACACTAAACCTGACACATGAGACGGATAATCTGTGATCTTGTATGGAAGCCCATTGGTGCCAGGACCAAAAAACTGATGAAATTCTTATGTTGAGTCAAAATGATTAACCTAGATTTATGAGATTGAGAGACAAAATGAAGGCTTATTAATTCAAAATTATGAAAAAGTACAAGCCCAAATTTTGACTTCTATGTTAAAGATCCCTTCCGGACATATGTATTAAGACGTATATACAAATAAGTTTTCCAAGGAAAAAGAATAATTTCCACAGTAAAATCCTTAAAGAGTAACCTACTCCTTCTACCTCATTACAAATTCCAGAATATATGAATATGTTGTTCATTCTCTCTTTTGTTATTGTCTTCTCCTTGAAATCAAAGATATAGGAGATAGAAACACTACCACTTTTGTCCACAGGGGGCTTTAAATAGTTTTATATTTTACTTGTTTAATCTGCTTGAATCTTTTTTGAATTTGTGTTGGGAAGCACTTTGTAACATGGATTTTAAAAAGTGCTCTATGAGTAAAGATTCTTATACTTCTGCATTATCATATTTCTGCACTTCTACTTCAGTAAATCTTTTCGGATGTAAAATCACCAGAGCCGTTGAGTGTCTCACCCCAGTCAGCTGACCTCCGTGCATCGGAGAGCTCTGCGTCAGGTGACATGTCTTCAGCGTGGAGGCTGAGTGAGGCGAGTCGTGGATATCTTCTGTCTTTATCTAAGGAAGCGCAACCCAACAGCATTAACTCCGAGTACATAACATGTTAAAGAGTTTTGTGCATAATCTCAGGGGGCAAATGAATGCATGTTTACATGTGTGTGACTCTGTGTGTGCACTGTCTGTACACACATGGACTCGCTCCAGGACCAGTTTGGTCACTAAAAACATGATACAAAGAGTGATAGACTCTCTCCCTCCCTTTGGGCAAACCAGTATGCAAATATCCCTCCTCTCTCCTCTCTCCTCCTCCTCCTCCTCCTCCCACACCCCCACTCAACCCCTGAAATTCATGTCACTTCCTGAAAACGTGAGTGCCGAGAGAAAATGTCCTCGCCTGCTTAAAAAAATAATGTTTGAGAAAGTTTCCAAATAGCTGCAAACTATTTGAGCAGATGTCAAAAAGATGTCAGTCATTATTGACATCTGAGAGGAGAGCAGGTGGTTTATCCCGAGGATGTCAGTTGAAACTTGTGTCCTGGGAAAAGGTTCATTCACATGCCTCCAGGGTGTTTATATTGTAACTCGGCGTCAGTGTGAAGTCTGGCACAAGATACAGAAAATCTTTTCATTTTTTTCTTATTGTCACAAAATCCCACAGAAAGACCAAAAACCAACACTGAACTAATCCTACTAACATGTATTGTAAGCTTGATATCTCTTATTCCTCTGAACCACAAAGCTCCATTGTTGTTAAAAAAAAAAACCTATTAAAAACACATGAATGAGCCACTGGGAGATGTGTTCCTTCATTGAGATGAACATGGATCCTACTGCTGTAAATAGAGCAAAAACTTTTGTTCTGACTGGTCTAAAGTATTTAAATTTGGTACGGACATACTTCGGACGAGTATCTAACAGAACAAACTTTACATTTTTAGATCACATAAAGAACAACACTGGTATCAATGCATCTGTGCATGTCTTTGATTTTTAACTGAGTTCATCGATACCAAATACTTGACCTGAAACTAATGAAATCCCTCACCTTTAATTGCTTTTTCTTGGGCATTTTCTTACATTTTATGACTTTATATAACTAAAACTCACATTTCATTTTAATGCAAAATGTCAGTTGTCACTAAATGATGAAGAATAGCACCGTAGTTGCATTCAACTCGAACTCTTTTTGATAAAGTTAAATTAATATTTAGTGAGAAACATTAAATTTTGAAGATCGTTGTCGTTCTCTGGAACCTTTTAACACTTCTAATTTATTGATTTACATAAAAGTACATGTACATTTTAAAGAGTAGCCTAATCAACTTAAAAACTTTACGCTACCAATGATTAAGTAAGTGGTCATTAAAAATACCTTTGATTATAGAGGAAAAGCTAATTCCCCGAACTCAATGTAGCACATTTAGCAGAACATAATTTCATTAGAAGTTGTCACAACTCAAAAAAATAAATGCAAACTGTTGCGTTAAGTTTTTGTTGTTGTAGTGCTCAGACTCTTTTAAGGCTCAGTCTGTTTCTTTGCTGTCGTTGGCTCTGTTTTGGTTTTATTTTCACCTTTTCCTCCGTGTTTTCTGCTGTATTGCTGCTACGTTTTGACATAAATCCGTTTTATCTTGATTCCTGCTCACAGTGAACAAACAAACATCATGAATATAATTCTGTTTGTTGCTTTCTTCTTCCTATTCTTCTACAGCATAATTATTTTAGGATTTAAGCATAACTGATACATTTTTTAAATAACTTATTTTTATTAAAGATGTCCCCTGTATTTATTGGCCTTTATTTTGACAGAACAGTTAAAGATAGACAGGAAATAGGGAGAGAGGGGGGATTAGCAAAATAGTCCCTGACAAATGTCTCAGAGTAACAATTGCAAAAAAACTACAGTGAGCAGCTGTTTAAGGAAATTACTGAGCCTTTTGTAAAATAAAGTATATATTTGTGACCTGTGTTTAAAGAATATTGAGAAGTCATTGTTGGTTTTTGGTCTTTTTATAAAAACTAATGACAATAAAAATAAAAATACAGAATAACATCTTATCCTGTAACATCCAAACAGCGAAACGTCTGTTGTAACAAGCTCCTGTTGGCTCGGTTGAGTTTTCAATATTTACTGGCAGTTTCAGTTATTTAAAGAGGAGGAATTTCTTAAAAAGAGACTCTGAAAGCGCTTACATGTGCAGCAGTGTCAGCCTGACTGAGCTGGATACAAACATACTGTGTCCAAGCATGCAGGAAAAGGTTGCTACACATTAAACAAAACAATCCAAATCCTGTCGATGACAGAGAGCTCATTCATGAAACCCTCATTCGTAGGAATATGAATACAGGGAGTGCAGTAATTTATCAAGAACTCTGTGACTCACCTGTCGATTGAAGTCGATCCCGTTTTGCTCTAAAAGAGAGAGAGAGAGAGAGAGATTCAGATATTTAAGACACTTTAAGACAACAATAAATATCATATTAAGTCTGTTAGTATTCAGTGTTAGCGTGTTGTGTGTGTGAGACATGATTTCAGTGTTTCACTGTGTTTATATTATAATTTCACCTCTGAATCTTTTTCTTTTTACAGCTGCAATGACATAATATCCAGATTAGATCAGTAGAATTTAATCTATTTTTATTTAAAATCAAATGAAACTGAATAAAAACTTTAAGCTTTTTGCAGCAGTTTAATTTAATTTGATTTATTTATGGATTATAAAGCACAGCACATCAAGGGAAAACACTTAGTAAGACCACTAAACATAACCTTTTTAAGTTAAAAATGTTTAAAATTATATAAAACATGGAGCAGATTTAAGGACAGCTTCTTCCCTCAGTCGGCTCGATTCGATCCTCAACACTCCACCATTTTGAGCTTTTTACTTGTATGACTCAATAATCAAATTCACTGTGTATAATTGTTGTTACTTTCCGTTAGTTTTGGATTACCTCAATACCAAACATGCAAATAAAGACAAGAGACAATAAATATTAATATGATGTTCAATGAGACAACAGAACAGTGTGACCTTAGAAAAGCACATGGAAATCAAAATCAAAAATGTGACCTCTGCTCAGCATATTTTTAATTAAACACTGATGTATTTTAAAATTATAAACCTGCTTATAATCTCCATTCTTACTAAATGTAACTGTAATCGGATTACCTTTTTGTATACTGTATCCTGACAAAGTAGCATAAAGGGAACTATAACCTGAATTCAATTAAACAACCCTGAGTTCAACCAAACTAAGTGACGGAGCAGATTAATAAATAGTCATAAAATACATCAAACCTTACTCCATAAACACGCTCACCTCTGAGCAGCAGTGTTATTTTCACATTATAACTCATCAGAAAACACAAATAAGTAATAAATAACTAAAATGTGACTCTAAACTGACCTTAAACTAAAAGCTAGGACGGTACAATCATATGAGAAATGTACACAACAATAGAGCTGAGGAGGTAATATTGTATTTGTCATGTAATGTGCTTAATTTGAATTGAGTATAGTGGGAATAACTTTACAGAGAATCTATAAATACCCACCATACACAACGTACAGATTTGTTATAAAAGAAATAAAGTACATTCACTGCACACGTCTTTTCAAGAAGTGCAGTTTCCCTCCTGAAGTCATTCAGTGTGTGCGGAGAGGACAGAGCGAGGGCCGACAGAGGAGTTCAAAGGTGTGCTCGATAAGCTCCCATCATTTGAATGTCAAATGGGGCTTTTGGTACTGTATGTGTGTGTGTGTGAGAGAGAGAGAGAGACACACACACAATGCAAATATGCCTATAAACCCCCCCCACCCCACCCCTCCCCCGTTCACCTCACAACCACCTCACTATGTCACTGCCCCCCAGCACCAGCAGCTTCACGGCCAAACTTCCAGTATGGAAATGACCAAGACATGCAAATCAGCTGAGAGCGCAGGAAGCCTGTGTTAGAGCTGTGTCTGCACACACACACACACACACACACGCACACACACACACGCACACTAGAAATGAAGGGTGCACACAAAAAAAGTCAGTCGCAAATTCTCCATTTTAACCGACTTGTTTTTCGTTTTTTACTCCCTCTGTTCGTCCTAAAAGTGCGTTTTAAAAATCAGAATCAAGAGTTTTATGCACATATTAGGATTTGTACCTCTATATATGCATAACAATAGATAAATAGAAATTAGAATAGAAATGTAACAATAATAATTTAACAAAAATCATTATTATAATAAAGAGTGAACAGTGGAACGAGTGGAGTGATCTCATCCCTTTGGCACATTGATCTGTTTGACTTCAGTTTGTCTTCGGGGCTGAATATTATATTCCTGCTGTATAGGATGTGATGTTTTGTCCTCCTTGACTTTGAGATGCGTTACTCTTATATTTTAACACTGTAAAACCTGATGAGTTAGTTCAAATCAAATTGTTTGAGGAAACCGATTAAACAGTTTAACTTTATTACCTCCAAGAATTTAAGCTTGAATAAATATTTGACTTGAGAAGAAGTAACTCAAGTATTTATATTTAAGATAACTTGGGTAAATTAAGTTTATTGTACCAATTTTATTCAGTTAATTGAACTTAAAACTAGCGACTGTATTACACTCATATGCTGCTATTCTCCAAACTTCTTTAAAATGTGTTATTTTAAATAAAGTAATTAGTTAATTTGGGGGGTTTTGAGGACTTACATTTTTGTAACTGTATGTAATATTATAATTATTGTACTACTACTTGCGGGATGCAAACTACAATATGCATTTCTATCTTTCTCTATCTTCATCGTCATGGATCCTGCGTAAAATTAGACAGTGTATAATTCATGCATGAGGGTGAATTATCACTAATTCGTTATTCCAATGAATCGTTGCAGCACAATATCATAAACGTCACTCATGAGTTCTAATTTATTTCTCTCCACTTTAAATTAAGTTACAATGATACTATTATTAAAATGACCATTTGTTTCTATGGAGTCTGGTGAGTTGGGTTGACTCAGATATCCGAACAAACTCTTTTAATCCCTCAATCATACACACTGGACCTTAAGTATCTAAAGGTCCAGTGTTTAACATTTAGGAGGCTCTATTGTCAGAAACTTGATTTAATATTCATAACTATGTTTTCATTAGTGTATAATCACCTGAAAATAGGAATCGTTGTGTTTTTGTTGCTTGAGAATGAGCAGTTTTTATCTACAGACACTGTGGAGTCCGCCAAGTTGAACCACCATGTTTCTACCGTAGCAGAAGGGAAAAACCCTAAACCAAGATAGGAGCATTTGAGTTTTTATGCACATTTCGTGGCCACCGTAGTTTCTTCTTTGTGCTCAGAGGGTGAACCTAGAGAGTTTCAGTCTGCAACTACACCATTAAATCCTTCACACTGGACCTTTAAATGTCTGGTGTTAGTCTATAAATTCATGAAAAGACCAAAACCAAGAATTGAAGAAGTGACAAATCTTTAAAAAACAATCACAAATATAAAGTTTAAGTTTAAAAAAGACTCTGAGCACTGTAGTTTTTATCAACCGTTAGGAGGAGAAAATAGTGAATTTGTTGGGGACTATTTTCAGCTGTGGATAAATACACATTTGGTGTATTAGGACATGTGTGTGTGTGTGTGTTCATTATAATGCAGGAACATGTTGTCCAGGGCTACAGTTGTGGCTCACTGATGTGTAGCTTTTGTACAACAATGGAGGCACAGAGGAAGAAGATATTTCAGCCTTTGGAAACAATGATGATTAACTTGTTGTTGTTGTTTTTGGTCTTTTTAATGGGATTTAGAGTTAATAAGAGAAATATAAAATGTCACCAAATGTATCTTTTAAACTTCACAAAAAAATGCCAATATGCAAAACTTGTTTTTAAAGCTATTCCTGGAGCTGACTCAGCAGATTTTGAACTCATAATGACTCAGAGTATACTTCATTTTCCACTCCAAACACCTGCATACAGTTACCATACAGTCAGTCACAGAGACAGAGCTATCAGCTCAGCTACATAATTATTCTGTCTGAAGTAATCTTTCCTCGATTGCATGCGTCAGTAAACTAAGTTGTTCTTCTTTCACAGGAAAAGAGTCAAAGAAGCACTTTATAAAGAGATAATCGTGACACCAAACCATCTCAGTTACCAATTTGATATATCTACACCTAGCTAAAACCAATACAACAGTCCTGTAACAAATCCTCCCCCAATGAAGGTTAGGTTCAGTTTTTGTTGAAACTTTGGGGGCTGTTAAACTCTGTTGTCTCCGGATTCTCGAGCCCACTGCAGTGCAGAAAGAAGCTGCACAAAAATGCAAATTTCAAATTCAGTGGCAGGTTTTTCACAAAGACATGAAGCGACACATGAATGTATTTTTCAAATCCCACAATGCAACCCTGTGTGTCCGGGAAATTACGTAGAAATACAACTAAACTGAATCAACAAAACAAGGAAACATTTTTAATATATATAAAGATTTAAGAGTGACCTTTCCTCAACCTTTTGTTACCTGAACCTAACAGGGGACTTCTCTGGCGTCCTCCCCTTTGTACACCCACCATCCGCCCCGACTACCAATGACCGTGTGATGCATTTAAAAAAAAAAACGTTGCCACTGAACATACTAAAGTCTGTAATTACCCTGCAGAATGTAAACATTATATCTGGGAGACTGCGGGGCTGCACAAAGTGAGCAGGTGCAGGTGCGAATCCCCCTGAAGCACAGGTGTAAATATGAACACTGCAGGTTGTTCTTGGTAATATATCATCATCCATCTCTCCGCTGCTTGTCTTCTACTTGAATTAAAGAAACCGTTGAAGAGTTTAAACACATATATTCTCTCTCTTATCTGTGGCGGTATCTCTCCTTGCAGATAGTTTTGGTTTTATTTGTTTAAGTTTGTGTCTGAGATTTCTACCTGTAACTCCAGTGTTTGGTTTGTGGTGCTCACGGCATTGAAAGATTATATATTGGTTTAAAAGAGACAATATCCTTGATAATCAAACACATAACAACAGTTTTTCTGGAGATAATTTCTGCAGAAGAAAGAGGTTCCAGTGAAAACAGTCAAGTATATCGATTATCCAGAGTAACTTTATGAGAAAGACACATTGCTGTTGATTAATTCAAGGACCACAGACTATATTTAATTCACTCCGTTGTATCAGAGACAGATAACCTCTGAATATAACTATCTGCATGGAGAGACGCTACCACACATACGTGAGAAAATGAATGGATGAACTGACATTAAAGGTACTGTGTTGAACTTTCAGAAAATCCTTGTTATTAATGACACCGGTGGCCGTTAAGTGAACTGCAGTTAGCCTTCCTGTCGATAGCGAGGATTATCTGGACATCTGAGACGTGAAATAAACGAGACTGAAATTAAACTGAAATATTCACTCAGATAGTATTTTAATTGTGAGCAGGAAAGCTATGGTTCACTAGGTAGCTGTAACTTAGCTACGCTGCATGGATCTGGCGTTGGTTGATTGAACAACGTTAACTGATTAAGTAATTTGGTAAGTTAACGAGTTCTGGGAGTCTATATTCAGGTGATTATACACTAATAAAAACATACCTATGAGTAATATATTACATTTCTCATACAGTAAATGTCACACTGGACCTTTAAGTTATTATCCGTTTCATAGAAATAGTTTTAAATCCGTACATATTGCCCCTTTAATAACAGCCACGCCTCCTAATGACGAGAGCAGCGTGAAATCTTCTTCCGATAGAAAGTTTAAATGAGTGCAGCTGTCGCACATGTGTGACAAAAACACTTCCACGAAACGTTTCACTTCTCTCACACAACTATTGTCTATAAAGAAAAGTTCCACTTTTTCATGCTGCTTGTTCCTGGTTTTGTTTCGTGGCTGGTTGGTGTCCTCAGCCCCCGGGCAACCAGCATTTCTCAGCAAACAGCCTCAGGTGCATCCTGGTATAGCAACCAACTGCCACAACACACACACACACACACACACACACCTACACACCTATACACACACACACACACACATACACGGCTCCCTATGAAACAGAAGCAGGTCAAAATGCTGCTTATTTAGCTTTTATTTGTGCCACATCAGGCATCAAATGGCTCATATGAGGGACAGTTTGTAGCTTAAAACCTGCTTTATGTTCTGAAGTTAAATGGAGTTTCTGCTGGGAAAAGTTTTACCTTAATACAGTAAGAAGTGTTTCTAAAACCTGACGTAAATAACAGCACCAGAGATCACTGAAAGGTGATACGACTGACAACCACAAAGTCAGTAAGTACTAAGAGTCATGAATTATAAAAGACAGGATTTAAAGATATTTGGCATAATTGAATCTAGCAAATATCCTCTCAGATAATCCAGATAATAGTATATTATTTTAGGATTTTTCCCAGAGATATTTTACACATTAAAACACAAGTAAGCCTCCTATATAATATACAGCATACTCTCGTCACACTGAAGCTGAAATATTACAACTCTCTAAAGCAACAAACCAAATAAAAACTAAGAGAATTAACTTTTTTTTCAAATGTAAAGACTCACAAACAAACTCTTTGTGGAGAAGTCCAGTCTTTTCCCGGCACTGACAGAATAAACAGAGTGTATAAACACACTTTCCCTGAGTCACATCTGTTGAACCTGTCTGCGTGTGGAGGTGATTCAGCCGTGTTTACGTGCGCCATGAGGAAGGTGAAATATCCTTACCTGCCTGTTCAGCTTGAGCCTCCGACTGCTCCACCGTGTCTGCGCTCATCTTAATATCTGAAATGATAAATATAGCTGATTTTCCTACAGGATTGTAACTTTAACCAGGACAATGAAGCACTCAGGCCACCCAGGAAAATGATCTTGAGTTTATTCTAATGCGCCCTCCCCTCCACACACACCACCACACAAACTGTACACACACACACACACACACACACACTCCTGTGTGAACCCTTGTTGTAATATTCATAAGCAAGAGCAGCAAGCATTAGTATCCCCATATGAAGTATCCACACATGATATAAACTCGTTAAAACTCACGTGTGTGTGTGTGACGTGAAATAATGAAGATATTACAAAGTCAGTGATGAGCAGGTGTAGGAGGAGTGACTCACCTCAGGCAGACTCACAGTTTGTGCTGCTCCTGGCTGCCGTCTTTCTCCCTAATTATTCAAAATGAAGCTCGTATTGGGATAAAAAGTTTTGGAAATCCACGGCTGCTCATCAGCATTTTCCTAAGTGGAGAAACGTTCACCTCTGCAGCACACCCTGCACTGCCTGATAGGCTGATTTGCATATGCCACAGTGCGTCCTATCCAGCTTCAGACTGTTTGCATAAAACAACAATGGGGTTACTGCAAATTACAGCGTGTGTGTGTGTGTGTGTGTGTGTGTGTCTGTGTGTGTGTGTGTGTGTGTGTGTGTGTGTGTGTGTGTGTGTGTGTGTGTGTGTGTGTGTGTGTGTGTGTGCGTGTGTGTGTGTGCGTGTGTCTGTGTGTGTGTGTGTGTGTGTGTGTCATCCCCAGAGTGCTTTGGGTAGAAGAAGATGTATTGTTCCTGCTACCTGAGATAGCTCTGGGTGTATTAGTGATGGGGGGGGGTCATCTTGTGGCTCTTTTTCTTCAGGTTAAAATCATGAAATAATAAAATAAACTTTAAATTTAAAACCTTACGAGTTAGATCAACTCAAACTGTTTGAGGAAACTTGTTTATTAAAGTTCAGTAAATATAAATTCAATTAATTAAACTTGTGTGAACAGAATTTATCTCCATACAAATGTTACCACTAAAGTTTAATTTACTCCATTTTCATTACATTACCTGTCAAAACAGCTGACGTATGATAAGAACTATTTATAATTAATTGATGATGAAAATGGTAGCTAATTAATTTTGGTGTTTTTTATGTGACAAACATCAAATCTTTACACTTCGGGGGATCATTAAGAATTATTTGGATGCATATTTCAGCTTTATGATGATTCATAAACTGAAATAAAGATGGAAATTGTAAAAATCCTGAGCTATGTTAAATTGCTTTCTATAATAAGATGTGTTTTCAGTGAAGGGTGTTCTTACATTTGTCTACTGAAAGTGGAAAATTACTCTGAGCTCATTGAAAATGATATTTTAACAGTCCAGGGAGTCAAACCTGGTCCAGTGTGTAACGTCTACAGTGAGATCCAGAGACACTGAGACTTTACAGTGAAGGAGGAGACATCTTGTGTCCAGCAGGAAAACCTTTTGGGTTTTTGTTATCTACTTTTTATTGTTATTCAACACGAGTAATAAACAAGATATGCAAACAAATCCCCAACAAATTAACACCCCCCCCCCCCACACACACCTTTCAGGAACCTATTTGTTTGTTGCCGTCAAACCTTGAGAGATTTATAGAGGAGGTATCATTCAGTAGGAGCAGCTTAGGACAATATGGCACTTAATAATAATAATAATAATGATAGTAGGTCAGATAGTGTAGATACTTCCACTAGGGGTCGCCAAAGCTTCATGGGGGGGTCAAGAGGTCTTATTGATTTTAAGGGGTGTAAGAAAACCTAATAATATACACAGTTGGCCAATATGTCGACATTTTGTTAGTTTCTGTGAATGAAATAAATATGAAATGACTTTAGATAATTATTTAAGATCTAAACTTTGAAGACCTGAACACAACAGAGAGACTGATAAACAGCCCCGTTAGAAAACAACCAAAGAGCTGATAAAACAACGAAAAAAAACACTGAATCTGTCAAAAAGAAAGTCTGTATGATTGTTAAATATAATTTTAAAAAATAAATAATACAAACAGAGAATTTTAAAAAAGGTTTTATAGGTTATACTTCTTGCAGTTACTGAGTTCACTGTTTGGGTTCATTGTTAATATTAAATATTCATAAAATATGTAACTTAGTCCTCTCTAGTCTATCAGCAGGGATTTATTTTGGCTGCTCTGTTGATGACATTTGCTGGTCTACACTCTGCGACTGATATATTTTAAACTCCTCTGTTGGATGTATCCCAGAAAGCTCCACTCCTGATTGTCTGTCCTAATGCACTGGTTCCCATTCTTTTTCCTTAAGGGAACCCTTTTCTATCTTTGAGTAAACTGATGACCCCTGATTAAGTGACATATTTCATATTGTATTCAATGTATAACAATACCAGTACAGATAAACTGAACAATGAACTCAGTAACTGCAGGAAGTTTGTATAAAACCAGAGATTTGGATGAATTTTGAGCAGATTATTTCCTGTTTAGGGAACTTTTTATACAATTCTCTGTCTGTATTATACATTTTATTATTATTTTTAAGTTGTTTAGTGCAGTTAAATAAATAAAAGAGTTGTAAACAGTTTTCAGTCTGGATATTAATATCTGTAATGGTTGCAGTGGTTCAGTTGGTTCAGTTGGTTTCAGTTGGTGCTGTATAACGACTAATAGCTGCTTCTCCCTGTTTGGCTCTGACCTTTGACACCGCGAGCGCTCCCAGGGTTATAAAGCTCATATCAGATGTGCATTTGGGGCCGACTCCATGTATAGATTTATAAACAAGTAATAAAAGTTTAAAATCAATTCTATAGCTTATTGATAACCAGTGTAGTTTTGCAGCTGGATTGTGAAGTCTTCTTTTTCATGATGTTCCTAACTTTGGTTATATTTTAAAGGTGATAAAATGTTGACTGCTGACACTATATCCCCCATTAACTGGATTTTCTGTCATTTAAGTCATAAAAATAATGAACAAAGTTAGAATTAAAGTTTGTTATATATATATGATAGAGGCACCATTCTTTCTTTTGATGTATGAACATAATGTTCTTTAAAGATTAGTGAATATGATCTAAAATTAACTGTAATACGATGACTAAAAACGAGCTAAAAATAATTGTATTTTAATTTAAAAAAGATTCTTTGATGAAGCAGCTTTTAATGGTAATTTAAAAACTTGATTTTGTACGTTACAGCAACAAAATTAAATCAGTGTCACCTTAAAGTTACTAAAGCTACTTAATCAAGAATGTTTTTTTAACTTATAAAATTAAGTTAGTGTTACTTAAAATGTTCGATGGATTCAGTTTCCACTATTTTTCTAGTTAAACGAACGTATCCGGTTACTATAAATAATCGTCTGGCGGAGTCAGAGTCGATTAAAACAAGAGGTTCCTCACCTGTTCTTTAGTTCATTGTGACTTGTCCTTCAGGTGAGCAGCATCTTGAGCTTTTCATCTTTGCAGCCGAACAAAAATTACCTGTATTTGGTTTCAGAAGATTTTCATACCTCGGATTCTTTATTTGCTCGACACATTTACATAGTGAGTCAGTAGGACAGTCGGTTGGTCACAGAGCTTGGGAAATTTGGGTATCATCGGCATAACTGTGATAAGTGAGGTTGTTATTGGGAAGGATGTGGACAAAATAATCCCTCCGCATAGGATCTCAGTCATTTTAAAATACTTCCAGAATAAACTGTGTAAAACTGTGATGGACAGAATTAAAGCTGCACTGAGATCTAAAAGCACTAAAACTGATGTTTTGCCTGAATCAGTGGATCCCAACCTTTTCACTTTTCTATCATTGACTAAACTGACAATCTGTAACTAAATTAAAACATATTTTGATATATTAATTGATATTATATTCAATGTATAACAGAATAAGTGATAAACTGTAAACAGTGAACACAATAACTGCAGGAAGTTTGTGTAAAACTAACGACTTTGGATGAATTTTGAGCAGAATATTGAGTTTTCAATCAATTTTGGGAACTTTTTGTACAATTCTCTGTCTGCATTATGTTTTTATTTATTTATTAACAATCATACAGACCTAATAGGCTTCACTTTTGATAAATTCAGTGTTTTCTTGTCCCTGAAGCTCGTTCTGTTAGCTCTTTGGTTGTTATAACTGCATAATCTTTTAATGCAGGATGACAAGATATACGCCTATTGTGTGTATATGTTTTCTTTCACCCATTAAAATCAAGAAGACCTTGTGACCCCCACCGTGAAGCTTTGGCGACCCCTAGTTGTGGTGCCGATCCCCAGGTTGGGAACCACTGTCTTAATGCAAGGCTGGAGGGAATCTTTAACATGTAAGTCAGCTTGTAGATAAATAGTTTATTAATAGTTTAACAGTTTATTCTGGAAGTATTTTAAAAATGACTAGATAAATAAGCCTTTAAGTTGACTTACCTCATAAATTTAGCTTTAAAAAGAAGTCTTCCTGCATCTTGCTCATTGTCATTATTATTATCATTATTTATTATCATTAACTGTACAGCTCTTCATTAATTTATTTAAATAACAGTCATATTTGTATATATTGTCTCTTTATATCTTTATTTATATTCTCTATGTTTACTGTAATGCACCAAGGCAAATTCCTTGTATTATTTGGCAATAAACCCGATCCATTCTTAATTTTTAAATTATTAATCGATTAACAAAATTGCTTCTAATTAACTTTCTGTACGTGGACTGATTGATTAATGCACAAACTGTTGTGGATTACAGAATTGATAATAATTGATCTGATATAGAGATAAAAGCTGTATTTTAAATGTATATTTGTGTAAAATGTGTAAAAAAAAAAAGCAGCCAAATGTAATAAAATCATAATAATAATATAATATAATAATATAATAATAATAATAATAATAATAATAATAATAATAATAAAGTCGTTTTTTTATTCCATTATTTATTTATTTACGTCTTCCCCTCTCCGTCCAGCAGGTGGCGGCAAGTTCCCCTTAAAGTCTCTGACAAACGCCACACAATAAAACCAAGCGAAGAAGAAAAGCAGCCATGTGATTGGTTATTGCTAGGGGACCGACCGCGTCACAGCACGCTCTGCCGCTACATCTTCAATTTGGGGACAAAAAAAACAACAACAACAACAATCTGCGGTTTGTTTGTCTCTTGTGGCGCAAACTTCGGTTTTAACGCGACTTTAGCTTCACTTATTCTGTGTTTTAATGCGCGGGAACAGCTGCTGCTTTGTGCTAGCATAAGATAATGTAGTTTAACCTTTTTTTTTTACCTCTTTTTTTTGTCGTTTTGTGGTTTTTTTTTTGTTTTTCAGGTGAAACAGACGAAAGGTAGGTTGAGTTTAATGACAGCGAGCTATCTTAGCTCCCAGTTAATGAGTTTAATTTGCTGTTTGCTGGTTGAGATCGTTGATTTGTGTTGATAGCAGCCTCTAAAGATGGCTGTGGTCGGTGTTAGCTGTCAGTGTGTGTGTGCTGATGAAGGGCCTGGTGGCTCCTCCTGCCTACAAAACCTGGATTTTATAGCTTTCATGTGGCATTATGTGTGTTGTTCTGGAGGGATAGTGTAAATGTTAGAGCCTTTTATTACAACAAATGACCTTCACGTGACTATCAACCGTGTTTTTTTTACCCTGTTTAGGTGTTAATAGTAACTTTATTTAGTGCTAGGGCTGCACAGTTAATCACAGTTTGGATGAAATTGTGGTGTTTAAATCACAGAAGCTGCAAGTAAAATGTGACACAACAGCATTAGAATGAAATATTGTAGTTCTGAAGAGAGGCCCTGGACTACAAATCTAGATTTAAGATTTAGATTAATCGTCTGCTCGGAACAATGAGTCCTGGAAATATAGACAGCAGTTCTTCCACTCATGGAAACACCCGGAAATTGATTAAAATGACCAAATATTCTGGAAATAATCTGTGTTGTCCTGGAAAATTTGGCTAAATGAATGTGACGTTAGAGGAAAAACTGCAGTTTATCTTTCACAGCAGCCTTTTTGACATGAAATAGTCAGGTAAACACAGGCGTTACCTCTCATTTGTGGGTGTAGATATGTGCACATAAGACGATAAAGTGTAAGAACAAAATAAAATGTACATATTTAAAGACAAAAAGAAACAAAACCCCCAAAGAAAATCCAAAACAAAACGTACAGCACATTTCCGTTGGTAGGCAGGTTGTTTACTCCACTTTTTACACCCTTAAAAAGATTATAAAATGAAAATAGTCGGGTTAAAGGACGGTTCCAGTATCTAAATATATCCATTTATTACTAAGCATTAAAAGTAATTAAGCTAAGAAATGAAAACCAGAAGCTTCCTGGAAAAATAAACAAGTAAAACAGATTTAAATCTCTTTTAAAATGTTCCACAGTAACATAAAATATACTATAATAATAATATTTATTATTACATTTGTGTTGAAATGAAACAACAAGCGACATTTTAAAGGTTTTTACTTTATCTTTCTTTTCAGACCGCTGGCTGCGACTTTTCTGATTTGTTCCTGAGATCAAGAACTCAAACTGGCTGAAATGGATGAACAAAGCGTTGAGGTACACACACACACACACACACACACACACACACACACACACACACACACACACACACACACACACAGGTCAGACTGTGCAGCAAGGACTCAGCCCTGGTACATGGTACAGCTCCACCAGCTGAACTAACAGCTCCAAACGTTTCTTTAAAATCATTTTATCCTTTTGAGTCATTTTTGAAGGAAAAAAAAGTCCAAATTCTCTGATTTTAGCTTCTCAGATGTGAATATTTTCTGGTTCCTTCAGTCCTCTGTGACAGTAAACTGAATATCTTTGGGTTTGTGGACAAAACAAGACATTTAAGGATCAACATTTCACCACTTTTAGACATTTTATGAACCAACTAATCAGTTAATTGAGACAATGATCAATATTGAGCTGCAGCCGCAATCAGGTGCTGAGAACAGTGCCACAGTTGTTCCAGCTGAGCAGGCCAACAGCTGGATGATGAAGGCTGATAAGAGTGCTGTGGCTGCTGCAGAGGCAGAACAGAGAAGGTCAAAGGTCAGGTGTTGTTGTAATGTTCCTTTGCTATTGTGTACAGAGTTTAAATTTGTTGAACTTTGACCCGATGATCTGCTCTGAACCTTTTGTGAGCGCAGCCAGTGAGTGAAGGCTGCTGTTTGTACCGCCATCAAAGATCAAATTAATGAGGGTTTCTGAGAGTAATTCTGATTTATATTAAAGAAATCATCAAGATAAAATGTTAAATTTGAGTAGATATTTATAATTATTGATCATTTTCAGGACCTATTTTTAATAAAAATGTTGTATTTACCCACTTTATGTATTAAGGCACACAGGTAATCGTTTTAATGTTAAAGGGATAGTTCAGGTTTCTTGAAGTGGGCTTGTATCCATAATCAGGATCATATTAATGTGCAAGTTGCATTTTACTGCTGTAGATGTTTAAGGTTGGGCTCTTTACATATAAAGTTTGGTAGTTTGGCCACTTCAGCCCAATAAATTAATATTTATCAAAGGCCAAAGTGACCTTACCCTAAAAATGACGTAATATTCGGCCTGTTATAAGTCTGTTTTTACTTTACAGTTATTAAATACAACCGTACAATCCAACACGATCCAGTAAAACCGCTTTACAATCAACCTGCTACCCTTTGTGAAACGTATGATGTTGGTGTTTTGTGGTGCTTTCTCTCATCATCATCATCATCATCATCATCTCTCTTGTGTCCCGGTGCAGAGCATCGCCGAGGTGTTTCGCTGCTTCATCTGCATGGAGAAACTGAGGGACGCTCGTCTCTGCCCGCACTGCTCCAAACTCTGCTGCTTCAGCTGCATACGAGTAAGACTGGGGAATGTGTTACCTGGTACATCCCCACATATTTTAATATGTTACTAAAACAGAGTGTTTGTTTTGGGGACTATTTTCAGCAGCGGATTAATACAGATTTGATGCTTTAGGTGCAGGGAGTCTCAAGAAATGTATTTTGTTTGGTGTAAAATAATGGCAAAGGTTAAAGCTGCCCACAGACATGTGGAACCAGGTAATGATAAGAGAGCAGGTGATATAAAATGATGATGTAAACATATTTAGAAACTGCTGTTTGTGTTTTTTGTTCAGTGTGACGTTAATAATGGAAATATTTAGTGTCGGGCTTTCTTTGAACGTTGAAGTGACTCCAAGACAGCTTGAGTTTGAGAGCCCTGTTCTAGTGAGTGTTTACTTTAGGACAATGTATGTGCGATTAAACTCTAAGTCAAGTACTTTAACCAGGTTCATGGTAATGAAGGATCATGTGACTCATTGATTGGATTGCTCAGAAGAATAAAAAAATATCAGGCTTTGATGTTCAGATCAGTTCATTTTGATCTTCTCTTGAGATTCATTGACACCAGAACAAATACGGGCTGTCGGCAGCTGTGTATAATCGTGTATATTTGACAATGGCTGCGTGTTTGCACTGGTTGCATTTAGGTGCAATTATCATTGAACTGGAATCTCTTGTTTGACAGCGATGGCTGACGGAGCAGAGAGCCCAGTGTCCACACTGTCGGTAAGCGCCCGCTAAAGCACGTCTGCAACCCTCCCATCTGTCTGTCACTGACTATTATTATTAATAGAAATGTAAAGCAGCATAAAGAACATCACACGTCACACCACATTCAGCTGCTTCTGTACTTTTATTGTCATTTAAACATATTTGATATAAGGTTGCTTCGCTGAGTATTCATAAATCTAAAAAAGAAACCTCAGGATAGGACACATGAGGTGAGATATTAAAGTGTCTGTCTGTCTGTCTGTCTGTCCGTCAGCGCTCCGCTCCAGCTGAGGGAGCTGGTCAACTGTCGCTGGGCGGAGGAGGTCACCCAGCAGCTGGACACCCTGCAGCTCTGCAGCCTCACCAAGCACGAGGACAACGACAAAGACAAGTGAGCTCCTCCTTCTCTTCCTCCTCCTCCTCCTTCCTCTCCTCCCTGTCCTGTCCTCCAGGTCTCCTTTCATGCATGTCTAAGGACCATCTCTACTCAAAGAGATAAGTTTTATATATATACTTTTTCATGACGGAGTGGTTTTATTGCTTTCTCTCATTTGGAAATACTGTGATTTCAATACTAGTTGATCCCTGCTGCTTCTCCTCCAACACATTCCAGTTGTTCCTCTTCGTCAGTGCACTTTGCAGCCGACAGATTTTCGTATTAAAATGAGAAAACCAAAACTGGGAATCGACTACCGTTTATAAATATAGGAAACTAAACTAAACTAAAACAGCTCATGTTCCCATTTTGGGTTTCTCATTTTAAAACTAAAATCGGTTCGCTGCAGAGAACTCTGACCATCTTCCTCCTGCGTCTCCTTCTCCGTATTCAGTCTTGTCATCCTCTGTGTCCTGCATTTATAAACTCTGTGAGTTTCCGTAAACTTTGTAGAAACACTGAAGTAAAACAGGCCAACAGTTTGAGGGATGACGACTTTAAAGAAAGTTTCCATAAAAAGCTCTCTCTCTCTTTGCGCTGTCGTTGTGTCGTTCCTTTGCAGATGTGAGAACCACCACGAGAAGCTGAGTGTTTTCTGTTGGACCTGTAAGAAATGCATCTGTCACCAGTGTGCTCTGTGGGGAGGCATGGTAACGTGTCACATCTTAGCTTTTTAGATCACAGTTTGCATCTATAGTTACAAACACACATAATAATCTCTTCCAGTTAACTGTTTTCCAAGTCTGGCTGCAACTACTCATCATTGCTGATTATTATCTTTCTAATTAATCTCTTAAAATGCTCAAGGCGATGTCCTTTTAAATATTAAATCTTCATCACACACACACGTTGGAGAAACTGGAACCAGACAGTGATTGGTGTTTTTGTTTTTTCTTCTGTCCAGCACGGCGGCCACACCTTCAAGCCTCTGGTGGAGATCTACGAGCAGCATGTGACCAAAGTGAAGGAGGAGGTCGCCAAGCTCCGCCGCCGCCTCATGGAGCTCATCAGCCTCGTGCAGGAAGTGGTGAGGATGCTCATTTCTTTCAACATCTATAAAGACAGATAGCCATGGTCTCTACCGGGCACATTCACTCTTCTCAGAGGATGAATCCTTTCTATTTTTATTTAATAAGGTTCATACAAAGTCTTTAAAATTGTTTTGTTTCCAAGATTAGAATACTCTCTAGAATCTTTTAATATCTGACATGAAATGATCCCGTTGACACAAATTAGAAAGCATTAAATAATCATGATCAAAACATTAATCAGAGATAATGCGAGCAGCTTTTAAACTTAGATGTGATGAAGAAACGTACAGAAATATTTTGTTTAGATACCTTGAGAGTGATTGTACGAATCCTGTTTTAACTGCACTGTACTGCAATGTTTCTTCAATTGTACATTTGAATTTTGAAATTGTCCTCAGTATTGGCAGTAATTTATCTGCCCCAGTAACTATCGTACAACCCTAGTAGAGAGAGATAGTACATGTGCCTTGGAAATAAAATCAGTCCAGTAAAACAGTTAATGAGACATGATTATTTTGTAGAAGAGTTCACAGGCAGTTCAGATCTTTCAGGTCTTCCCTAAAGCTTAGAAAAGTCCATAGTCACTATTAACAACCACTCCACTTACTTAAACATAAAAATATTGTACAGAAATGTTTTAAAGTTCATGTATTGTGGCTGTAAAGTACTGCTGACATCCACTAGATGGCACTAACACATTGATATATCATTTGAGAACTGACGTCTGTTAGATGAATTGTTGAAATGGTGTGTGTGTGTGTGTGTGTGTGTGTGTGTGTGTGCGTGCGTGTGCACGTGCGCGGGACACATTTCAGACTAAGGACCAGTTATTTTGAATTATCCAATTGGGGACAAAAACAGTGTCCCAAATTTTAAAAAAGTTGATTCATATTTAAGGTTTCAAGGTTCAAATAAGTCTCTCCAGGAAATGAATTCAAGTCTGTGTATTGTTCTCAAAAGTGACTCAAGTAAACGTGTGTGTGTGTGTGTGTGTGTGTGTGTGTGTGTGTGTGTGTGTGTGTGTGTGTGTGTGTGTGTGTGTGTGTGTGTGTGTGTGTGTGTGCGTGTGCGTGATGTGGTGGGTCAGGAGAGGAACGTGGAGGCCGTGAGGGGAGCGAAGGACGAGAGAGTCAGAGAGATCCGAAACGCCGTGGAGATGATGATCGCTCGTCTGGACAACCAGCTGAAGAACAAACTCATCACCCTCATGGGTAAAGACTCCTCATCATCACTGTCACAGTAAAACACTCCATCTGCTGCATTCAGGGATGCTGGTTTCAGTGGTATTTATCAGTACTTTAAATGTAAAAATAGAGGTTTATTAAATTAAAGTGGCAGCTGGCTCTCGTCTTAAATGTGTCTGAATAAAGACAGAAAATAAAAACCATAAGAGACCTTAATGTAAAAGTCACCTTCATCTCAGTGTTCCCTTTTAACATCTGGATGAAGCCACGATGTTTCATATTCCACGTCTGAGAAGAGCTCTTGTTAACTGGCACTACAGTGTGTCTAAAGGTTGAGACCTCAACCGAACTAAATATGCTCCCCCTGCTGCAAGAGGCACCTTTTTATAGCTACGGGGTAATATACATATGAAATATTTATCTGGACTGAGTGTCTGCATGCACTCAGCGCCCACATACACAGCCTGCAACACCCAACCACTCACACTCGCCGGCCTCCATCAGGGCTGACAGTCAGCGCAGGCACACTGAAAATAGAAATGTGTTCTCCCCCCCCACCAGGCCAGAAGACGTCCTTGACCCAGGAGACGGAGCTGCTGGAGTCTCTCCTGCAGGAAGTGGAGCATCAGGTTGGTTGTCTGCAGCAGCTCAGAGCCTCCATCCACTCAGCTCTACTGCATGTTGTTGTTGATGTTGTTGGTGGCAGGTTATTCAACACAAGGGTTCATCTTAGTTGTTGTGTTTGACAGATATAAACAGTATATAAACTATACAATATATTACACAATATATATCTATATCTATATAAACAGTCAGCAGTCACAGTAAGATGCATAAAGCGTGTATATGTGCCCGTCCTACATTCTTATCAGTGTAAGCTACGCTGCAGTAATAAACAATAATAAAGATTAAAATGATTTACACTCATTAACCCTCAATAATAGCTTTATAAGATCAGATAAGATAGACTATATTGATCCAACGCTGGAGGACATTTGCTTGTTCCAGCAGCTCAAGATAGAAGAAATATAGATAAAATAAAAATATAATAGATGTAATAAAATAGAAAATAATAAGTATAAACATATTTTATATATACAGATATGTTTGATTAAACATTGCACATTGCAAAAAATATATATATTTTTTTTTTTTTACTTTATTTTGTATTTCTTTACAAACATATGAATAATTATTTTGAAAACCAAAAGCAAGTTAAACATTCTTAAATTATTAATTCATATTTTAACCCCAACAATCTCCTTCTTTAATCTCTTTATAATCTTTTTGTACCATAAACTTCTCATCTCAAATCACACTTTTATTGAAAGAGTCCAAATGTTGTTGTTATTGTTATTTTCAATTAAAGACAGTATCCAGTATAGGAGATAAAAATATTGATTTGGTTCTCAACATTATTTGCATTAATAAAACATAACTTGCATTATAATTTATATAATTCTGTATTTTGAGACTGTAGTGGTGCGTCTTAAATCTCTTCCCATCATCAAAACAATGATCAGATTCCATATTTTGATGATTAAACAGCTGTGTCGTAACTATATTTAATGCTAAATTACTGTATTTTTGGGGGGGGACAAGCTGACAGATAAACTACTGTACAAATAAAGTTGTTAGCCAGCGAGCTCGTGTCCCTCCTGGTTTTGGTGCAGAGCCGGTAGAGAACAGTGGGTTCCTCGGAGCTCGCTGACAGCTGCTGCTGCAGATTGATAAGAGCAGTGAGTCATACAGTAAAGTTACAAACTGTCTCTCATATTTTGCATATTCATGTTAGTGAAGCTTTAATGCAGTGTTTCTTTCATGTCATAGGCCTCCACAGTATGAGGAAAATCTCCAATAACATTATAGGTATAGGTACGCTGCTAATGGAGACCCTAAACATTGAGCCTGAACACAGCCTGAGCCCTAACCTGCTGCCATTGGTGTGTTTTAGCTGCACGCTGGAACACAACATGGTGATTTTCTTGCTGTTTGTGTGTGTTGAGCAGCTTCACTCCTGCAGTAAGAGCGAACTGATCTCCAAGAGCCCAGAGATCCTGCTCATGTTCCAGCAGGTCCATCGGAAACCCATGCAGTCCTTCGTCACCACGCCGGTCCCTCCAGACTTCACCAGGTAATCAGCTGCATCCAACATCTATTTTATTAGTAATTTAGGCTCTAAAATGTTAGAAAATACTTAAAGATCCCCTCCAGACTTGTATTTAGACATTTATAAATACTCTGCAGCAGAAAAAAAACATTATTGTTCCAAACAAAGAATAATTTCCACATTAAAAAGTCATCTACTCCTTCCACAGTCTATGAATATGCAAATGATGTCCCATGTTTACACCTTTTCTGTTGAGAAATAGAACGGATGCTGCTCTGAGCATTCAGTTGTGTTTGATTTATTTAAGTATGTATGCCTGTGGATGAGTGATAATACAGAGGAGAGCAGCCTGGCAGTGTCAGTGGACCACAGCTTTATTCAGTGTGTGTAATCAGTGTTCCTCTGTTTGCTTTCAGTGAGCTGGTTCCTGCCTACGACTCCAGCACTTTTGTTCTGGTCAACTTCAGGTAAATCCTCTCGTCGATTGCATTCGGCCAGAAAGGACCTTGGTATCTTTTAAAGTATTGTCAGCTGTACAGAAGGGTTTTCTTTTGCAGCCGTTTTTGTTTTGAGCAAACTAGGGCTGCATGATATAGTAAACACATCATACTGTGATATAATTTGAGATTAGTGTGGGAATTAAAGTTCAATTTTCACTGGAAAAAAAGATTAAAATCATGAACATGTGACATGTTTTGGGGTCTGTACCTAACTAACATGTTCTCTTAAATGAAATAAAAAGATTTGTTTTACCTTTATCGAAATATTGCCCCTTCCTACAACTTGAATATACTACACTTGGCCATATTGTGATTAATTGTACAGCCGGTATCAGTGCCAATACTGTGCTTATGTACTAGTATACTACTCGGATATCGCTACTGATACCACTTTATGGCAGCATGAGAAGCAACTTTTACAACGCTAACATGTTTTAAAAGTCATTATTAGAACTTTAATAGTATTATTAAGTACTCATATCGGTGTTTGCTATCAGTAAGTACCCAAATACTTGTGTTGGCCTGAAAGAAAAGTGGTATCGCAGATAATTTTCATATAAAGCTCTTTCCACTGCATTAGCTGCATCTTTTATTTCTAGTTATAGTCGGTGGTTAAACAACAGTGTTACCTGATACATTAGTTTGCCACACAGAGTTTGTTTAGTTGGATTAGTTTCTTAGTTTATTTGTAAGTGCAGAGAAACATTGACAGTTGCAGACGCAGTGTCCAGTTAGCCGGAGCTCTCCAGCACCAGTCCCTTTGATGGGCATTGACAGCTTCCAGCAGCGGCTGTATTCACTGTTAATGTTACTACGACACAGACTTTAGCACTCTTTAATAAAAGCTGTGAGTATCTGAAGTGAACGTAGTGGCTCACCAAGAGGAAACATAACCCGAGGAAGGAGAGTCGCTGGGGGTCTGGTGGTTGTTGATAAAGAAGATGAGGAGCCCTCTGAAGCATTTCCACCCACCACTGAATGTATTTCAAGAGCTTTTTCCACTTAAAGGTTCTCATATTAGGTACGATTGCCCCCCCCCCATCCTCTCCACTCCCCCACCGCTTTCACATCAGTGTCGTCATCTACACAGCGTTTGTTTATGTCGTTTCTACAATGTGGAAAAGTCACAAACTATAGTTATGTTGCATTTAAACTAGCAGTCCACTCCTGCGTTGTTGTTTTGCGAACCGTACTCGAGACCACCTTTTCAAGCGGACCCCGGTCTACAGAGTTCATACTAATCAAACGAGCTGGACTTTAGGGGTCAAGTGTACTCTGAAAGCCTCCTTAAATATAAAATGTGACGCATCAAAGAGCAGCTGCAGCTTTAAACAGGAATACCCTTCAATAGCAGCCTGACGGTTGTTACCGTCGCCGAGTTTTGTCCACAAGGTTTTGATGTGAGTGTGTTTTTGTGTTTGTTTGTAGCACCCTGAGGCAGCGGGCTGACCCGGTCTACAGCCCTCCTCTGCAGATATCTGGACTCTGCTGGAGACTCAAAGTCTACCCAGTGAGTTTCCCTTCGTCCAATGTTTTCCATTAAAGCCTGTTCACGCTGAGCTTCAGCATCTGCATTAACTATTTATTCCTATAGTTTAATGTCTCTGTTGAAACAGTTTCAGGGAATACTTAAACACATTGTCAGTATGACTGTAAGGACTCAGGGTTGTGACCAAGCAATAAAACAGTATTTCTAAAGACCTACAGTAATAACCTGTGCTGTCATACAGACGTTATACTGATGTAAATAGATGTCAGTTCAACATACATTTTCCCAGTATTGAAGGAAGTTATCAATCTGTAGATTTAGAAAAACGTCATTCTCTCCACACTTTGACCAGTAGTCACAATGTCCATCCAGTCGGTCTGTGTTGGAGGCTCGGTCTGTACCCATTCTTGTGTTTCTTGCTGGCAGCCAATAGTATCTTTAGTAGATATTTGTCTCGCACCAGTAAATGAGCCTCAATATTACCCAGATAGATTGTGCTCCATCGCCAAATATGTTCCTGCATTACCTCCTGCCAGTATGAGCGAATGGCCGGGCAGCTCCAAATTATATGGAAATGATCTTCCTGCTGTTCTCCACATTTCCTCCATCATAGACCCTTTCCCACCTCTCCCGTCTGTACATTATTTATCAAAGTATGTTATCAGATTCTGCAAGCACACCCGAACTGGTGGAAGTAGACTGCATTGAGCTACTCATGTTCAGCCAATCTTCCTCTGAAAAAGTCCAGATTCTTTCTCCCGTTTCACCCAGACCTTATTGGTTGTTTGTTTCTTATTGGACTGAATACTACCCGTTTCCTGTTGTCAGTGTTTCTGTTAAACAAGAGAACTTAGAGCAGCAAGATTGTTGTTGTACGTATCGAATTAGCAGGAAATGTATGTCCTGAATTTATTAAGTCAATAGGTAAACAGGGAGGAACATAAACCATCAACAGCAAATGAAAAAATGGGAGCGCTTTAAAAAAACAAGATATTTTAATAAAATATTCAAATTTACCTTGAAATAAAGGCCTGTCTCTAATATAAGACTGTTTCAAATAAAGGCCTGGTTCTCTGCAGTGGAGGTAAATAATTATATGTTCAGTGTTCAGTTTCTTTAACAGACTGATGCTTTGTGAGCTAACACATAAATGACATACAAATAAATACATATTACATATTCTTCTTGCGTACTGTGGATGCATGCTGGGAGCTAAATGTCACGTTATACTTGACTTTTGACTTTACTTGATGATGATGCAGGCTCTTTAAAACTCTCTTTGTGATGTGTTTCCTCAGGATGGAAATGGGGTTGTTCGTGGAAACTACCTGTCTGTCTTCTTGGAACTGTCCGCTGGACTCCCTGAAACATCAAAGTATGAATAATTTATTCATAAATCTCCTCTCTTTCTCTTCCAACTTCTGTCTTTATCTTAAGTGAGGTTGAGTTATCAGAAATGCCGTAATTGAGTTCTGGCTTTCTGGCAGTCCTTCTCGTTGTTGTGTACTTCCCTGTGCAGTAATGTTGTGTTGGATCTGTGTAGGTACGAGTACCGCGTGGAGATGGTCCATCAGGCCTCCAGTGACCCAACCAAGAACATCATTCGGGAGTTCGCCTCTGACTTTGAGGTCGGTGAATGCTGGGGCTACAACCGCTTCTTCAGACTGGACCTTCTGGCCAGCGAGGGTTACCTGAACATGCAGACCGACACACTGGTCCTCCGGTGGGCTCACAAACAAACACACACACACACACACACACACACACACACACACACACACACACACACACACACACAATAATGTCAGAGTTTCATTGGTTTTCGTGTGTGTGTGCTCCACAGCTACCAGGTTCGCTCACCCACCTTCTTCCAGAAGTGTAGAGATCAGTACTGGTACATCAGCCAGCTGGAGTCGGCCCAGAGCGGCTACATCCAGCAGATCAACAACCTTAAAGAGGTGTGTGTGTGTGTGTGTGTGTGTGTGTGTGTGTGTGTGTGTGTGTGTGTGTGTGTGTGTGTGTGTGTTTTTTTTTTTGTGTGTGTGTGTGTGTGTGTGTGTGTGTGTGTGTGTGTGTGTGTGTGTGTGTGTGTGTGTGTGTGTTTCTACCCTTGTTACAATACATCTGAGAACTCGAGGACTCGATTTGGACGTCAGTATTCGTTCAACGTATAGAGTACTTGCCTTTTTCTATATGGTGTAAATGATAGATGTCTGCAGCTACAGGTAATATTCAGTGTTTTCAGTTAAAGGCAGAACGGCGACCAGGCATAAGAGCGATGTTTGGAAGTGATGTTTTTCAACAAAATAAACTAAATGAACGTGCAATGCGAGCTACATAATATAAAATACCCAAACACATTGCATTTACTATCATGTAAGATAAAGAAAAGCAGCAAATCTTCACATTTGCAGAGCTGGAACTAACAGATGTTTGTCATTTTTTTTGCTTGAAATTTAAATTTTCTACCGATTGACTAATCAATTAATCAACTAAGATATTTTTTTAGACCAAAAAGTGCTACACTCTATAAAGCAGGGGTGGAGGAACAAGACTTTATTTGGACTTTTATTGTGATGTTTGGATCCTGTTGAACAGTTTATCAGCTGCTGTAAAAACATTTTAAGCATATAAATTACAAACTGTATCTCTGGATTACAATAAATACAGAGAGATAATTACTGAAGTGACTCTGTTTAACGGCTCAATCGATCTTCTGACTCATCTTTCTGATTTCAGAGGTTGGCCATCGAGCTGTTTCGCCGTCAGACGTCGCGCAGCTCCTCGCCTCCTGACCTCAGGCTCTCCACGGGCACCACGACCTCCGAAAGAGACCCTCGCTCGGTGAAGAGCGACGACGACATCCAGACCACTCTGAGCAACGCTAAAAAGGGAGAAGAAGAAGAGAGGACCCAGCACGATGACTCTAATGTAAGCTTATTGGTTCTTACTGTTATTTGACTCAGGTTAGTTACTCAATGGAAGAGCATACGAGCAGGTGGGGGGGGGGGATATTGGGATATTTAAATAGTTCGTAGAAGATGTTTGAAGAAGGAAAAACATGGTGTCACTGTCGTCTTTGGGTTGAATCTCTGACCACACCCCTGTGCTCTGTTTTTATTTGTTACCACCCCCAACTGTGATGGATATTCTAGAGCAGTGATTCCCAACAGGGAACTTCTGCAGTTGCCAGGGTTGTACAGGAAAAGCCTGTGGAGTGGCTGAACTAATTAAAATAAATTGCGAGCTTGGTGTGATCACGGCGTCACTGTGTTGTTCAGGAGCTGTCGGACGGTGACTTGGAGGTGGACTGCCTCACGGAGGAGGAGGTGAACCCGCTGGACGGCAGCAGCACCTCGGGGAGCTCCACGGCCACCAGCAACACCGAGGAGAACGACATAGACGAGGAGACCATGTGAGCAGAATTTCTCTCATCCTCTTAAGTCTTTAAACAAAATATATATCTCCTGTGGACTGTAAGTCCTCGCTGTCACTGAATACGTTGCTGTCTGTCTGCACAGGTCAGGAGAGAATGACGTGGACTTCATTGGGAACCTGGAGACAGAAGAAGGAGAGCTTCCTGATGACTTGGCTGGAGCTACAGGTATAATTCATCCAGTATAAAGTTATTATATACATAGACAATTGTTACTCCTGCTGTGTAGGAGGAGGGTTTGTTGTTTGATTCTGCAGAGGATCAGCAGATACTGTATCTCTAAAACTTGTCAACAGAATTTAGTGAAACTTGGCAGAAAGTTTGGCTTCGGTTCGTGGAATAAAGCCCAGATTACACTTTCCACGTCTGCATATTAACCTCAGGGGCCTGCGTGATTTAAATTCAGATACGCGCTCGTGTCCTCGAGGGTCCGTCTGCGTGCAGCACAAAATTAATGACTGCGTGTGTGAACACGTGTGTGATTCAGACACCCAGTGGAGTACAAACTGTGTCCGCTGCTCCCATCAGGTGATTATTGATTACTCCTTTGGTGCCACCATGTGACCATTTATTAAGAGAGCTCCACATTTAGGCTCATACATCTTGAAAAGTGACGTGTGCAAGCATCTTTTTATGGATTCAAGTTCGTCAGAGTGCACTTGATTCATCCGCGTTTTACTGAACATATTTGGATTTGGAGGAATATTTGTGATTATTCCCACATTTCCACCGCTCTGCAGTCCCTGTGTGTTGGCCTGGGGAGGGTGTGGAGACACTGGCTACCTCCATGTTATTGTTAGATAATATTGAGTATCTAAACTAAAATGAATCCATTGAATGTGTTATACAACTGGATAGTTTCTGCATTGAGCTTCACACTGAGCTGAAAAGAAATGAGTGCACATAAATTAGGTAAATAACAAATAAACAGCCTCATACTGTATTTATACTGGAGTTCGGTGTTTTAGCCACCGGCTGTATAAGCTCTAAACTGCTCTTACACACATGGAGCTCAGCAGAGAGTTTACAAAGAAAGATAAAGAACAAAGGTTCAGATTGGGCTCAATATAGCTTAAAATAGCTGATTCCTATCAGTTAAATAAAATTCTTTCACCGGCCCCCGATCATCCCGACATCCCGAGTTGAGAACATTTCAATCTCGAGAGGATTGATTCAGAATCAGAAGGTCAAGGTCACTCTTTTGAAGAACCCAAAAATATCCTGCCGAAGAAAAATCCAACGTTATTTGTGAAGCTGTAAACCATCAAATACTTAATTCCCTGCCTGAAATAAAGCCTCAGCCACTGTTTGAGAGTCTACAGAACCTCCTGGTGTTGTTGGACAGCCGCTCAGGCAGAACGCGGTGATACAACGGTGGGCCTCAAAGCGGCTCCTTCACCGTGTTTCACTGTGTTGGTGTTGAAAGGCATGAAGAGGATGAGTCACTGTTGGTGCACTGAACCCCTCGCAGCGTGCTGATATAGAAACACTGTGTGTGTGTGTGTGTGTGTGTGTGTGTGTGTGTGTGTGTGTGTACACTCTGTCGGAGTGGAGCTCAGCAAAATATTTTTAAGATTCATTAAGTTTTACTTTTGATGCTGTTAAACAATCGAGTTTAGAGTCTCAATCACTGATTTTAAAGCTGTTAATTTAAGGTAGGAACGTTACATAACAGAGCTTTTAGAACAACATGAATTATTAGTTTTGTAAACCTCTGTCTTCTGATCTACAGGGGGCTCCGGCTCCAGCGTGCGTTCCTTACATCGCAGTGCCGCTGCTGGTCGTAGCTCCAGCGGTAGCGGCGCCGCAGCTGGTGGGGCTGTGGGTCCGAGCAGCAACAGCCTCCTGGAGATCGACCCGGTCATCCTGATCCAGCTGCTGGATCTGAAGGAGCGCAGCAGCGTGGAGTCTCTGTGGGGCCTTCAGCCTCGTCCTCCAGTATCTCTGCTGCACAGCCAAGGTCTGTAAACACACTCCGCCCACTGACAACAAATCGTTGCAGCTAAACAGAGAGTCAATACTCACACACAGAGAACAGTCCCTCCAAAAATACAAACCATCACAGTTCTCCTGCAGCTGTAGTTTTCCAGGCATGGAAACACCTAGAAATTGATTTAAAATGAACAAAAAACCTGGAAATAATGTTGAATTGTGTGTTAGCTCATCACTCAGGTTAGCATTTCGGTGTAGCTGTTCACCCCAGACGGGAAGCGGACTTGCAGCGCCAAGTCTATAAGCAGAATTCTCTGAGAAGCCCATTGGAAATGCTGTAAAGGGTCACATCTACATGCATACACCCTAATAATAATCACATATGTAGCTGTTAAATGTTAATTTTATGTGCAACAAACATTTTCTACTTCTTCCTCTAACAGGCTGATAGTTGGAGACTGTGAATGTTCTGTCTGTTACTTTATGGGCTGTGGCCAAATGAATGTTACAGTTTGTCTATGCTGTGGTGGTGAGCAGCAGCCATGAAAGAGTCACATCCACACAGTGTCCCATAAACACTGACCGCTGACCTGTGTTGAACCTGCATCATTAAAAAACAAGTCCATGTCCTAGAAAATGATCTGTTGAACTTCTCGATTTCATCCCACTTTATGTACGTATGTTTGTTTAGCTGTTTCTCCTTCCTGTTTCTCTTCCAGCTCATCCTCACTCCCGGAAAGAACGCGAGCGGCGACCTCAGGTTGTGCGCCGATCGGCTCCAGACTCGGGGGTCCTGATCCGCCTCAAGGCTCAGATGGCTGAGGTCCGCAGCAAGATGTCTGACGTCAAGAGTCAAGTGCTGGAGGCTCGAGCGAACGGAGAGCCCAGGCCCGGCCCATCGGGGGGCTTCAGCGTGGAGGAGGTGTCGTCTCACCACGCTGATTCAGAGTTGTCAGCTTGCCGTAAGCCCGGTGAGCTGGACCTGCTGGGGAGAGCAGCTGCGGCTCGGTCCAGGCCCTGCCGCCCTGGTGAGGACCGCTACACGGCTAATGCTAAGAGTGTTTTTATAAAGAAAATCCTCTCATTATCCAGCGAGTATTAGCATAATCCATATAATCTTTTCTTTTTGAACATTTAAATGAGAACTTGGTGCTCAGAGTTTCACGGCCGTATTTCTCGGTGGAAAAGGTAGAAAAACTGGCGGTAACGAGCCTGAAAAGTCGTCTGAGGTATTATCATCAAGAAGTTCATCACAAAAACAACCAAACAAATATTTACCTCTGACATCTGAGGAGAAATACTCGCTCCGTCAGCTTTAAGGAATGAAACTAAACCTCTGTGCCGTCTTAGAGTCTCATTTCATTAAGTGACTCATTTAACCAATAACAGGAAATGTGTTCTATTATTCAGCAGAGCCGCATTAAAAATGAAACTACAGGAAAAGTCAGGCGTTCTTTGTCCTTTGTTGCTAAAGACAATTAATAACTTTAGAAGATCATTTCTTTTGGACTCTCTGGTACAACTACTCCTTTAGAAATCAGTAAAGTATGAAATAGGTTAAAGGTGCTGTATACGACTGTCAGTCTAGGTGTCGCACTACAGCACCAGCATCTTAAACCAAAAATAATACGCCGGTCCACCAGACTCATTTTACCTTTCACCACAAGTGTTTGTATTAGTCTTTCCACTTCTCCAACACGGTCACCAACTCATGTTTGGTTGAAATAAATTCTTAAATGAGAAAATAGCCACAAACAGGCTGCAACTTAAGCGTTAATCCTTGGTGCCCGTCAAAGTCCGACCGCTAGAAGTAGTAGTTTCTGCCACTGACAGACTCAGGTTGTTATTGTCAGTGTCTGACAGCATTATGGAAAGGATCCCTACAGAGATAGACCTTTAGTTTAACCACAAACAGCCGTAATATCACTATCACTCTCCACCAGACTCCAGAGACAGAAACACTCATTTTACCTTCAGATCATCATAACTTCTTTAAAGTGGACAGAAACAGAATAAAACTCATTAAAAGTCTTTCTACAGTTCCAACAATCACCAGTCAGTCACTTTACATAGCTAATAGTAATTTACAATATATATATATAACCTTTAAGTTTAAGAACAAGGTGTCAGAGTTCACTGAAATCAATCCCCAGTGTAAAATAGTACTGTTGAAGGCTGATCTTCTGTTCCTACGGAACCAGTTTCTGTGGCTCCAATCAACCTGACACCGCTTGCGTCAGTAGTTTATAAGAGAAGTCAGCTCTCAGTTTAAATAGGATATTCCTCTAATCACCATAATCAGCGTTATCTAAAGCAAGGATCACTTTCTGCTGCCACTTAAGATCATCAGTGGAGGATTTTCAGTCTGATTTCTCTCTCTGCCCTTTGGAGGCTGGTTGAGAGCAGTTCATCTGTTCGACACTAAATCATACAGATTACTGGTTTTGGCACAACTTTACCCATCTCTGAGTTTACACTAGACTACAGACGACGAGGCTCGCAGAGTTTATAATTAATAATCACAACAACCGGAAACAGAGACCTGAGATGATGTTTCTTTCTTCTGTGTGCAGCCAGGAAGTCTCTGTCCCCGGTCCTGGACAGCAGCGGCTCTCTGGTGGTGAAGAGGAGGAGTCCAGAGGAGATGGAGAAGGACCTGAGAGGAGCAGACGTGGCCACAGAGCTCAGCCTGCATCTGAAAGAGGGTGCAGAGGGTCAGTACTTTTATAACTTACAGACACTTTTGGGGGAAAACAAGCTGTAAATCCAATTTCTTCTTCAAGAGAACGACTCTTTGATCTCACATTCAGATTCTTTCCCTCCGAACACTCGCACTCACTCTCACACAGCTCCTGCGTGCACTTCGATTTGCTCTGGTTCTGCTGACACTGTGTGTTTGCACTCAGATATATTGTTGTTTGCACAGATTTCCTGCGCTCCAGTTTCAGTCTCCTCAGCACTCGGGCTGCGTCTGTGCACTCGCGAAACGTCTGCTCTCAGATTTCTTTCTTCGCTCTCGGATTATGGTGTGGAGAAATGAGCCAATGAAATGATCCCTGCCTGGTTACGGTGCACATTAGCTTAGTTAGAGCTATATTCATGTAGGACCTTCATGGTCTACAGATGTTGAATCAGGCCGGTTTTGGTGACCCCCTGTCCTCTCTTTAACACCACATCTGGCCAAACTTACATGTTCATTGTCCCCTGAGGTTGAACCCATTGTTTTAGATACTTCAGGAGTCTTCTAGTGCTGCCCTAAAGCCAGTTACCACACAGGATCTAAATCAGTTCCCCACTTTCTTCCTGAAGGGATCCTTTTTCTATCACTGAGTAAACTCACGTCCCCTAACTCACATATTTTATGGTTATTTCATATCATACGTATTGACTACCAATAACGATACAGAACAACCGATACAGTGATACAGTGAAGTTTGAGTAAAACAAGACTGAAAGGTTTAACAAACTTTCTGCTCGTTGTTCTATCAGCGTTTCGTTCTAATGCAGGACGAGGCTGTTTATCAGAGATGTGTTCAGTGTAGATCTTAAATAATAATCTAAACTTTAAAAAACAATGACCATTTCATTTAGTTTTCTTCACATAAATGAATAAAATCTGATGAGCTTTCAGCCTCATGGATTTACAGTATTACTCCAAATGGACCCTCTTGGTTTTGTTTACCCAGATTGAACCATGTTATTTCCGCTGTGTGACTTTGCCCCTGTCTCTGCTCCAGGAGTGCTGCAGGCTGACGGCACCCAGGGTCCCGTCGTGTCCCTCGGCGGCTCCTCGTCGGAGCAGGCCTCCACCTCCAAGCTGCAGTACTCGGTGGAGCAGCAGCTGTACGTGGCCTCGGGATCCAGGGACGACATCTTCTCCTTGGGAGGGCCGAGCTACATGACCGCCAGCAAGAACTGTGGCGGCAGGACCCTAGGGTGCGTCTCAGAGGCCCCTCGTACGCAGGAAACTGGAGCAGGAAGCTGTTCTCTCTCTCACTAACACATTTCTTCCTCCCGCAGGGCAGCCATGTTGGACTGTGAATCTGAGAGCTCAGGAAACTCCCATCAGTCCTTGCTGGAGGGCTCCTCTGCACAGCCGCAGTCAAATGAAGGTCGGTCCACCCTCTAACTGCCGACCCTCAGGAGTTCATGTGTGATGGTTTGTTTGTGTTGTTAGCATGCTACCAGCGCCTCTGAAGCTCTCTGATTCACACGCTTTATCTGCTTTGTTTAAAAACGTTCAAACCTTCTGTGTTATGGGGCGTTTTGTGCCGGGTCAGTGACCTCCTGGAGTCTCCGCTGGCTGCTCAAAGCCGAGGAAGACAAAGTTATGGTTTAAACAATTCATACAGATTAAACAAACTAAATATGAAGTGTTTCCTGTTTCCTTCACATTTTGTTGTGTTTCATCAGACAGCAGAAACATTTCATATATTTTTAATACAGTAAGATTATGAAATTTAAAGCAGCTACATGGTACTTTCTTTTTGTGTTGATTCTGTCGCCCCCTGTGGACAGAAGAGGTAGTGTTTCTACCGCTCGCTTTCATTGATTTCAAGGGGAATCTGACCAACTCTGACGTTAAACATGGCTGATCGTTGTAGTCTGGAGATTGTTGCTTCTAAACCTGCATTTTACTTAAGTTTTGTTCTTTAACTTGAATTTCTGAATAACGTCCAGTGAAAGATTGTTAGTAAAGTCTCGTCCTCCCGTCTGTAGATCAGTCTCCGTCTGTCCTGGTGGCGGCGACGAGCAGCGACAGCGACACCGAGGACGAGGCCCTGCAGAGCAACAACTCTCGCTACGACAACCAGACTCCTCCCTGCACAGGTAACACACACAGACACACACACACACACACACACACACACACACACACACACACACACACACACAGACACACACACACACACACACACACAGACACACAGACACACAATAATAAAACCAAATGTGACGTCTTTAATTCTGTGTTTAATGCAGATATGTTTTATTTTTTTTAACCTCCTGTTTTAATAAAAGCCTTTGTAAGGACGAGTGTTGCACATTATGATACTTACTACAGATACTGTATCTGTTCCTGTCATATAAACCACTAATAAATAAATAAGAGTTTCAGTCGACTTAGTGGAGGCGTATTAAATCAGAATTTACTTTATTGACAGACCGGTAAACACAGACAGTGCATGAAGAGACAATGTCAGTGCGGCAGTAATGTCCTTTATTGTTGATTTCACTTTCAAAATGAAAGAAAGATGATTTATAATTGGAAAATTCAGATTTATGGATGTGGAATTTTGCAAAAAAAGAATTAAACTAATGATTTTATTCTGATTTATTTTGGTGGAGGGTTAAAAGAAACAAAACATTTTCATATAAAAGATAAAATCAGAAACAAAAATGCACAAATTATCAAAAGAACAAGAATAACCTAAATAAATGCAGCTACGTTACATCAGTATTAAATCAGATTGATGGGCAGGTTGTCTGTCACTCAATGTCATCGTTGCCGTGGTTACGGACACTCAGACATACTCCAGCTCCAACCTCCAGTGTTTCCTGTGTTCAGTCTGTAGGTTGATTCAGTCGATATTTTAGAGCTTTCAGGTGTTTTACCGATGCTTTTATTGTGTTAACCGCTCTTACATAATGCACACACACACACACACACACACACACACACACTCTTGTTTCAGACTGCATGTAGACGATGAAGTCATTTCTCCTCTTCCTCCTTCCAGGAGAGCAGCTCCTGTCCGATGACATGAGTCTGCCCGCTGACAGGTGATTCCCTCTGAGCCCGCCAACGCCATGGAAACGCCACCGCCGTACCCCCCGGCGCGGCTCGCACGGCGACGCTCACGCCACTTACACACACACACACACACACACACACACACACACACCTGTAGAGTAGAAACTGCTCGTTACTGAAATGAAGGCGACACATTCCTCTTGGCCAGCTGTTCATTGTGACACTGCGCCTTTAAGAGCGCTAACATCTCTTTGGTTGTGTTCCTCAGTGACTGCTCAATAATGACCTCAGCAGCCATTAAATAGAGATTTACACTCAACCGCCAGATCCCTAAAAATCTGCTCCTCCTTCCTGCTTTTATTTTGAAAACCAGAACCACTACCAGGACTGCAGAGCCACTTTTGTAAAGAACCGAGTCTTGAGGATGAAGGTGTAGATAATCCGTAGCGTTTGGCTTGCTGCTGATGCTTAATGCGGCCTGTCTGGGCTTTAGTCTCCACACCCACTCAACCCGAGTCCCTGCACCCCCCCACCGACCTCATTCACTCCTCAGACCCCCTCGATTAGTGACACTGCAGCTGGTTGCATAAATCCACTGAACACGAAGCGCTCAATTAGCATTCCTGCTTACTTATGTAAATGTCTCCTCTTAATAACCGCAGCGTCAGGAACTTTTTCTGTCTGTCTGTCTGTCTGTCTGTCTGTCTGTCTGTCTGTGACATTTGGAGAAGGCGAACTATCACTGAATCACATGCGTTATAAAACGGCTGCTGCTCTGACGTCTGCTGGCTGAGACCTCGATGGAGGTTCGTACGACGATGCACCGATTGGGGGGAAATTCTGAGCCGATAACGATGTTGTTGTTTTTGTTGTTATTTACCGTATTCGCCCTTTTTGTTCTGGGAAACAAAAGAAATCTCACTTGTTGCTGCTCAGTCTGTTCTAGACTTTTGTGCCAGTGCTGGAAAACAGAGTTTATTGTTTCTTAAATATCCAACGCACAACTAATGCGACACAACAGATGAACACGGACAACAAGGCGAATACCGGCCGGTAAATCGGTGCATCCCTCGTCTCTGACTGACGCTCACTACAGTTTATACACGACACAACTAGTTTGACATTTTGTATTTCTGATGGAGTTACATAAGAAGACTTTTATGTTTATTTAAATATAAAGCTTCAAACTACAGCTGGTTAGCTTAGCATAAAGACTGGAAACTGGGGGGGGGAACATCTGCTCCTCTCCTCAGTCTCTCCTTCGGACTGTAAATCAGCACCGACTCAAACGCTGCTGCTCTCTTAAGGTGGAAACTCTGAGATGAGTCAACAGCTGTTCGCCGGACGCCAGATACCCGAGAACAGAACACTCACTGACTGCTGAACCTCTTCATCACTTAATCTTTGGATCAAAGAAACCACATCAGTGTACACGTCCACAGTCATTAGTTTACGTTGTAAATACCCCGATATATTCTGAGAGTGCATGGCTTTATGGGCCGGACTGACGGGACGGAGGACGGCGACTTCTGCTCCGGTCTGCTTGACGGCGTGATGTTTGATGGCTGTGTGAGGGCGTGGGAAACTGCAGCCACCGTTTATTAAACCATGTCTTTCCTCTTATTTGTGCTCGTTGTGTCAAAAGCTGCTGTTTATTTTGAATGTTCCCAGAATGCACTGTGCGTTATTTGATGTGTATATTTCCTTACTGTGTAATAAATAAAATGTTTTACGACCCTGGAAATGACCACGTTCTTCCGTGTTCTGTCTCATTACTTTTGGACCACGGAGGATGAGGAAGATGAGGATGAAGCTGTAATATCTGAATGTTAAAATATAAAGATTAAAGGATAATTATTTATTTTCCTTTCGGCTGTAATCTCGACGGGTTATAATAATCTAGTTGAGGCAGGAAGTCTTTGGCTCTGATGGTGTTTTCTGCCTCATTAGATTTTATTTTTATTAATGTTGCAGCTCTCAGAGGTTCAAGTGGTGAGAACAAAGTTTTAATTTCAGACAGAAATGTTTGACAAAACTACAAAAAGTATAATTAATATAAACATGGGTGTCGTCCTTTTACAGTCACGCATCATCAGAGTTGTTTTCCAGTGATTTTAGTTTTAGTGACTCACGAGTTAAACTGAGATATTCTGACGTTTAATCCAGAGTATCAAGCTGGATCCTACACTTCCCATAATGCAACACCAGCAGTTTGTGACTCTGGCTTTCTCTTAAAATTTGGAGTCTGCGTAACCCAAACACTGTGTAATTAAAAATGGATGTAGTCTCTGTGACGTTGCTCATGTTTCTGAAGAGCCGCTGTGAAGCTCAGTGTGGTCGGCTCTGGGCGGTCCTGATTCTACCGGCTCCCGGTTAATCCAAAAATAGGTGAAGAGTTGGAGCTGAATGAAGCCTGGTTACTGAAAACAGCCACCTGTCCCTCAAAGCAGCCACACCCTTAATTATGCAAAAGATTAAACCTGAATATAATTTAAAAGAGTGAGTTTTATAAAGATTCACTGTCCGTACAGTCGTCATCAACGGGGAAGTTAGCTCTAGAGCCCAAAACAGTTGTTTTTACCAGGCTGTAAAAATGTTCATTTCTGCTGTAAAGTTGTATATTTTAATATTGAGCCTTATGGAGACTGACTCACTGCTGGAGCCAGCCTCTAGTGGCCGTTAGAGGGACTGTAGCTTTTGTTACTTTAGTGTTTCAGTGCTTCATTAGCAGCCGCTTGGGTAAAAACAGACATCAGACTCACTTTCAAAACTTAAAATGTGTTTGTGAACAGATCTGAGGAGAGAAATAGTCAACAACAGAATCTGGATCCATATCTGATCAGCACTGTTTGACAGTTTGATCTGAGTTTGGTTGAGCTGGACGGACTCACTGAGAATGAGCTGTCAATCACAAGGTAGCCCCGCCCTAAAGCATACCCTGCTTTATGGTCTGTTTTACTCTAAATGGGACCATCAGTTACTAAATGAACATCATGCTGTATGGAAGAAGACTGAAACTAGAGACTGAGACCAGAAACTCATCAGGAAACTGTTTACTGGGCTCATTTCTCCATAAGACTGAATGGTATCTGTGTGTTATTGCAACCAGTGGAGCCGCCCCCTGCTGGTCGTTAGATAGACTGCAGGTTAAAGACACTTCACAGACCCAGAAACTGCCCATTATATTTACTGTCAGTGGTTTCCAGACTGGATTTCTCTTCAGAGCTCAAACTGCTGGAACGAAGAGAATGAAGCCAGATTACAGTACGAGTGGGGTGAACTGATGAGTCTTTTTATAGAAAGAATGTGGAGGACTGCTCACTTTTGTAAAGCTGTTTATGTAACCGCAGACAGCACTGTTCCACATGAAAGCCCTGTTACAGCATCACATCGCTCCTCACCCTCTGTGGCGCTCAGATTCCTGTCAGATTCCCTTTTATTCACCACTTCCTGTGGACCCCCCCCACCCACCCCGACTGTCTGACCAGGCTGGATTAATGGGTTAGAAGTAATAACCTTTGCTTTATATTTCAGATTCACACAGATGGCTCCTTTTTTCTTTTAGGCTGGAAGAAAACCAAATATGGAGGCTCTGTGACGTCAAACCCGCAGCTGTCTGAATGTTACTGCTGGTCAGGATCTTAGTCACTAACTGGAGCCAGAAAATCCCAGTTAGCAGCTCAGAAGGGTCCCGAGATAAATCTGGGGAGACGATTCGTGGGAGAGGAAAGAAAAACATTGTAATCGTGTCTTAAAATTGTTCTCTAATATTTTCTATAAACCTTTATTTAATCAGGTCCCATCGTTATAATAAGAATGTCATGATAGTAACACAATAATAATAAAACCATAAAAATAATATACAATAATAAGTCAATTAAAAACAAATCTGTTGCAGCTAAAATCGATCAGAGTTTCTGAACTGAACCAGAGTCGATAAGTGACGTCAGATAATAAGAAGCCTTTTATAAATAAATAAACGCTGGTATCTTCTAATGGAGAGAGAAGGCCAACCCACTTTTTAATGAAGAAGACAATGATGAGTGCCATAGATCAGTAGGTTCTCAACCTGGGGGTCGGCACCCACATTAGGGGTCACCAGAGCTTCAGAGAGGGTCGCAAGGTCTTTTTATTTTAAGGGTTGTAAGATATAAAATGAACACATTAGAGCCAGTATCTCAGTAATTTGTTCAATTCTACGAGGAAAACTAAATGGAAATGTTATCTTTATCCTTAAGGATACAAAATAATCTATATTACAGACTGATAATGTTGTTTATCAGTGTATAAGCATTGGTAAACTTTAAAAATACAGTTTTTATCAGTGAAAACAGCAATAATTATTGTAATTTCACAGATAGACTTTTATTACAGTTCTATAACTTTTAACATTCAGATTAAAATAAGAAAAATCAAATAATAACAGCACTCTGCTGTAAATGAAAGCCTGATTATTTGTATAACCACCTGTATTTATAGATCATTGCATTGTTTTTACAGTGTAAATATCTTTAATTAAACATTAAAAAGACAAATTCACACAATTGTCTGTAAAACTAAAGCTAAAAACTGTATTTTAATCAGTTGTTTTATGTTATTTTACTGTATTTCTACTTCTTTTACGTCTCCAGTTATTAATCTACGTGCTGAACGATAACCAGCGTTAGTGGACGTTGCCACACGTCTGTGAATCACCAGAATCTCGAGCTGAGAGTCAGACTGCTTCCACAATCTTCTGTCTTCATGATACTTAATACTGTATTATTATTAGTAATTTTATGTGTAGTTTAAAGTAGAGAGGCACATGAAAAACACCTGTGAAATCCTGTAAGGACTGGGTCAGTATCCTTTGGTGTCCTCATCAGAATAACTATTGCAGATTTTACAGTAATTTCATTATTATAAAAATACTTCCTGTGAGAAAGTGTAGATTTTATAATCGCCATGCAATGAAAATGTATTTTACTTTGACAGGACGGACGTGTTTTGTGGTCGGCCCGTGTACTTCCTTTCATTTTAAAGAGGGGCATGCTTCCTAACAGGTAACACGGTCAATAAGTTTTTTTTCCTTTTGATTCTAAGTTGAGCAAACTTTTGATGTGTGAAAATTCATGTTTCCTCGTACCTGTGCACAGAGGGCAGCTGACTAAAAAGGGATTGTGGGTAATCAATTAGAGACAATCACAACTCTTCAGGAAAGAAACACCCTCAGCCGAAGACTTGGTCTAATCTTTATATACATGATAATTAGTCACCAGTTACAATACACATATTTCTATACTACAGGAACACAGATAATACAGGTACTCAACAAGTGTGTTTTACTGATTTTTTTGTTTGTTTTTTTAAACCTAACCTGCATGTTGAAGAAGAGCCAATCATGGGGTTTGTCTTCGAGCCTGGAGGACGAGAAGGACAGGGCTGGCATGGTGTGGACCAATCACAGCCCTCGGAGTGATCTCACCCCACCCACCTTCCTCCCTACCTCACCTCCCTCCCTCCCGCCCTCTCATCCACATTATCCACCGGCCTACATTTGAACAGAGCGCTCTAACTCCGGGCGGCCTCTTCAAATGTACACAGAGGAACGCCGATACAGCGGGAATGTCCTGCCTCCTTCGTCGCGGAGAGAAGACGGCTTCACGTTCATTTTTCTACCTGCTAGCTACCTGGTTCACAGGAGGTGCAGGAGCGCCTGAACCTCACTACAGCCGGCAGATTATGACTCATAATCCAATGAATGAGAAACTGACTTCAGGAACTTTAAGTGACCTTTCAAATATGGCTGACAGAACGACTGTGTGGTTGCATCCTTCAGCGGAAGACAAACCCTCAGAGAGCCTTTTAATGCAACGTCATTATTGCTTACAGAGAAAAAAGAAAAAGCTTTTTGTTTTCCCGTGTACGTAGACACACAGTGCAGATTCATGGAGGGCCCTATAGTTAAGACGGTGATAATGGGAGAGCAGAGCTTCAACTTCTGCTTGCTTATCGTCGTCGGAAGGGGGAGGGAAACATCCGACTCGGAGGAACCTTTTTAGTGCAAGCAGAGCGAGAGTGAGGGAGGAAGTGTGGGGGGGTTTCTCGAGCTTAGGTTGAGGTTTTTACCACAGAGAATGATGTTTTTTTTATTGCTCATACAGTGACAACTTCTGGCAATCTGCGATATGATGAGTAACACTGTATTTACTAATTCACAGGGTTTTTGGAGAAAGCAACCCATGGGATCCTTGTTGTCGAGCACTGGTTGTGGTTACGTCTCTCTCCGGGTGCGAGCTGCTGTGAAACAAATCAACGGTGAATCACAGAACGCTAACGGCTGCTCTGAGGTGCGGTCACGAGTACGACGTGCGACAGTTTTCCTGCAACCAACAAATCACAAAACGTATCTCGAGTATCTTGTTATAGCGACGAAGCATCCCATCGTACGAATTTCTCGACAGCTATGGACCTTTTACACAGCAGCCATTTTGACAAGAAATAGTAAACAGAGGAGTTACCATTTAAGATTCGGGTCAAAATGCTCCGACCGCCATGTTTGTGCCCGAGCATCGAACGTTTGTTGAATCAGGAGTTGAAAAGAAAATTTTAAAGATTGTTAAAAGCGACATAAACCCTGTGTAGTCACATCTTAAGTTGGCTAATGTTAAACAAAATGCATCAATCTTTAGTTACATCAGATTAATCTAAAATAAAAACAGATTAAGCAACTGCACGACGTATTTCAGTCTTAAAATGTTTTTAGAAAAACTATTTCCGTAATATTAGAGAAAGTTTCCAAACAAGCCGCCGTGTTGGTCCCCGAGCAGCGAGCGTTTGTCGAATGAAGTGCTCGTCTATGTTGAAAAGACAACCAAATTTTAAAATTAGTTAAAAGATAAAAGGGACGTATAGCCTCTAAGACCCATCTTAAATTGACTAGTGTTAACAACTAACTAACTAGCTAACTAACGATTGATGTAGATTAGCTAGTTAACTAATTAGCTAAGCTTTGATGTGACTATATAAGTCACTTTTATTTGTTAACCACCTTTTCAACATAAACGAGCCTAGCACGTAGCATAATTAAGAACAGGAAAGGAGAAAGTTGACAGAGGAAGGATCAATTTGTGTCAATGGTAACACCTTGGTTTACCCTACTATTTCTTGGCAAAATGGCTGCTGTGAAAAAGGTCTGTCGGGTGGATTGCCATGAAATTTGGCACAGAAGTTCGTGTTCCCCTCAGGATGAACTGTATTAACTTTGGGGATGAAGTTTATTTTATTTGTCCGTTACCTCAACTGTAAAACTTTGTCAATTTAACAAGATCCTGATAAAATTCCTAGTTTCTTTGTTTACTACCCTGCGTGATCCGTGTAAACTATCTAATCCATTACCTATAAGCAAACACTGCGGCTCTAACTGAGACCCAAACTCCGTTTTACCCAAACGCCACAGCAACTCACGTGCTCCTCATCTCTATTCAACACCATGCTAATCATCTAACACCTGCAGAGCTTGAACGAAAACCTACGAACTACTGATATAATCTGATTGGCAAGATGTTGTTTGTTTTAAGGCTGGTACTGATAAAACATTTTAAATCGAAGCTGCAGATTGGAGATGAAGTATTTGAAGCCGATAATTAACATCTTTTAACGTATGTTTTCCCCCCAGATTTGTCGTTCATGTCAGGATAACGTAAAGCAGCAGCTAGGCCGTGATAGGACGCTGTGAAAGCCGGACCGGTTCAACACCTTTATATACTTGAAGGCAGGACTTTACGGACTGATGCCTCTCAAGCGGGTTCATCACATCCTCACATCCACCTCAGTCCGGTGGTGAGATTTTTCCAACATTTGACTGTTTTAAACGTCAACATCTGACCGTCGGGCCTTGTGGAGCATGGATTAAAACCACTGATTTACAAGACAGAATTATTATATGTACAATCCTCCAGCACTCGCTCGATTCACAATTATTACTCGTAATATACATACGCATCCGTGCCTAAGTGATATTTGAAATGACTGTGACTTCATTTTTGTTTGCCGATGACTTCGCCTGTCTTCGACCACTTCTGGATACTGTAGCGATACTTCCACAAAGAGATCCAGTGGCTTCAGTTTGTTGAGTTATCTCGACAGTACATTCCTTATAGATAGATTGGTTGATTGATTGATTGATGCTCCCCCGGAAAGAAGAATCTCCACAAAGAAACACCACCTCATGTAGACCCACTTCAGAGTCTCTGAGGACCTTCTGGGACATGAGGTACATTCTGCTCCACTGACAGTCTGATGCTCTTCACTAGTCAGTCCGCGGGAGGGTTTAAGGGTTTATGAGTCCGAGGTGATGGCCCTCTTATGTCCGGCACCTGTTGCCTGATGAACCACCTGGTTTTGATCGGACACCTTCCGGGTGTTTCATCAGGTTGGCGACTGGGCCAGGAGAGTGGAGGCACGATTTACAGAACCTGGTCAATTACTTGTTAACATCCTGACATTTGGAAAAATTCACTGCATCAAAGAAAGAATGGGGGAATGATGATGGTAGGGAATGTTTGGGAATAATTAATGTGTCCTAATGACTGTTTGGTAAGCCCCAACCCTCCAAACAATCGAAGCTAGGCACGGCAGGTCTGCCAAATCTTTAAATTTTTTACACAACAAAATCGTTAAACATAAACAGTTTCAGGGTTTTTTTTAGCCTTTAGGGCTGCACAAATTAAATAATATAACAATAACCAAAATGCAGAAGCTGATAATAAAGATAATGAAGTAGTTTTGCAAAGAACCCTATAAATCTACAAATCTTTCAGTATAGACCTCAACACCACATCATCATGTATCGTGAATCATATCACAATATCTGTCAAAATAATCACAATATTATTATTTTTTTTAACATATTGTGCCGCCCTGTTTCCAAAACCCAAAACACAAGAGAAGCGTAAGAAATGGATTAAAAAGTTAGCATGTACGGCTAACTGGCCTACTACTACCTACAGTTGTGACATCAATCTAACGTTACTTACAAAGTCAATCAGAATATCATTAGTTAGCTAACTTTATTATTTTGTGGGGCAACAACAGGTTATGTTAAAAAGGGACTGGGGCATCTACTGTGACGTATTTATCGTACCGCGTGGTAGCCGGTACCGGATGCTAGTAGCTACCGTTTACAGCTCAGCCAAACACCTCGGTTAGTCCTCAACCTCAACCCTTTTCTCTTGTAACGTTAAAAATCAAAGCATAAATCACCTAATCTCTGTGTTGCTTGTACATTATTCCGTTAGCATCGAAACAGGGTTATGTCAGAAGAAAATTAGGGACTTTAGCCTCAGTCTTTTAGCATTATTTCATGTACAGTACGTAGCCGTCAAAGGCAAAGAGTTCTTGTTTCAGAGTCAACTGGACGCAAAGCTACACATGGAGCTGATGCTAATTCAGCTAAAATCTGACATTGCCGGCCTGAAATCAAGGATCCATTTGGTTGAAAAATTGCAAAGAATTTCGAGGTGTGAATTTGCCACCGTTATAATTTTGTGCCATGCGAGAGCGGACGGTCTGACAAGTGTAACAACAGTAACCAAAGGGGGGCGGGGCTTAGAGAACAGTCAGTTGCCGCCATAGCAAATAAAATATAAAGCAGTAAAAGGCAACCAAAGGATTTCAAGCATGTTAATGTGAACGGGGGCAGTTTTTAGTACTTTGAAAGTGAAAATGACAGAGTTAAAAACTTGGGGGGGGGACGTGGGTCAGGGTTTACCTATGATTTCATAGCCATTGTGTGGTATAGTTAAGTTTATAGTCATCAAGTATGGTTAGATACAGTAATGATATTGTGTGTATTCGCAAGAAAGTTACACATTTATAGTCTTTCTGCAGATCAGTCTCATCGAGTTAACTGGTTATGGGTGCTATTACAAGATTATTTGATGATTACATATGTTAATTGTGATTATGAATTAGCATTAAATAGGAACTCTACATAATGGACCACCTACCGTATTTGGTGTTATAGATATATGAAACCAGTGAATATCGATGGCAAACTGGCTTTTATGGCTCAGCCAGATGTCAGTGCAGTCTTGTGAACTGTGGCATACACGACGTGCTAACATAACTCAAGTGCAGTACTGTGTCAGATAGCAGAGAGGGGGCACTCCATTGAAGAATCTAGATCTAGATCAGAGAAAGATCCAGTTATAAAGACGCTGTGGGGCCATGGGAGCCGGCCTCAGTGATTACACTGGCAGCGGGAGCTATCTTGCAGTTGGTGATGACTGAGACGTTTGCTGTCTAATAAGCTACTGTAACGGATGGGCTGCTAACACCACAACTTTATTTACAGATAGAAATACTTTGCTCTCTTACCTCACGCTACTGAGGCACACACACGTGGAGATTATGTGAATCTTAAAAGGACATTTTGGGAAATGTGCTTATTCACTTTCTTCAAACGTTTGATACCACTCTCAGGTCTCTGCCCTAAACGGGAAGCAGCCAGTTAGCTTAGCTTAGCATAAAGACTGGAGAGAGGGCTGTCCAAAGGTGACAAAATCCTACCAGCATCTAATTAACACAGTTGTTTGATCCGTGCACAAACACATGTAAGATTGTTGGTTGATTTTGTTCTTTTTACATTTGGACGTAGCCAAACTAGCGATTTTCCTGTGCTGCAAGTCTTTAGACTGGAAGACAACTGTAACTATGCACCTCCAGGATAATTTGGGGGATTGTTTCTGTGTTTTTAGGTATTTTCTTGCAATTCAATTTCAGGAGAAGCTAAATATTGCAAAACTAGTTGCAATTTTTGTTGTATAATTCATTAAAAATTGAACGCAACTTGTTCCAGTGAGAACAAAATCGCATTGTTTGTAGCGTACCGCAGGGTTACGAGGTTAAATGTGAGACATTTGCATCGTACATCGTCTGCATCTTAACAACTACAGTTGTTAGTCTGGCGCTTAGGGCAGGAGACCACAATGATTGGTCAAAAGCTGTGATTGGCTCGTTGATTGTTGTGATCGCAACTTCCTGGAGGGACTGTGCAGTGCATCCTTCTTAAAGATAGAGGCTTTCAATTAACTGATTTACCTTCGGACAGAGCCATGCTAGCTGTCCCCTCCCCTGCTTCCAGTCTTTGTGCTAAGCTAAGCTAACTGGCTGCTAGCTTTAACTTCACATTTAACTTTGAGAGTGGTGTCAATCTCAATCCAACTCTTGGTAAGAAACCAAATAAACGTTCTTCCAAAAATGTCACAACTCTTCCTTTTTTTTTTTAAGTGGCACAAAGTCATAATGTGACCCGACTCCTTAATGGTGATGTTAACGCATGAATTTAGTGAATGTGTGAGTGTGAAGGAAGTAGGCTTTAGTAACACATATGGAAGGCACGTGTTCTGCAGCTTTCAACTATCCTGGCCCAACATTAAATGGTTTGCACTTATCAAGCCTGCTGGACGTATGTTCAATGGGTTTTGTGTAAAAGAAAATACACTTGCAATAGCTATGTGGCCCAACAACTATAACAAAAATATATTTTTAAATACCCCCACCACTCCCCTTCCCACCCATCCAGCCCCCTCCCTAAATAAAACCATTATCCCAGGAGTATATGCACATCTGGAATACTGGACTACATGAAGCATTTATTCAGGTAAGTGACTGCTAATCTTTTATAATCCGGTGTTAAGTGCTTTTATCTGTAGACAAATTGTGGCTGGATAATGGCTGGGTCATTGACTGTATGGGAGGGTGAGGGGAGGGAGGAGGGGAGAACAGCATGTGCCTTCAGTCCCAGAAACCAGAACCAATTGTTATGGCCTCCTCTATGAACTTTATTCATCTGGATCGCTGAAGGGGGGGGAGACAAAGAGCTAGGCCATTAGAGCTTAATGTAATGCTCGGTCGCTCGACGTTTCTCGACAGCAAGACAAAAGATGACATGTGTCACCTCACCCTGCATTTACACCTGGGCTACATTTAACAGGAGGGAAAGAGGAATGATGAAGATGAGCGATCACACTCTGCCGGAAGAGAAAACTTGATGCTACTTTACAGCTACAATGACATGAGAACAGTTTGGGATTCACCTGCATGGAGAGATCTCTTTATTGGCTTATATATTAACAAGAATTTTGGTGGAATTTATAGGTTGTCCACATAGCAAATTTGGCTAATTAGTGCATATTCTTACTTCTATTTATACCTGCTTAAAATACAGTTTGTATCCAGATACGTTTCAATGCATTTTCATTCGAGTGGCAGGAAATCAGCTCAAGAATCACCTCAAAAAAGTTGTGTGCGTTGTCGAGTTAGAGGAAGCTTCTTAATTACGTTGCAACTCTTGTAAATTGGGCAAATGTAATAATTTATTCCGTCATTTGTATAAAGGAATATTGTCAGTTTGTGTTGCAGTACTGGCGCGTAGGCTACTCTGTGTCTAGATAAAATATATTCTCTGTTAACAGCAGACGAACAGATGAGTCGGACAGATATTTCTTACTGTATATCATTAATTTCCACCGGTTTTCTGTCCATTTCACAGAATAGACGTATAATCACACCAGCGCGTTGTACTGATTGTGTTTACACCTACCTAAGATCTGCACACAATGCGAGCCACGATTGCATTAACGCATTTTTTTCCTTATCTGCACAACATGTCCGGATACAGAACACAATTTCAAAAAAGGTGTGAATGGGGGTGTAAGTGGTGAGATCAAATTTCTCTTTCTGCCTGGATCAGAGAGCAACAATCCTTCTTCTTGCTGTCCAAAATAAATCATTTCTGTCTCTGCTGAGAACGTGGAGCGACCAAGCATACAAATTTAACTTAAACGTGTGTTCAGACTGAATGCAAGTGAACTTTTACCTCCCTTTCATAGTCCAATACAGACTTAAACTCCAGCTAGCTAGCAATGTTCACTGAGAGTACATTATGTGACAGTTTAGGGTCACACTGCCTCTAAGATTCAGTCTGAACACATTTTATGAACCTGCATTTCCAGCTCTGGCTTCATGTCGACTGATCAGGGGTCACAATGGATGCAGTTTTGAGCTTTACCTACAGCATTAAGGAGCAGGGCTTGTGTTTAGTGGGCTGGCTGACAATTGGAAACATTTCGTTTTAGGACAGAGAGCACCACTCCTCCAACAGAGATTCAATAATCACGTAACGACCGCAGGAGCCACAACTACCTACTATCAAAGAAAGACATGTTGTTGAAGGCAGAGGTGGGTGGGTGGGTGGTTGGGCTGAGGGGCAGGGAGCAGGACTGAATAAATGAAGGAGATGGCTTGGATTGGGTCACCGCTTCAGATGGTGGTATCGTGGGGCAGATGAGGCACTGCCACTCCAGGCCTCCGGTTGGAGTAGCGCTGCACGTGCGGCAGCAAGTGGCCAGATGGCAAGAGGCCTAGCAGCTCCTTGGATGTGCCTGGCCACCTTCGGCCCAACCGGCGACTACCATAACCGAGCCTGCGGCTTCGCCTCACTGCCTGGCCTAACAGCATGGCTGTCTGGGGCCACAGTGGGTCCGTGAAGCTAGAGATGCTGGACTCCTGAAAAGGGATACAGGACCTGCGCCTCTGTGGGCGTTCTTCTCGATAGATGTAAGAGGTTGTGGAGAGGTCGGGGCTAAAGTCGGAGCAGGGCTGCTGTGAGGTCAGGGAGATGCGACCCTCCAGCGACGGCCCCAGCAGGCTGAGGCTAGTTCTGTCCGTGAACGAGTCCGTTCGGTCTTCGTAGCCGAGGTCAGCGGGGGCCGAGCACTGCTGCAGGGGCCAGCCTCCGCGACCCTTCCCCCCGATGTCCGCAGTGCTGCCTCCCTCACCACCATCGCGCTCTACCCTGACTGCTTCATTTTCCTCCTCCTCCTCTTCCTGTTCCTCCTCCTCCACCTCTGCTACCTCCTCCTCCTCAACCTCTCGCTCCACCACACCCTCCTCCTCGTCCTCCGTGCTGGTGGGTGGTGGGGAGCGTGGGTCCCGCAAGAAGACCACTATGACAGTGATATTATCGCTAGAGCCCGCATCTCGGGCCGAGGCCACGAGCTTGTGGGCTACCATGGTGGTGTCTCCAGTGTTCTCCAGGAGGTGGTCGCTGACCACCCGCACCGCCTCATCTGGATTCACTGTGTCCCAGAAGCCATCACAGGCCAGAATCAGGTAGTCTTCTGTACCGTCCAATGGGAAGATACCGTGGTCTGCATCACCACAGATGTACGGCTTGTGCTCCGAGTCACCTGTCAACACAGGTCACAGATAAAGTTTACTCCTTATTTAAAGGTGCATATGTATATTTCTGAAGCATTTTTACGTATTCGTCACTTTTTCTTCCCAACTTGGGAAGGACTTGTAACGTATCTTCTGACCTTCCCTGACTTTCTCTCTGTGGACTGATTTCTATTTAAAACTCTTGGGTCAAATTTACAGCAAAAACCCAAAGGATGTGACATTTATGCTCCCGAGTGCCTCAGTGTCAACAGTGTGCTACACTAGCTAATCCCAAAGTCGGTCGTAGTAGATACGACTAGATAGTCAAAACTAACATTGCTGCAAAACTTGAGAAATATATTATGATATTGTGGTTTTAGCTGGTTAACGGGTTAATGGTCCAAATAAAATATAGGACCATTGCAGATAGTAACGTTATTCTAAATATGACTGTAGTTCATGTTTCAGCGTTCAGTCTAGTGTTTGTCATTTGTCATGTATTGATAACTGACTGAGCTGATAGCTTACCGATCGCTCTGGATACGGACAGACTGCCGTTAACCCTCCAGGTGCCGAACCAGATCACACAGCCTCCCAGAGCCTCGATCCTCTGCTTCTCATCCTGCGGACACACACAGAGCCATTGTTGGCTTTTAGTGGTGGTCGATCACATGGTACATAACAGTCTCAACCCGTCGTCCCCTGCAGCGAATGACTCAGTGCATTACCTGCCTCCTCTGTCGTGCACTTAAAGTGAAAGTCCGCCCAACAGCAACACCAAATTCATTGTATATTTGCAAACACTTAAGTTTGAGCTTCCAGGAAGTCAATACATATTTAATGAGAACAACAAAAGAGTTCATTATTCATTAATCTAATTTAATCAAAGTCATCATTTAACCCTTTAAGATCACATCCTCAATATATTGCCTGTTTCAAATTCATAAATATGTACATTGATGGTATTTATACACAGTGTGTGTGAGGATGTGTGTTACCTCTCTGTCTGGTTTATGTGGTTTCATCAGCTCCACAACCTGTCCCCTCCGGACCAGAATGACCTGGGAGTCTCCCAGCCAGGCCACGTACAACGTCCGACCCCGCAGGAACGTCACCACGCCCGTCGTACCGCAACGCAGGTGCTGCCGGATAAACACACGTTAAAGTATTCAGCTAACAACTACTACTACTACTGCTTCATACAGCGGCTGTGACTCTGGAGGCAGAGCAGGTCGTCCACTAATCATTGGGGGTTCGATCCCCGGCTCCTCCTGCTGCATGTCGAAGTTTTCTTGAGCAGATACTGAACTCTAGATTGCATTCACACACATTCACACTGATGTTTGAATGATTTAATGCTCTTAGTTTCTCAGTGTACGAATGTAACGAGACTGATCTATATAAGTCAATCAATAACTAATAATAATCAGCTGCAGGCTCTAAATTAGCAGTGTTTGTAGCAGTAAGGGTGGCAGAGGTGTTGTAGCATTAGCAGTGCTAGCAGTATTAGTTGTGATAGTATTACTAATGTACTGTGTAGAAGTATCATTAATATATATTATTATTAAACAAGTATTATTCAGTACTGTAAATATGTGTGTAATATTTCTGAGTGTGTCTGGTTCTCTGCAGGCGGGCGCGTTACCTCCCGTGAGGCCTTCTTCACGAAGCGTTCATCGGTGACTTTGAAGGCTTTGCAGAGCGCCTCGATGGGGTCCTGGCTGAAGGACTCCTGGTGAACTAAGTTGACGTGGAGGTGGTTGGCAGCGTAAATGGCAGCGTCCACGCCGCCGTGACCGTCAAACACAGCAAAGTAAGCCTGTTCTTCCTGATCCTGAGAGAGAAAACCCCGTCACATAACCACCGTTAACCAGTAAATGTCAGAGACAGTAACAAATACACAACAGACTAAAGCGAACAGGTCTCAGGTTACACCCACTGGCCACACGGTGGTGCTCTAACGACCGACTTTGGGAAGCTGGATCTACCTGAATGTTGAAGAGTGAGTTGAAGTCGGGGATGATGACGTGTTTGTCCTCCATCTTGCGCCTCATGTTCTTGATGGCGTGGATGGAGGTCTCGTAGTACGGCTGCGGGCGGCGGTGGAAGGGCAGCTCCTTCATCCAGATGCAGCACATCTCGAACAGTCTGTTAAACACCAGCCGGGAGAACTTCACGGACTCGATCTCTAAAACACAAACAAACACACAGAATCAGTCAAAGATTGTCGTATACGAGGTAACGAAAGTCGGAAATACACGAAAAAATATCAAAACCTTTCTTGTGTGATTGTATGATTTAAGAAATTGTGATTTTGTTTGTCATAATTTGTGTAAATAGGGTAATAATGTGATCTTAAAGGGTTAAAAGGACATGTTATTTAATTATTAAGTGATCTCCAGAACAGTTTACTACAGTTTTATTCTAACTAAGGTTTACATAAGCGATCTAAATGAGGGGCTAAAATAAAATATTAGATTATTTCCAGGATATTTGGTTATTTTAATAGATTTCCAGGTGTCAACTAGTCTCTAAATATCAAGATTTTAATATATAAAATATATATAACTGTACACTGCTTGCATTATCATTATATAAGTGGCATAAAATGGTCTTAAAAACAACAATAATATTGTTTATCGCAATAGTTCTGGGACAATAGAAGCAGTTATTGTGACAGGTGTTGACTTGGATAATGTCCCAATCTGTTTAGGGAGATTTTAGAGGGTAAATTTAACTAAGGGGTGGATGGTGAGCCCCAGAAAGACAGACTGACTTACAGACGTTAGTGGAAACGAGGCGAGCCCAGAAGTTAAATAACCAATGCACAGACTGTGTGTGTGTGTGTGTGTGTGTGTGTGTGTGTGCATGTGTGTGCGTGTGTGTGTGTGTGTGTGTGTGCGTGGGCTTGACCTACTAATGTTAGCTGCAGGTGTAACAGTCTATCCTGTCTTTGCTCTCGCTCTCCTAAATGTGTTATCAGTGAGACAGACAGAGACCGGCCCTACACCGCGTCCCATTTCCTTCCCTCCACCCTTCTAAAACTACATTAAAACCGGCGTCCTGACACCAAACTCCAGCTCTCTCCCTGTCATCAGCGGCTACCCATAACACCCCGTAACCAGCTGAAGACAGAAAAACATGGCGAGTGCAGCGAAGCAGCATCAAACAGGATGCGATCGGCTGTTACACAACACAAGAAGCTCGAATTCTGAGAGAGTAAAAAAAGAAATTGTTTTTAAAAAAAAGCAGCTGGGCGCCAAAAAAATAACTTGTAAAAACAAAGTCATTTTCTATGATTAAAATACAGTTTTTAGCTTTCATTTTACAAAAAATCTTATTTTTTTATGGCTTTTTAATGTTTAATTCAAGATATTTAGACTGTAAAAACAATTAAATGAGCTATAAATATAGATGAACTCTGCTATAATACAAATAATTAGGCTTAAATTTATAGAAAAGTTGATTTTTCTTATTTTAATCAGGATTTTAAACATTTTAAATGACTGAATTTTAAGTATTATAGTAATTATTGCTGTTTCACCGATAAAAACTGTATTTTGACAGTTTACCAATACTTATACACTGATAAACAAACATTTATTCAATGTTTTTGTTGTAAAAACTTCCATAATTAGACAAGATATCTGTCAATTAACTTTCACACTAATTTTACATAATTTCAGAAATGTATTGTAGTATTAAACTTGAATTTTAACATTTAACTGTTTAATCTTTTAAATAAACAGTAAATATCTGTAGAAAAACAATAGATTTGTAAATGTATTTTAATCAAATTGTATGTGGAAAAAGGGACATTTTCTTAAAATAAGCAGTAATTTACGATTATTTACTAGACATGTAAATTCACAAGCTATTTTTGTAATTTTATTAATATTTCCATGTATTTAAAAAATACAGAAATAAACGGTAAAAACCTGTAAACTTAGTGTTTCTTGTTGTTGTTTTTTTTACAGTGTGTTTACATCAGTTTGATCTTCAATAAAATTAAAACAGGTCACTCTCCTCAAGCAGACAATGCTTGGTGAATAAAACATGCCGTGCAACGTGTTTTAATTTTGATACGACAACAAACCCGCCGGTTCCAAACTGAAGACATAAATCTTTAAAAACAGGTAAAATTAAAGATTCGGTATTTCCTAAAACAGTCGGTCACTGTAGTTTTTAACAAACAGCAGTAAATGGTGCATTTTCTGGGGACTATTTCCAGCGGTGGATTAATACACATTTGGTGCTCTCACAATAAATTACGTAATGTAAGTGACCTCGTTCAGATCATACGTCATTATCTGATGAATTATGAGGAAGTGCAGCTTGAACAGATTTTGACTCTGAATATAATTTGTCTTCGGTCTGCAACCAATCGATCTCACGATCATTTTCTCAATTAATTGATTGGTTGTTGTCAGAAAATGATGAAACGTGTTGTCCATAACCCGAAGATATTCTGTTTACTGTCATAGAGGACTGAAGAAAACAGGAAATACTCACATTTAAGACGCTGAAATCCGAGAATTTGGACATTTTCTCTTAAAAAAAACTAGAATTAAAGTATATTATTTAAAATAAAATTGCAGTTCATTGTTTTATTCTTGTACATATTACCCCCAGTAGGGGTTGCCAAAGCTTCACGGGGGCGTCGTGAGGTTTTCTTGATTTTACAGGGTAAAAGAAAACTTTAAAAATATAAACATTAGGCCGAAATCTTATCATTAAATAAAAGTTATAACAACTAAAGAGTGAACAGAACAAACGCCATTGAGAAGAAAACACTGAATTTCTCAAAAAAAGAAACATTCAAGTCTGTATGATTGTTAAAAATGAATAAAAAACATAAGACAGACAGATAATTTAATAAAAAAGTTCCTAAAAACATCAGTTAAAAACTCATCTCAGATCAATATTCACAGGAAATAATCTGCATTTTACACAAACTTCCTGCGTTCACTATTATCAGCTGTTTGTGTACTGTTATTGTTTAGCTTATATCCTTTAAATTAAACCTAACAGTTGGTGTATTTATAAGACACATTACAACCAACTACAGTTAAAATATGACGAGCTGTTAGAGTAGATCCGTTGGCCCAGGGTGGATGTAGTAGTGCGTCCTGGCTCACGGCCTTCTCTCTGCCCTCTAGCGGTCAAATACCACTTAATGCAGCTTTGCGGGGGAGAACTGGGACAAAGCCCTGGTGGTTACATGCCTGTGTGTATGTGTGTGGGATGGAGTGAGAGAGAGACCTAATTTGTCTGTGTGAGAGAGAGAGAGAGAGTCTCGTGGGCTCCCCGGGGGACTCACGTGGTAGTGGGTCAGCTCCATCCTCGACAGTCTTATTGAGGTGGTGGATGGTGAGGTCGGTCTGCAGGAGGCTGTCTGCTGTGGCTCTGGCCAGGGCTGCAGCCAGGGAGCACGGGCAGTTACTGCGAGGAGGAGGAGAGACGACACAGTTATGAATGGGGAAGGAAATAAAAATCATACAACAGTAATCCTCTGTAAAGATCTACAACGGAGTATTAGGGCCAGACTAACAGAAAAAAATATTTATTTTTTGGGGGAAATTACAAGAATAAAGTCGTAACAGTACGAGAAAAAAGTCATAATATTGCGAGAATAAAGTCGTAATTTTATGAGAACTGTCAGCCTGTTGGCTCAGCCAGCAAAACAGTTTAACGACGAAATGATCAATATGTTAGCTTACCTGTTGACTGTACGGTACGACTGACTCATTAAAACAAGAATTTTTCTTGTATTATTATTATATTACATTATTCTCGTAACATTACGACTTTATTCTCGTAACATTACGACTTTATTCTCGTAACATTACGACTTTATTCTCGTAACATTACGACATTATTCTCGTAACATTACGACATTATTCTCGTAATTTCCAAATTTTATTTATTTATTTATTTATTTTTCCTCTTAGTATGGCCCTAATACTCTGTCGTAGAGATCTACAAGGGCTTCTAGCATTAAAGTCAGTTTGTGAATACAGAAAATATATATATGCAGAGATAGACTGGTGCTTTTACTATTCCTAGAGCCTTAACAGATGTAGTTTTTCCTTTCCAGCACAGAACAGACTGAGCTGTTGACATGGTAGATATTTTCATCTTAATGTTATAGGTATCAGCATGTATGAGAAGCAGAAGCTATAAAATGTACCATTGAGGATGAAGCAGCAACCAAACATAGTTTAGCCACCTCAAAAAAATCAATATCAGTTTAAATGTCTGCTATATTTAGAATATTTTCACCTCTTTACCTTTCCCCGATGGGAAACTGAAGCCTTTATATCACTCTCTACAAAGCCACCAAACTCCATTAACAAAATCAGTCATTTTAGCTCACAGAAGATGAGAAGTTTCTGGTCCACTGCTGCCTCGATCGGCAGCAACTGACATTAGTTTGGACCTGAAAATAACGTGTTAAAACTCCAAAGTCACACATTAACATAAACACACTAACAAATCATGGCAACGGTGGAATAACAACTTCCCGTCTTTTGCGTGGTAAAATTATGATTTTTGTTAATGGAGTCTGGTGGCTTTTGAAGAATGCGTAGATGGAGGTAACGGCTCCGGTTCTGAGTCGGAAAGGGCCGTCTGATGGCAAAGTAAGTGAGCTCAGTAACTCTGTTACTGCAAGAAGTTTGTGTAAAACGAGTGATTTGGATGAATTTTGAACAGATTATTTCCTATTTAGGGAACTTTACATACGAAATTCTGTCCATATTATGTATTTTTTAAATAATTTTTACCAATCATACGGACATAAAAGGCTTATTTTCAGCCACTGTACAATTTACTTTACAGAAGTAAAATGCTGATTTATAGACCTACTGTGTATATTTTTTAAGTTTTCTGGCACGCCTTAAAATCAAGAAGGCCTCGCGACCCCACTACGAAGCTCTGGCGCCCTCTAGTGGGGGTCCCGACCCTCCAGGTTGGGAGATAAAAACACAACTAATCTCATTTTCAGGTGATTATACATTAATGAAAACATACCTATGATTATTATATTCTATTTCTGAGCCTCCTGAATGTTACCTACAGCACCTTTAAATACAGGATTAATAAAACATGCACAGTCCCTGCGTAAAGAGTACATTGTCACTGAATTATGCATCAGGATAACGTTTTAAACATTTTTATAGGCATGAATTACGGCCTTCCTGTGGACCCGCAGATATCAGCTAGAGCGAACTGGTGCCGTGTTTGTCCAGAAGAATGTTAAAATGATGTAACAGCTCTGTCTGAGCGCAGCGGTACATCTGGCCAGAGAGAGTGTATGTGTGTGTGTGTGTGTGTGTGTGTGTGTGTGTGTGTGTGTGTGTGTGCTGGAGGAGGAAGAGGACAAGGAGGAAGAGGAAGAGGAGTGTCTCTTCTTAAGGTTAACAAGAGTTTTTGAGGAGGAGGAGGAGGAGGAAGAAGAAAAAGAAGGGGGTCGTTTGAAGGACTGAAGGCTCCCTGAACATGAGTCACCAACACAACTAGGTCACTTCCAGATGCAGGTAACCATGGTAACCCAACTTCTGGATGCTCGCACTCAAATTAAGTGGAAAATAAAAACCAGAACTGGTGTTTAGACTCTTAATTAAGCAGCGGGGGGGCGCAGAGCTCACCTCAACCATCAAATTATTTATCAGGACACATAATCCGATCTGATAATCTGCAGCGTCCGATCACATGGTTCTGCCCCGAGCAAGTCGGTTCAAACCAGGACCCGAGTCTGACCTTTTCATGTATTCACTTTGCGGGGGGGGGTCTTGATTGGTTAATTGGGATGACAGGTTGGGAGATAATGAGTGACATTCAGAAAGTTCTTCCCCCAAAACTCACAAACAAAATCATCAACTTACACTGTAAAAAAGGAAAATATTCAAAAAATAACTGAAAATAACTTATTTTCTATAATTAAAATATAGTTTTTAGCTTTAATTTTACATAAAATCTTAATTTTGGGGCTTTTTAATGTTTAATTTAAGATATTTACACTGTAAAACCAATTGAAAACCAACACTGATAAACAACATTTATTTAATGTTTTTTGTTGTGAAAACTATAACTAATTATACAAAATATCTGTCTATGTATCCATGCATTCCTCGCTCAGGACTGAATATACTGCTGCATCAAGTCCAAAATGTCTCTTTCTGTATGGTTTCACCCGTCACAAACCCTCATTAGATAATAAGTAAGAGTTCAGCACTTGTTGTTTGAGTATATCCTGCAAACACAACACTCTCTCTTTGTTTTCTTAATACTTCCAGTAGCTGGTTGGTATTAATTTAAAACGCAGCAGTGCGGCGGCTGAATCCTCAAATATAAACTTAATAACACAGTGGTTAATATGGTGCTGCACACTCGGAATAGTCGCTGCATTTAATTAAACAAATAACTGAGTACAACACAGGGAGATATTCTACAATTAGATCCTGTGAGCGGAGTGTGAAAGGGCCTCTGTGGCTCTTATGTAAAATGTTTAATCAATGAAACCCAGAGCCAACAGCAGCAACGTCTTTAATGAATTCAGCTCTACTCTCGCTAACAGAGACACATACCAGAGGTCATTCCCTCGGATGATTCAAATTCTCCTTAAACGTTGACAGACGTGTGGGTTTTCCACAGATATGAGAGCAGACGACTCTGTTCTAGCATCAGAGTCATTTAGCTAAAAATGGTCCCAGCTTTGGGTTTTGGTTCATTTTAATTTGAGTCTAAATTCTTGTGCGTGACTTTGATTCACAGCCTCTCTCTGACTGTTTATGGGGACAGAAGCGAGTTGCTGCCACGCCAGAAAAAGAAAAGTATCACCTCATAATGTGGAAACATGGACCTATAACTCCTAAGTGGGTTCCTAAAAATATCAGTAAAAACTTATCTTGGATCAATATTACACAAACTTCCTGCAGTTATTGTGTTCAATATTTACAGTTTCTCAGTTATTCTGTACTGTTACTGTTATACACTGAATATAATATGAAATATCCATAAAATGTGTAACGTTTCAGCAGGTAAGTCGATGATAGAAAAGTCTCTTGTTATAATGTGATAAACTCGTCTGTTCCAAAGCAGAGCTGCAGCTCAACGTGTTTCTATATTCCAAGTGTAGTGAGCTGAGAAACAAATCATTCACAGACTCCTTCCTCGCATAGACGTCCTTTGAGCTTTCCCAGAACAAAAAGACGACAGTAAAACAACAAAGTTGAGAGTTTGTAGGATAAAACAATCACTCAACTTCCTGCTGAAAGAAACACAAATACGTTTTAATCTGTACCCTTCAAAATAAAAGTCTCCTTCTTTGTAACATATGTTCTTATGTAACACAAAGCCTTCCATTTGTTTGCATTTGATTTGTTAATGTCTCTGCTAGGACACACTATACAGAACATCCCTGTAAAGGACGCTGTATTTCCTTTGGGATGAAACATGCCATATAAATAGTCTTGATTTGCATTTCCTGTTGTCAACTTCTCTTTTCTCTACTCTGCTCAATATGTTGGAAAAAAAGTTAAACAGTAAAGTTGAAAGACAACGGGGGAATATTCCTCTCTCCATGGCAACCACAGAAACTACAAATAACCTCACTGATGATCATCTTACAGAAATAGTTAAATGTATTAAAAAGGCAATTACTCATTTCCATCCTGACGTTGTGTCCCAATTTATCCAGACGATTTGTGACGTATTTTCTCCACGTTATTGAAGAAAATGAGATTTGGTTTTGGGTTAAGCTTCACATCCACCCAGTTATGGACAAACTCTTTCCTCTCCAGGGGGTTTTATATCACTACTTAACTACCAAACTACTGTCCAAGTAAAAGATTGAGCTGTGTTTGCTCAGAGTTTGGAAAAGAGACTTTGATCTACAGATGTGTGGGAAAATTCCTTCTGCTGCGTATATGTGCCAACTTAATTCAATAATAATAAAGTTTGCTAGATAGCATCTAGGCTCCAAGAATCTTAAACCAGAGCTAATTTAGTGGAACAACACTCTGATAGGCCTTTTCCACCAACAGGGAGCCGACTCTGCTCCAGTTCAAGCACCTAGTTTTGATCCATTTCAACCAAAAATAAATTGGTTCAGAGCCAGAAAAAAAGGCCATAAAATATCAGTTCTTCCTTCAGAACCAAAGTGGGAGAGTTATATTATATCAGGTCATTGTGATGTGTTGTCAGAATTTAATTGTTCCACTCAAAACTTGTGGAAAACGCGGGCTGGTTCTCTACCAGGTTCAAGAACCAACAGGGAACCAACTCTGTTTCTCTTTTTCAACCAAAAATAAACTGGTTCAGAGCCTGAAAATCAAGAATCTTGAACAGAACCAGTTCAAGAAGCAGATCTAATGACAGGAGAATTAATCTGACATACATGCTTTGATGGAAACCGGAGTCCCATGCAAACACGGGTCCCG